TCCAAAATTACTAATAAAACCTGCGATTCTGCTATCGGGCAGCATTTGCTAGAAAACCCAGATTGTGCAAAAAACTTTAATGGCGACATGTTTCGGATTATTGGTAAAGCCCGATCGTCGTTCCACCTAGCAGTTTTAAAATCTATCTACATAAGCACGAAAAAACCGCTACTGTGTAGACAAAAGGAGTTCGTTTTCACCTTAGGATTCCATTGGTAGCATTCTAATAGGCAAGCGGCACTGATTGGTCAACCTTTACAGCCATGTGCTCGTGTTTGCGATTGGCCTATTTCGATCCACAACTGGGTATATATATTTCTTAGCGTAGAGTTTTCGATCTATGTTCTGACGTTTTAAACTCTGAAGAGTGTCAGACGAAAAGCTTTAGTTTACTAAATGTTTGCTTTTTTCAAAGCTATTTACAAGTTTTGTACCACCAAAAGATTATTTGCTTCTTTCTGTCCTTATTCTTAAACATAACGATTCAGAGAAGATTTCAATTACTATAAAAATACAAAACCGAGTTAGATGGAATAAAAATTTATCTTTGATCAAACAAGTTAAAGCATCATGAAAAAGAACAATAACGGGTTCGTAGTCAAGAAGAACTGCTTCTAATAGGTTCGTGAGCGAAAACTTTAAAAAAACACTTTCTAACCTATTATTGGAAAAAAGTAGGGGAGGACTATAGTCCCTGTTATGAAACATTCCCAATTGAATCATTTTAGGCCCCGATTGTAGACATCAAGAAGACATTATCAAAAAATTTCGTTTATTTTAGTAGAAATTTCTTTAAGAGCATAATTACAACCAAAAGTATGAATTTGTTGTGGTAATTCAATCATCAAATTGAGCGGTCCAATTTGAGAATTTACGGTAGCAGTGGGGGCTTATTCGAGGGGGGGGGGCTTTTTCGAGGGGGGGGGCAATAAGAGGATTTACGTGTCCATGGTATAATTCTTTCTGTTAATTAAGGATTCTTTTGCACTCGCGGGTAAGCCGCGGAGCGCGGAGACTTCTGCAATTCACGAGGATATTTTGAGCGGTGGACATCTGGTCAACCGCAAAGTAAAGTCGCGATGGGAAAATTACTGGGGAAGTTGAAAATGAAAACACAAAAGACACATGCCATATTATTTCATTAGAAAGTTAGCCAAATATTTTCGACGAAGAATCCTCCCACACGGGTTTCTCTCTTTCGTGGAAAGCAAAAAGCATGTGGGAAGGTTACATTATTTTGGATTTTGAAGAAGATAGGATGAGTTCGAAATCGACATACAGATGAAGAAAAATTTTCCCAAAAATTTAAAGCGAAATGGCCACTTTTCCCAATTTGAAAGGAAATAATTCCTGCCAAAGATTCCACGTATATGTCCTTGTAATGGGCTTTCAAACATGGTCGGAATTTTAATTCGTATCAGATTGACTTAGGCCACAAAGACCGTATCCTAGAACAGGTTGTTCAACCATTGTTTTACTGAATAAAAAGATATCACGCAGATCATTGTTGCGGACCTGTTGGATTGTTTCCCAGCTTTTGTTTTTATCACAAAAGCACCATATGTAGATAATTTGTCTATAAAACGTCTTCGTTCGTCATTCAACTTTCACTATTTCTGGTGGTGTAATAAACCTAGTCACGTACTTTCCGGATGATCGAGATTTAATTTCTATTTATCTAAGAAGATGGTTGACGAAGGTGTGTTGATTTTAATATTGAACAATTAAGGTTTACGATTTTCCAATAAAGTCAAATTTCAGGATACAATGTTCTCCATGTTACAATACAGGCTTATGTTTTCAAGAAAAATGTGTAGTATGATATTGGTTTGAGGCGCGCACTACATACGTCAAGCAAACTTTCGATCGTCAAGTTCAGTCCATTTCTATTTTAAAATCCCAACATATAAATTATATAAATCTTTATGATAAACAACAACAGATTAACATAGATACAAATAATATACGCGATTGTATGTTTTAAGGAATAGGCCTAACTTAATGATATAAATGACCTAAATAAATAAGCTTCCTAGAACTGGAATACTGGCCATGTTCTCAAGATAAAAGCATTTTAATCTCATACTGTATATTTGAGTTTGCCAAAGGTAATTCAGAATCTAATGCTAGAAGGATTGAAGACAGCATTCTATAAACTTTGGGCTGCTGGCTGCTTTGTTGATGAATTCACATTGCACTTCCAGGGCCCGCCCCACTGGGGGGCATGGCCTCCCTTCCCTTTCACTTATTCTTCAAATCAGCTCAGATCATTTGTAAAAATAAGCCTGTAGATCACAACAAATACACTGAATCAAAGTCCACAAGTGAAACAGTGTAAGCCACAAAATGGGGCTAGATGGGGTAAGAACAATTTCCTTCACATCGATGGCCCCTCCAGTTTAGAATCAATGGCAAAGACCTTGATTTTATGACCAGTTCTTTTTCAGAGTTACACTCTGGTGACACACCCTTTCTATAAAAAATACCTGGAAACACCCAAATATTGAAAGTGCTATAACTTTTGATCTTCAAAAAGATATTAATTTGATTTTCTATTTGCTAACAAAAAGGATTGCATTTTGAGGACATAATGGTTACAGTTTTCAGTAATCCTGGATTTGACACTAACAAGCCTATTTTCCAAACAAATGACAGAGTTTACCTACAAAAGCGCTAGAAATTGTTTTTTAACCCACAAATTGGCAAAGTTCAGGGTATTTGAAATAGCCCCTGACACACGCTGCAATTTCTGCCATTGTTTTGGAGGTCCGAGGGCAAAGTCTAAAGTGGAGGTCCCTATGAGCAAAGCAAGCAGAAAATTGTTGTGATCACTCTCTCTAGATAAGCTTAAAATACATTTCAGAAGTTAGATTAATCCCATTCTTGAAATGGAATTCGTTACTTTATGAGGCCCCTTAGACCACCAAGGCCCTGAGGAAACTTTTCCCCTCTGCCCCTTCCTCCTATCTTAGGCTCTGGAGGTTGGTTGAATATCTGTTGCTATATGTTGTATCCTAGATAAATTGGCTTTACTCCTCTTTGCCCCACATTCGCAAACCAAAACCTTTATGTCCTACCATTAGTTTCAATAGCAAAAACAACAATTTGGGTAAAGTCTTGACAGTTTTCAGAAACATTTAGCCACATTATCATTACAGTCCAACTTTTTCATTCGGACAAAATATGATAACATAAATACTTTGGAAGAAAAGCATTTCTTTATTCTTATGTTTGAATTTTTCCAACTGCACAAAATTTCATATCCAGGCTCACATTTTGAATTCCAGTTCCAAGAAAAGGGCCCAAATCCAGCTTGGAAATTTGCTCTGGTTACACACTAAGCAGGTTATAGTTTCATTCTCGGACCATTCCTGAAAAGTCATGACCAGCTTTGAAATCAAAGGGCATCACTTTTCATTTCCGAAGGTGAAGATGTTTGTTGTGGAGATCTAAAGCATTTAAGGAAATTCTTTTGAAATCTAATGCTTTTCTTAAGTTGTTCCCAGTAATCATATCAAGGCAGGCATAAAAAATAAAGTATTGTTTTAAGTGTTCAGGAAATCAATTCAGTATAACTTAGAATTAAATAAAAGAATATAGGCAGACGTTTGGTTCTTAGTCAATGGTTCTTTTCAAATTGTGCTGATTTGCATAGTGCAGAGAGTTTATGCAGAGTTTTAGTCTATCAAAAATTTAGGCCCTTGACAACAGAATTGCATTTGTTATTATACTGGTTTATCTTTGTTAGCAATTCCTTGGTATACCTGTTTTGAATCTTATGATTTTATCCATCCATTGCACTCCCAAAAAGCAACCAGTTGCAAAGCTAGCCAAAAATAGTTGGTCCTTCTGTATTGACAGGACCACATCCTTGTTTGATAGTTAATGCCCATCAAAAAAAATTATTTTTCGCATTTTTCCTTGAATTCATTATAAAGAAAATATCCAGCTGACATTGTGAAATATTAATGACACAGTGTTCCTATTGAGAAACAAACCCTATTTTAAAAAGAGCAGCTGGTTTATTTTTGCTAAAAAAATTGTCATGCTTTAATTTAAACTACAGGGTGTAGCTCAAGAGGCTCCTTATGTTTCTCACAAACTCATTTTATATTGCACCCAGCCTCTACAATTTGAATGAAAGCACAAGTTGATGTTAACTAAATTTGACAATAAAAAGGGACCAGGGTTGCAGTGAGGCTGCAGTGGTATTTGAAATAGTCTTGTTCCAGATTTTGCCTTAAATATCTGGCCAATCCAAATACCTAATTTAAATATATTCAATAAACAACAGAGGGCAGTCTGTACATGCAAGCTCACATATTCTGCAGCTTATATCTCTATGATAAGAAGCAAAAAAATTAAATTTTGCACTAGCAGTTCAGCATTCAACTCGTCGGTATTCAACATAGCAATCAATCAATCAATCAATCTCTTGCATATACAAATTCCATTGAAATTGGACTATTCTCCAGCTTTCAAAATTTTAAACTCACAACAGTAAATTCAAGAGATTGCTCTCCAGATTGAGCATGACTACTCTTTGCTCTAGAAAATTGTGAAGGAAGACAAAATCTACAAAAGCCCAATTGTGAATCAGGACAAATAGGCAGACCTTGCCAAAGTGCATGAGTGCGTGAGCGGTGCTTGCAGGCAAATCATGCAGATCAAAGTACGTCTGCAGCCTGATCTGAAAAAGTGGTCTTTTTCAAAGTTTGCAATTGTTTAAGAATTAATAGAAACGATTCAGCTACAAGTTTCACCACCATGTTAGTATTGTTAAATGTTTCTTTTCCTTTGAATAAGTCATTAAAATACCCAGAAAAAGATGAGTGAGGCCATCACACCTCAGGGATATGAAGCCTAGAAGCACATACCATGGTATTAGTAAAACCTGTCAAACCTTGCTAGGATAATGAAATGTGACAAGGTAAAGAGAGGGGAAATGGATCCAAATTATGAACACCAAGACACTCCTGTAAATATTGAAAGCCATGCAGTTTTTGACAAAATTTGTGAAAAGTCCTAGAGAACGATTCATCGCGCGATGTGTATAGTGAGGACATAAAGGAAAATTTGAAGGTCATAAGGCCGTTAGTCGATTTACAATCAGATTCAAAGCAAAGGAAAGCAATGCTTCCCATGTTGCAGTTGCAGGCCTTGAAGGATATTTATTTTTCAAAAATTTCAAATAAATTGCGTGGGTTAGCTCAAATGTATCTGACAAAGAACTTCGGCTCAAATTCAGAGAATTTTGAGAAGTTTACAAAGCAAGCTTTACCGCTTTGTGAAAGTGATTTATGTAGCAAAGAGAAAATAATAGATTTTCCTAACAGCAAGAACAAATATCTTATTGCGATTATTTATTCTGTTTGTGTTGCTGCGGTTGAATCAATTATTGAGTGAAGGCTTCCTTTTACAAAAATTCAGGACCAACTACCAATCTGGCTGAAGTGTGCAAGAGATGGAAATTGTGATTGCTGTTAATGATCCAAATATTAAAAAAGCTGACAATATCATTAAATATAGTATCAAACAATATCAAGCAATAGAGCCAACTGCCATTTCGTTCATTGCTTGCATAACATTAAGGACTCAAACTCTTCAGATGTTTTGAAACGAAGGAAAAAATCATGGCCAGATTTACGTTTTTGTCATAACCTAAAGTTTAAACTTTTTAGTACTGTTTTTGTTGAAAAAAGTGATTCATGAAAAAGTAATAAAACAGAATGTTATATTGCTGTCATTGTTCCCAGAGGAAACAAATTACTGGTTTTCCCAAATAGAATTCTAGACAGAAATTAGTTTGCCTACAGAACCTTTTTTTACATTTGTGTATGATGCCTCAATAAAGCTTATTTTATGTCTCTTATTCCAAACAATTTTATATCCTACGCATTACAAATGAAAAAATTTGCAGGCACCTTTTGCAATACAGTTTGTGCTCATAGGCACAAGCCATTTTTAGGGAGGTCTGCAAATAGGGTATCACAATTATGAGCAGGACCAAACTACAGGGTTGCTGAGTATCAAGAAGAACCTCATGATTTGCACGGGACTCCTGTATCAGCCAACAGAACTGGGGAACCTTTAGCAAATAGAATTTGAATGTGCCCCTACCCTAGAATGCCAATTTTTGTGTTTTGAAAGCCCTCCTTTGAGCTTAATGGATATACAAGAGAAAGACACATCATTACGTCCATGTTTGATAAGTGATATTGAACAATTAATGAGATGTTGAGAAAGACAATAGCTAAATTCAATAAACATATCAATATTTTGAACTGAAATTTTAGACAGACCTATTAACCCAAAGTGCAAATCAAATGAACTTGTAAATTGTGAACAAGCTATAAAACAACTTGGAATAAAGCCCCTGTCTAAAAGCTGCTTAAAAAAATAAACCAAACAGGGGGCTATTTCAAGGTTTTACGGTATAAGTAAACATCCTTAAATTTTTTAATTTTGTTTGATTGAAAGGTGCGACTGTTGTCCATCTGAAAGATGGTGAAAGATCAGACACACTACTGAAAGACGACGATGATAACACTGAGCTAGATGATCAGCTGGAGAAAGCTATAACAGAAGCTGAAAGTCGAGAAGCATGGGGAAGTAAAACTGAGTTTCTGCTTGCTTCAATTGGGTTGGCAGTTGGAGTTGGAAATGTTTGGAGATTTCCATATTTAGCTCAAAAACATGGCGGAGGTATAAAATCTCAAATGTTCATATTTTTTCAAAAAGATCCTAAACATAAAAGTTTTTCTTTAGCTCTTTTTTGACTCAATTGTTGACTGGGTCAATCATGTTAATATAAAAATTTAAGAAATATATACTAAAACTGTGAAAGATTCCATGAATGTTTTTTTCATATGTGTAGAATTCATTCAAGTAGGTTTTTTAATGACAAATATTAAGTGTGCATAATTGTTTCTTATTTCGTGTTAAAAAATTCTAATTATGTAACTATCAAAAAGGAAAGAGCTTAGATAGCCATCCCTGGCTTGAACTGTTGATGTAAAGTTAGTTATATTCATTAACCAACACTGACCCAAACATGTTTATTTAGCTTCATCATTAGAATACTTGACTCTGAGATTGCTTGTTTTTACTTTCTTTGTTTAACTTAACACAGTGTTGATCAGGTCTCCTTCCATCAGTGTGCATGTTTTTATTGTTTTATATATTTAACTTTCATTTTAGGTGCTTTCCTTATACCGTATTTCACTATGATGATTATTGAAGGAATTCCACTGTTTGTTATGGAATATGCACTTGGGCAAAGAATGAAGCAAAGTGCTGTACGAGTATGGAATAATGTTCACCCGGCATTTTTTGGTGTTGGCATAGGCTGTTTGATGGTGTCATTTGCCATGTGTCTTTACTACATTGTCATTATAACATGGTGTGTCTATTATTTCTTCATATCATTTACCTCAAACTTACCTTGGAAGATAGAGAATTGTCCTGGTTATCCAGAATACTCACTCCTAAAAAGGAATCATACTACATGGCTTGCAAAAAATCAATCTGTTTATTTGTACAAAAATATCACAGACACTATCAAAGCAAAAATTGACAACTTTCCAGATTGCTGTGTTCATAACCCCACAGAGTTTTATTGGTATCAAAGAGGATTGACTGTTTCAACTAGTATAGACACTGTTGGAGATGGAATCAACTGGAAACTTTTTGGGAGTTTGTTTGTTGGCTGGGTTATAACATATCTCTGCGTCTTAAAAGGTGTCAAATCAAGTGGAAAGGTGCCTATTGTTCTTGTTAACTTTTATATTTATAATTTTTTTGTTTTTTACTCATAAGCCCTACAGTAATTTTTTGATCATCCTTAAGCTCTATCCAATCCAAATGCTTAACAGATTCTGGCATTTTATAATTCAATCTAGTGATTTTTGTTCCCTCCTATTACAAATTTTCCTTTTCTGTTTGTTTCCTTTTAAAAATTTCTTCAACTGGCAGTATTGCCTGTCGTTTATTTGTTAGCATTGGAAGTCATTTCAGCCTAGTAGCCAGTTGTTTTTCAAAATGGGAAAGAAAGTGAAATTAGATGTGAAACATTTTTACAGATCAGTGGACAGTAATCAGCATCAAATTGTAACAACCCTTCAGTCAAGCTATTTCAGCATAGGGGACTTGACTCTTGAGTCAAGTGTTTCTGCAACTAAAAATGTAACTGTAGTTGCTTGCCAGCCAACCAAAACATTTGTCTCCAACTCATATGACAAAAAAGTGTACATTAGTGCTTTTTTGATAACCAGATGAATATTTTTGACACCATAATTATGAAAAACCCAGCATCTTTTTTCATTCATGAATTTCTCAACTTTCAAAATTTATGACTTTTGTTTTATATTTAGTAGATTTCGTTTGGAATCTTTGTCTAAATCAATGTCTGTGATTATGATGCTGAGACAACAATTGAAAAATTCAGTAAACTAAATGATGTTTTGCTGTTGATGTTTAAAGATTAACGCTCTTTTGTAGAGCTTGCCTGAGCTGCTAGGCTAATTGACAGCTAATGAACCTTACATAGGTTCATTCAGATGAAATTTAAAAGAAATGCTCTCACTGGAGAGCTAAAGATTTGAATGAATTGTAACTGAAAGGAACAGTAAGAAAATTGACTTTCACTTTCTTCTTCTTTCAGTTTTCTATTCTAAAATGTTGTTTGGTGGGGTGTGCGTGTTGTAATAACTTTATTGAAGATAACAGCAACTAATGAAAAAATTGTTTGAACTTCAGAAACCTTTACATAGTGAACTTGTTTAAGTCAGTGTAGAATTTTTATTCGTACAAGGATGAATATATGTCAAATTCTAACTTCACCCTTACATTGTTTTCCTCCTCTCTGAATGGTAATAAAAGATAGATAGATGTCTTTATGAAGCTGCACTTTGAAATTTTGGCCCACCACAATTTAGGCATTTTTTCCAACCCCCATTTACAGAATATTGACATATTTGCACCCTTGCATAATCTAATGCTGTGCATAGGCTAGGGTGTGTATTTTTGTATATAAGCCAAAGCTGTGTCCTCAAAGCCTGAATGACCTTCAACTTAATTCAAAGTGGAATCATAGTTGTGTCATAGTTGTGTAAAAGGGTGACAGGTAACTTGAAGATAATTTGGGTCCAGCATCTCAAAGCCAACTGCATTGGAGGAAACTTAAAGGGATGATTCGGTGAGTACCGATAGTGAGTAGAAGATGGGGTTGTTGTTCCTAAGGTCACTCAAAGGTGCTAGAGGATGCAGCTTTCTTCAATAAAGTTTAAAGTTTGTTTAATGTATGTACGTGTCTGAGTTTCTCATGTGATCAGTGGATATTTAATCGTCCGTTGCTCCAAATCTTTGCTTTTTAAGACACATTGTGTTGTTAAGCACATTTTTTTGTTCTTTTGATTTCCATTGTCGTTATCGAACAATACTTTTCCCAATGCAAAAATTTTCCAGTAAAATCGACTTGTAAATTTAAGTTGTCGATGTTGAGCTAATTACTTTTATCTTTGCAGGCTGTGTATTTCACAGCAACTTTCCCATACATCATCATGTTTATACTTTTCATTCGTGGGGTGACCTTGGAAGGTGCTGGAGATGGAATCAAAGCTTTCTTCAAGCCGGAGGTATTTTTTTCAACGATCTTCTCATTATGCTTAGCTATTTTACTGCCACGCACTTTTTAATCTACTAGAGTAATGCAGTGTTTGTTCAATAGTATTTTATATCTAAATAGTAAGACATTTTAGTGTAATTAGGATCGCGCATTGTTGTGTGATTCTTTGATGCCGTTCGTTCACTAACAAATCCATCTATCGGTTACGTGTTTTTTCCAAACCCAGCGAGTCCTATTTTACGTGTGGAAAACACGGAGCCAGAAAAGAAACGACGTGCCTATTGCGTGCTTTGATACTTACTGAACTAAAATTGCTTACATGCTTTTATTCAGAAATGGATAGCCGAAATCGACACGAATAGTGTGAGAAAACAGGTGATCGGAAGGGCTAGTAAAGATGATAAGTAGTTTGAATAGCGTGGCAACGTAAACAATAGGGATTGGTGACTGTATGATATGAAATTGACGTAGAGGATGCCTGTACTGGGAAGTGAGAATGTGATTGGAATGAATGAGAATGATAAATTAATGTACATGACAAGAACATAGACTTCACTATTCCAGTTTGTCAAATCTCAATCAATAAAACATCGTGGCATTTTCTCTAATTTTTAGATTTACGGAAGCAAATCTAGGTAGTGTATAGAGTTCCGTTTGATTTGTTTAAAGAGTTTAAGTATTAAACTTCGAAATCTGAAAAAAAATCTTTTTTACAGTGGGAAAAAGTTTTGGAGCCAAGAGCTTGGATGGATGCCGCGACACAAATGTTCTACAGCCTTAGCATCGGCTTTGGTGCTTTGATCGCCTTTTCCAGCTATATGCCAAGGAAAAACAATTGCAATCATGATGCCATCACAGTGGTGCTCGCAAATTGTGGAACATCACTTTTCTCTGGCATTGTTGTGTTTAGTTTCCTTGGTCACCGGCAACATGTGACTGGTACAAAAGTAACTGAAATCAGCCCTGGTCCAGGCCTTGCCTTCATGACATTTTGTGAAGCTTTTCTTCTCATGGATGTTTCTCCCCTGTGGGCCATCCTGTTCTTCTTTATGCTGATTCTTCTTGGCATTGACTCAGAATTTGGAACCCTCGAAGGCGCTGTGGCTCCCTTGTATGATCTGAAATGGGTTACTATGCGAAAAGAGTACTTTATGGGTATGTTCTTTAGGCATGTTATGCTTTCTAAAATACCTGTCTTTGTTTGTTTGCATTCAATACAGGTACACATAGACTTTATTGGAGATATTGCTGATTTCTTGTTTTTCCACATTATCTTCTTTCTGAGATTTGCGAAATGAGTCCTTAAATTTGCAAAAATAGAGGTAAAAATTATGTACAATGTCTGCGAAACTCCTTGGTTTATTAACGTAATTTGTTGGACATCAAACTAGATATGCATTAATCCAACGTTGTTGCCTCTGCTATGTTAAGGCTACCAGCCCTCTTGGGAAAATTTTTCAAAATTTGCCCAAAGGTTCAGTATGTCAATATCAGATGATTGTTGAAATGGTAGATCTGTCCAAGGAAATCTCAATAATTACAAAAGTCCTAAGAAGCCTTTAGATTCAACAGCTACCATGGGAAGTTTGCAGCGTTTTATTTGACGGTTCTCACAAACCAGTTTTGATGAGTACTAGATTAGTAAGTTTTAACTATTTTATAATGTCTGAATGAAAATACAAATTTGTGGTAACTTTGCAAAACAGTAATGCGAAACTTCAAGCAAGGTTATCACCAAATATTAAAACGATTTGGCAGAAATATAAAAACTCTGTTATTCATTCCTGTAGACAAATAGATTATCTTGAAACCCATATCATAATTCATCTATCATTATTTATTAGGCTATTAAGTAGAGTTTATAGTTAGATGAAATCATACTGCGGGAAAGTGTAATAAATTGAACTTACTTTTCCCAGGAATCATTGCGATTGTTATGTTCTTTCTTGAGCTGCCACTTGTTTGCGGGAATGGATTTTATTTGTTCCAAATATTTGATGATTATTCAGTGCCACTTCCATTGCTGATCATTTCACTGTTCCAAGTGATAGCAATCGGCTGGGTCTATGGAACTGACAGGTGAGGTCAACAATAAACGTTTCCACAAATTGCTGATTATTCTTTATTCACCCTTTACTGGTTAAATTTATTAAGGGAAGTGTCACTATAACCGAATGCAAGAGCGAAACTCGGGTGAATTTAATCTTTCCCTTTCACACTAGTCACTTTTAAGAATGATTGATATAATGCAAGCCGTTATTGCAAGTAGAGAGGTGGTTAAGAATATTGTTGCTATATTCGAACCTGGTCGTTGCAGTTATCCGGCTGCATTCAACGATGCTTTTCATAGAGAACTTCTAGTAATGACGTCATAGATATCTATTTCTCTGCCTAATCTCTGCCGATTTGCAATAGATTTACAAGGTTTCATGGTGTTCATTTAAGTTATGTTGTGTGCCTGGCTGCAAAGTAAATAATATAAATAAAATATAAATATATATTATATTATATTATATTATATTATATTATATTATATTATATTATATTATATATTATATTATATTATATTATATTATATTATATATATTATATTATATTATATTATATTATATTATATTATATTATATTATATTACCACACGATATAGTATAATATAATATAAACTAGACTGTTAATATGTAGAATATGATTTGATGATTTGATTTCTTTCTTTAGGCTGTCCAATGACATCGAGTACATGGCGGGCAGTAGGCCTTTCTTCTTTTGGGTGCTTTGTTGGAAATACATTTCTCCATTGGTCATGTTCTTTGTTTTCATCACGAGTGTCATTCAAATTGCCAAAGAAAAGCCAACGTATTTGGTTTACGTTGGTTGTTTGCAAGTACGTATGGTTTTATTATCCACATCAATTGAGCATTTTGAATTTTGCCAGCAGGAAGAGTATAGGCTGTTGCTCGCTACTCCCACCTCAACATCAATAAATGCCAAAAGAGTGCAAAAGTTTAATTTGATTTTTTTAAAAAGTAGTTTATATTTGCTTGCGTGATGCAAAACTCTCTCGTAAACACTTTTTTATCGTTCGCTTGATCCTTATTTCAGAAACCGTTCAGTTTGTTGTTTCCTGGAGCGGATAACTCGACAACAAGATTGACGTACCCCGCCTGGGGAGAAGTACTTGCAGTTGTTTTGGTGTTAGTATCCGTGTTTCCATTGCCAATTTATCTGGTGAAGAACTGGCCAAAGAACTGGCGCCAAGGATTTCGCAATGTCTTCCTTTCTGGGAAAGCCAATTACTATCCAGACCCTTCGTGGTGTGACAAGTCGAGAAGGATTCCTCCAGAAGTCATGGAAAAGATAATCAGGCAAGAAGACATCGCCATTAAAAAACTAGAGCTGCAACACGAGAGATCTAAGCAAGAAAACACTAAAGTCTGATGACATTACACGACGTATTTGATCAAAGACAGTAGATTGTAGACGATTGTAGAGAAATAAACAAAGATTTCGATGCGTTCACCTCTTATGGGTTATGGTTGAATTATGTTTGATACATCTAGTATGCCAGTTTTGAAAAAGGCGATTCCGCATTCTTAAACGTGTTATCGGACCGTCCATCCCTCTGCCCCTCTGACCCATACTCCTATTTCATCTTCTTTTCGCTGGCATATTTACTTAGAAATAAATGTTTATGATGCTCGATGTCGCAATCCCATCGAAGAGATTTTCGGTCCTTATCATGGTCTGAAACCGATCTTATCCCAACACCTGAATCATTTATGAATTCACACTTGGCAATAAAGCTTTCTTGCTAGCGTTTTTATTTGAATGATTGAAGTTTAGTTTTAATCCCAAAATTGTAATATATACAGTGTGATTAATTTTATTATTTCTATTTATATCAGTAATTAAAGTCATTTTTTCCTTCTTCATTAGGTTTATATCTTTGTGCACTGTTTTATCTTTTATTTTATTAATATTTGTTGGAATATTTTATGCTCCTTTTCGCAGCATTTATGTCCCTCCAATTGGATGATTATCATAATTTAAAAAAGGCAGCCTCTGAACTGCCAGATATGTCGTATATGTTGGTCTTACTGACGTCACTGTAGTGTTGCATTTCAAGGTAGCAAGTTCTGAAAGCATTAGCAGTATCCGTAGACTAAGTGGTAGCATGAAAATGTCCGTGATATTTTACTTTTTACTCTTTTATAATGATGTTTTGTTCTCCAGAACTAGTCTCTTCTCTGACTTCCATTGAACCTAGCGCCTCAATAATTGCTTCTGCGATGACCTCAGAAAATGTCAGATGATGAAGAAATTGTGAGTGAATTTTGTATATTGTTATTTTAAAAATGCCCTTAGAAGGCACTGCAAATACACAGACAGTATTATTAATTTTCAACCATGACAAGGGAAAAAAAAGTAAAACAGAATATACTGACATCTGTAGACTGAAAGCGAATTCTCCTATTCAGGTTAGTTGAAGTGTTACCAACCTTTAAGTTTAAGTATTACAGGTTAGGGACTAGAAATATTTCTCTCTCCTGTCACAAACGGACTTTCAGGGTATAATTCTAAGCCTTGATCAATCGAAATCTTTTGAGCCTTATAGTATCCCCACAAAATTGTTGACAATTCTTGGACCTCGCGTATCTAAAGCCATTGCCCAACTTTAAATAGATACTTTCACATCACAAAGATAGTTTTCCCTCCAAATTCAAGCTCGCTAAGGTAATCCCAAATTACAAAACATTCGACCCTAGAATAGCGAATAAGAAACATCTTATGGTTTATCTTAAACTACCATGGTAACACTTTCTTGCTATATGCTATTTGAAAGACAGATAAAACAGGCCATCAAAGAATGTTTCTTTGTTGTCAACCCTCGTATTACCTACAGTACTAGGAGAGCCCTTCCATCCATTCAAAAGGATTGCGTTCCTACCACCCAAAAGAGTCCTGTTGTTTATGGATTTACGTGCCAGTGTGATTCTAGCTACGTATGACGCACAACCCAATAATTGGGGGATAGGCTAAAACAGTATTTTCCTTCCAACATAAGAAACAAAAATTTTACTCTGATGAAGCCCTCTATGCCGGGGCGAAATATTAGTATTCGCTTAATTTAATTTATTTTCAAAATTTATCTCACAATATTGGATTCTCGTCGCCGTTTTGCTTTGTTTCTGAATTCTATCCTCATAAGAAACAAAACTGCCCCTCTAAGAGAACAGCTTCCTCAATCGTGTAGGTCTTAAAACACAGTAAAGACTTGTGGCTCTGCCATCGAACATCACGTTTTCCAAATCTTTGATTGGCTGAGCGACCAAAATTCTCCATACTCCAAAGTCTAATCAGAATTCAAGAATATGACAGCAAGATTTCGCAGCTAGATTTAGGCCTATTTTGGACGTTTTTACCACCATCCACAAAAAAATAAACGTGTAAAATGTGCTAAAAGTTAACTTAATTTTTTTCAAAAAATTGAATCTTTAATAATTTTATGAAAAACTGTCGTTGTACTCAGTAAACAATTTTCCGCGATCGCTAGTTAAGCCTGATTTACACGAGACGATTCTTTTCATGCAAAGCGAATTTTTCGCCGCGAATGCGCGAAAAATATATGCAGAAGTAGAGATTAGGGAATTCGCAGCGGATAATTCGCTGCGAAAAAGTAGAAACCATTCCTACCTTTTCGCTGCGATATTTTTTGCCTTGTAAAATAAACCAATCAGAACAGCATTTGAAGACACCTGACTTCTGTTTTGGTTTCGGATGGCCTACGTCTTTCCGCATTCTTTTTCTCAAACACTCTCGCCTATAAAACATCAATAAAATAGGTTGATAATTATTCATTTCCTGGCCCTCGTACACAATCCATGTAAGTGGATTCATTTCGGATTATTATTAAAACATTTGAATTTCAAATTGACAAAAACTGGCTTGAAAGTTTCATCGTTCTACCAATATGTCGGAAATAAGAATGTTAGGCAAGAATTTCTTCAAATTGCTAAATTGTCGGCTGCTTATTGGCCTGCTCAACAGCAACAGTTTCAAGCAGATGCACTAACAGGCTCTCGCATGCTCTTGCAAGCTTCGATTGCGACCTTTGAAAGTATTTGAAGAAGTTATCCTGGTCTTATAAATGTAAACGTAAACCTCTCTTACCGAAAGATGGAATTCCCCCTTCTGAAGACGTCCCGAATGAATTTTTCTAATCCAGTATCGCTTTTTGCTGTTTTGCTCGCTTTTTTGATAAATTTGAAATTTTAAACTTTCTGATAAAAGCACTCTTCGGACAGTCGCTATATTCCTTTGCAATAATCGCAGCGAATTCGCATAAAAATGTTTGCCAGTGTAAATTGAACTTCGAATTCAAGAGAAAACTTGGAAGCTAAAGAATTCGTAGCGAAAAATTTGCTTCGCGCGAAAAATTCGTCTCGTGTAAATCAGGCTTTACGAAGACTTGAACTGCCCCTTTCAAACCCTTATAATAATTAGAGGGGAGGGAGAACATAAAAATCGTAGTTTTTAAACCTTAAAAGTTGTTTTATCCACTTAATTAACAAATATTAAATTACCTTTACAAGCTAAAGTTAATTCCACTGGGAGAAAATGCAGCCCATCTTTCTCTCAAAATAACTACAATCGTACAATTTCTTTTGCTCTCAGGTATTTAATATATGTATTCTAAAGATCGGTGAGAAGCTCACGTCTACTGATGTTCACTGCTACGGCCTTGTAAAAGCTGATGCCATTCGTCAACGACGAAAAGGGCTGGACTTTAGGACATTTCCGGCTGAGGTAACTAATACTCATTTATGAATCTGTTAGAAAGACAACTCTATCTTCCTGTAGTGAGTAATTTTCTCTAAATGGAAATACTCACCAACACGTTGATAAGCAAGCATGACGTGGTGAATATTTCTTAATCATGAAAATTGGCTTTAAAACGTCTTGAGGTCTATTCCATACCTGGTGTAAAAATATGGTCCTCTTTATGCTCCTCTTACAATTTGGACCCAGACATTGGCAAAGCTGATATCACTTCTTTTCTAGTTCGCGGCTGAATGAAGTCTTCGATTACTTCACTTTCTTATTTGTTTTCTTCTTCTTCTCCATCCAGTTCTCTCAATAAAATGTTTTCAACGCTCATTGCCAATGTATCATATGTAAGAAAGTATTCGTTAGTGTCAACGTAATCATTCGGAATAATTTCTGACTCGATCAAACTTTCATCTCGTGCTCTGCGTCTATCAGCCAGTGCTTGAAATGCATCAAAAGCATGTCTTGCCGATTGCAAGAATGATTTCCCCCAAGAGAAAGTGATGTATGAACACGGGAAACAAATGAATAAAAATCACGGGAAATAAATAAGTAATAATAACAAATGAAACATTTATGCAATGTTCGTTAAATCGAGGGTAGTTATGATTCGTAATAACGAGAGTTCGTTATTACGAGAGTAGTTATGGTTCGTAACGAGAGTTTGTTATACCCGGGGCTCGTTATACCAAGAGACTTTGTTAGGCAGAATCCAAGGGACCGGACATTTAGTTCGCTATGCCGGGAGGTTTGTTACATCAGGGAATCGTTATGTTGGGATTCCACTGTATTGCACAAACCTGAAGCAAGAACTTTAGACAATTACAAATGAAGTAAACTGTAACTTCTGCCTAGCGCTTTTTAATCTGTTTTTAGAAGAAATTCGTAGACGATGTTTTGACAAAAGTAGGGGATTATTACCCCTATACCCCCCTTGGCTTATTACCTCCTATACTATCCTATTTTCTTATACGCATGAATACGGTGGCCCACAGCGGTCGTTACCCCTTACCTTCATGAAATTTAGCGATTCTTCTGATTTTGCTATTGTTTTGGCTTTTCTTGGCGCTCAAAGAAACAAGCGAAAGAGAGCCAAGAAGTCGCAGCTCACTCTGCGTTGCGGTGGAGGAGCGATCAAGAAAGATAATAGAGTTTCTTTGTTACCATGGCAGCCATTGATAACTTTTGCCCAGACTTCCCTGTTCATCTGAAAATTTGGCCTATGCTCGCAAACTTCCCGGCTACTAAGAAAGAAAAAACCTATGGCGGAAAGCAAATATGACTTGCTTTTGGTTCCAACCAAAGATAAAAGCCGTATAAGACATCAACCTTGGTAAGCGAAATTCCTAATCAAACATACTTGTTTGATTGTGTGAAGATAAAGTGGAATGAAACGACAAGAAATTTCTTGAATTTTATATGCATGACATTTACAAATGAAACATGCTTGTAGATCAGGACCATCTTCTTATTGTTGAATTTTTAACTTGAATGAGGTGAAAAAAAAACTTTGGTGACGATGCATTTATTCCTAGAGCTGCCTGTATTGTATAATTAGCTATACACTTTTGTTTTGGAAATACTAGCAAAAAAATTGTCAACAACCAGAAACTTTTCTGAAAATTGAATGATTTTTTAAATTGCCAAATTTAGCTATATTAAGCGTTTAACGTCCATGTAAATGCATTTTGTAAATAGATAAGATGTTTCTTTGATATTTTGTGACATTGGATTTGTATTGTTTTTATTTTTTCATTGATGTATTACCATTTAAAATTTTTTTAGGGTTAGGTCTTAAAGTGTGTCTTAAAGTGTGTCAAATTTGTGTCTTAAAGGTACAAGGAACGGCTACAAACAAAATACTGCAAACCTGTAAATAAGAAAGACTGGAAGCCAAGACTCACTGCATCATCATGGACATTTATTAAAGATGGACTTGATGATTTCCGTGATGGAAAGCCACCTCCTGTCAACTCAGACCTTGTCATTAAAGTAAATCTTTTGGCTCCTTTCTATGAAATGACAATATTTTGATTTACAAATTTTCCAAATATTTTTTAACAACAGTACAATATATTTATTAGCACCATCAATGTTGATGAGCATACAATAAAGGAATACAGATATATCTAATCTATATTTGTTTGTATCTAAATAAGTTTTTAAAACTTTGAAAATGGCACAAAATAGTGGAAACATAGGCACACTCTTTGGAAAATTATCATGAAAAGGAAGTAGACAATTCATACCCAGGTGTGAATTTAATAAAACTTTAGAAGAAGAGTGACATTTTATTGCTTTTTTAGATGCATTTGATAATATGCTCCAAAATTTGGTCCTATTTCTATCTGGGAAAAAGTTTGGTGCAGAAAAATGCCCATTTTATTTAAAAAAATTGCAGATTGGCAACATTTCTTCAAAATTTGAAAGTCAAACAAAAAAGGCCATAGCCAATTTTTTCCACTCTGTAGCCTCGTGTGGTCTAACTCTATATAACTAAAGTCTTGCTCCCATCCATTCAAAAGAGTTATACTTCTACCCAAAACAAATAATTTTTTGTGAATTTTTGTTCCAATGTGAAGCTCAGTATGTAGGATGCACTTAAGGCAGCAATACTGAGTAAGTCAATAGAATGTTCCAATAAAATTTCGCAATTGGTCAAAATTTGCTCACAATACAAATTTACCTAAACACATAGTTGGGCAGGCAAGGCTGTCTTTTCAATTAGGAGTTTTAGAATCTGTTTACAAATGGCCATTTAATAGTTAAAGTTTAAAAATAAGAACAATTATTTGCTATTGGCTTTCACATTTACGTTGTTAGTTTGCTTCTATTAGATTTATTATTTTCTAGATTTTTTCTAGACACACTTCATAGAGAAAACTTTTAAGATCAATTTATATGACAATGATTGAAATTTTTTAAGGCATTTCCTGTTGAATATTATCTTTATTTTACAGGGATCAAAGGGCTTAGAACCTAATCTCTTTGGAATTGATTCTGACTGTCAAAGAAAGCCAAAACAAATGATTGCTAAGCATTTGCCAAAAGAAGAAGTTGTTTATCAAAAGTAAGCGAAACCTATATCAAATTCATGAAGAATTGGCTCTGAAATGTAACAAGTCCATATTCTTACATTCATGGTAAAAACAACAAAACCTATAATTCTTAATTTTTGAAGGGTTCTGAGTCAGGTACCCTGATATATCCACAAAGCAATTTTTCTGCTATTCTTTGTTAGGTCTCCTTTTGCATTGCCAAATTTTGTATCATCAGATCTTAGTTGAAAATGTGATGTGTAACAGCTGTGACTGGACAAAAATCATGCATAAATTTCCTGCGAGAATGTAATGATAAAAGAAGAAAGGGTCAGTCATGTTCTAAAAACCATAGTGATGTGTCATCAGTTTTATGAAAGCATAAGCTACATTTAAAAAACCTTAAACAAGTTTACTATCGCTTCAAAATCATTTCATGAAGACCAGATACATCTTTATAACAAAGATCCTCAAGACAGATGAAAAACTGTAAACTTTTATCAAATAAGAATGAATACCCATCCAGTCACATGATTGGATGGGTATTCATGCACTGTGTAACAGTATCATATATCTTTACAAAGACAAAAAAATTGTCCTTTAATGATACATTGAATGTTGTCTAATATGAATAAATTTTTGCTTATAATTTGCTCAATTTTATGGAATTCTTTGCAATCTTAATTTTATTGTGAAACAAAGGCAAAGCAAGTTTTTGTATTCAAATTGAAGGCAATTGCCACAGCAATACAGAAGAAGGAAAAGGATTGAAGACATTGAAAAAGCCCTTCTGGAACATCCACTTGCTTTATTCCCCCACTTTGAAGAATCAGTTCCACCAGAGGTACACATACAAATCTAATTTTTTCTCCATCTTCTTAGATATATCACAACTTGCTGTTTTGATTTCGAAATTGCTAAGACTGAAAAGTAAAATCAATTTCCACCTTGATAATGATTTTTTAAAATAATTCTGTTGCTCAAAGAATAATTTGTTTGAATAGAATTAATGATCTTATCAAGAAATATAGAACAAGCTTACATGCTTTGGTGTCAAGTATGTCATTTTCTGCCCTGTTCAAAACCACCCTGTTCTACCAAATGCATAGAAACCAGGGGGCATAGCTGGGCACATGTCCTCTTAAAATTTTAACCAGGAGGCATAGAGGCTCCAGGCCTCTCCGGAAAAATATCAACACGGGCTATAATAAACCCTTGCCAGTTTGGCTGCATGGGCTATTTAGTTCTTGCAGACTCTTGCAGAACTGTTGTTAATTTTTTATATTTGAGTATTTACAAAGGCAAAAATACATACCTTGCCAATTCTTTAAACACTCTTAAGAAGGCATTTTTGTGTGTATTACTACCTTTGAATTTGTATTGCCACAACTTAAAATGAGACAAAAGAGGAACATAACTTTTTTGGAATATAGCAAAGTTTTGTTAGATTTTGCTGGTCAAATGAGGCTTTTTTGGGAATGCCTTGTTTATATGTTGTGACTTGAAAAGAAATTGTTTTGTATTTGACAGCATGGTGTAACATTTCTCACTTTAATCATTCGTAGCATTAATCAAGCTATATGTTATTCTTTTTGTGGGAACACATTTCCTATTCCATTGCGAGTTTTAGCAGATATTTTGTTTGTTGTTGATATTTGCTTTATAAGGAAATGGAAATCCCCTATTTATAACGCCATTTGATAAACACATCTAGATGTGTAATGCCTATTTCTCTTTATTTCCTATCACCCTGATATTTAGAGGTAAATAGTACAAACATTGGGAAGCTAAACTGCGCAGATTAAATGAGAACATTGGTTTCAAAAACTACGCAGGCAAAAAAAGCCCATGCAAATTCATTTTGTGCAGGCACGGGGCACATGTCCTTCTAATTTTCACCAGGAAGCATAGAGGGGAGATGTCCTTCTAATTTTCACCAGGAGGTATAGAGGGGCACATGTCATTCTAATTTTCACCAGGAGGCATAGAGGGCAGATGTCATTCTAATTTTCACCAGGAGGTATAGAGGGGCACATATCATTCTAATTTTCACCAGGGGGACATAGAGGGGCACATATCCTTCTAGTTTTCAGAAACTTAGTTGAAGTACCTTTTTGCAGCTCACAGAGGTGTCTTTATTTTTCCTACTTATGCCCTTCCCATTTTTTGATTTGCTTCTGACCTTTATATGACAATTGTTCTATGTACCAAACATTGAACTTTGTTACAGATTCATTAATTTTGTGCATTTGCTTTTTCCAGTGTTATTTATTCAAAGTCTCAATATGTATTTTATATACTAATATTGTCCTGCTTAAATAAACATTAAGCTTAGCTGTGGCTGGATTTATTATTGTTACACATCATGTTACACATTCATAATCTTAATTCTATTTCATGTTTCAAGCTTTTTGAAGAAATAGTGGAGCTATTGGATCCAGCAATGAACTTGGCAGACGAAGAGTCCCAGTCAGCACAGAGAGTATGTGCCTTTTTGCAAAATTGATGCGAGTTTTTGGTTTTATTTGATAACAACCTAATTTCAGTTGTGTAGCCTTTTTTCTTTAGTACTTTTTTACTGATTCTTTGATACTCAAATTCAGGATTTTTTTCATGAGATCATTGAATAGCTTGCAATGAATTGCTGTTTGGTGTATCATTTTTTGTAGAATTTATTGCTTAATTTCCACTTTATCAATTGCAGTCTGAACTGGGTGGGCAGGATTCAAAATCAACTACTTCAGATATTTTTGAGGTATGCAAAACTGAGTTTTTCGATATAATTTTAATTATTCTACTTTGTTCACCTGCTTTGAATTCTTCAATACAAAAAGACTATAACAAAGGTTATACCAGATGTTTAAAAAAATATAACTTTGTAACCTTGAAGAGTTGATACGAGACATTCATAGAAAGTAGTCATTCAGATAGGCTCCGGCTGGGATTTTTAATTTTGTAATCGGTATGAAACTCTTATATATGCATTTAATTTTCTCACATGAGTTATCTATTCTGATCAAAAACAGTGCTTGATACGCAATAGCACAGAGCAATTGACACAGTAGAGGTTGGGTTAAAAATGAGATATATTCGCTGTTACTTCAAGTTTCATCCAGACAGATTGTAGTCTGGTTGATGAGTGAATCAGCATGAAACTTGGAGTAGCAGGGAACATGTCTCATGTTTCTGCAACTTCTACTCTGTACATAATTTAATTTTGTATTCTTTTTGTTGAAAATAATCATGATCTTTGTCGTCGTTTTAGGCAGGAAGGTCGTACTCAAGAGAACTTTGTTCCGGGTTAGTTGTGATCAAATTTAGATTGAAAAATTAATAAACTAGTAAACATCATTAAATACCAAATAGACAGAGCCAGGAAACCTTTGTATTCAGAATTTGAGACCATACGAGGCAATGAAAAGTACATGAGTAAATGCTGTTTGATGGATGCTTTCAAAATAAGAAAAAAATAATTTTTTTAATTTAGTTTTTGTCATGATTTTGTTTTTAAAGTCCTAATTGGTCTTAATTATGGAAGTATTTTTCATTTTTATTTTCCTTTAACATTTCATCTTTGTATCAAATGAGAGCAACAAAACATCTTCTGTTTTCATTACACAGTTTTATTGTTACAAAATGTGTAGATGTAGTTTTATGAAATATACACATCTTTAGTGATATTTGAATTTCTACAAACATATGCAATATTATTATCCAGTATAAAATCAACACAAAGCTATAAACATCAGATGGATCTTGCTCTTCTTATTCTAGAAAAAAACTGAGAAAAGGTAAACATTCTTCCTGTTGTTCTCTCTCTAGATATAGAGATGCTATAGAAACAGCTAAGAAAAATCAATATAAATGGCTACAAGAACAAGTTGAAGTAAATCGAGAGGAGCGCATCAGGGCAATGAAAAAGAGACAGGAGTCCCCTACCCAGGTATAAGATACACACAAATTTTATCATCCTAAACATACATTATTTCTATTACTTCTATTTCTCTCTGTTTTTCTTTCATTTTTGAATGTGTAAGGCTTTAGCTACTGATAACCCCTTTTGACAATTCTGCTAGTGTCATTGACTTCTTCTTCCTTCTTCCTTCTTCTTCTTCTTCTTCTTCCTCTTCTTCTTCTTCTTTTTCTTCTTCTTCTTCTTCTTCTTCTTCTTCTCCTTCTTCATCTTCTTCTTCTTCTCCTTCTTCATCTTCTTCTTCTCCTTCGAAGTGCCCTGTCTGCAGACGTTGGCGATCATGATCTTCCAATTTTTCCTGCTCCTTGCTAGATGTAAAATCCCACTTGTAGTTATGTCGTTTCTCCAGTTGTTTGTTATTTGCACTCTTCAATTTTTCAAATAAGTCATCCATTGTCGTTCTCTGTCTTTCTTTCCCTGTATTCTTCCCGTTAGTACCGGGCTCTCCAACTTCTCTTTCCTTACTACATGTCCCAAGAATTCCAATTGCTTTCTTCGGACTGTCTTCAACAGCTTCCTTTCCGTGCCTACTCTTCCCAACTCCTCTTCGTTTGAAACATGGTCAGTCCACGAAACTCTTAGCATTCTTCTTAGGAGCCACTGCCATTTCTGCAGCTTGCAGCCTCTTCGTCATTTCGTCTGACATTGTCCAGCATTCACACCCATATAGCAGAGTAGGTGTTACATAGCATTGCAGTACTTTCATTTCTGTTGGCAATGATATTTTCTGGTGTTTCAAAATCGAATGCTTCCTTGGCTATTCCAATTCTACGCTTTATTTCAGCGTCACATTTACCATTCCCAGTAATATCGCTTCCCAAGTAATTAAACTTGTTTACCCGTTGGATTCGTTCATTCCCAATGAATAGGCTGCACTTAGGACTTTGTTTCTTGCTGACTACCATGCACAGAGTCTTTTTACGATTTATTTCTAATCCCTTTTCCTTGCTTTCAGTCACTACCTTTTCCAAGAGATCCTGTAGTCCTTTTTGTGTGCTTGCAATAAGAGTAGAGTCATCTGAAAAACTTATATTGTTCAATTTGTGCCCACCGACAACGATTCTCTTAAAGTCTTCTAGTTCTTCTTGAAGATCTTCTCTGTGTATAGAATAAACAGGACTGGGGAGAAAACGCATCCCTGCCTTACACCTATTTTTGATCTTGGCATATCTACTCAGATCCTTGTCGATGCGCATACAAGCCAGCATTTCTGCAGTAATCTCGTCAGGTCCAGCTGCCTCGTTCTTTTTCATTTTATTTAGTGCTGACTCTGTTTCTGATTTTAGAATATTGGCTTATTTCCTCTATCTTTTTTGAGCAACTCTTCTGAATACTCCGTCCATCTTTCCAATACGTTTTCTTTCTCCGTAATGATTTTACCATCTTTGGGTTGTATACAGCCAGATGGAGCTGAAGATCTGCAGCCACTGATTTCTTTGATCTTTTGGCACATTTTCGCTGGATCTCCTCGTCTGTGTTGTTCTATCTCTTCGCATTCTGCATTGAATCATTTACTAGTATTCCATCAATTTTAGAAGAGTTTATTAGATCTCTTCCTAATTTTCTATACTCTATTTTCTGTAACCTTAGTTATCAAATTATTTCAGCATTTTCATAATAATTACAGGAAACTGGTATTGATGATGTCACAAAAGAGTTTTGTGATTGGGTTAGAAATTTGGTAAGCTGATAGTGTCTTTTTTCCTAATTGCATTGGTGTGTAGAACAGGACAGTTCTAAGAGTTAATTTAGTGTTCCACCAGTGTTAATTTAGTGAACAATCATCAGATAGTTGTTTCAATAAATGCTTCTTAATCGTTGTTTAAATTACTTCAATAACCTCAGAAGCAGCTTTCAGTGAAGATGTATAATTGAGATTTATAATGATGAAGTTTTAAAACTTAATAGCTTTGTCAGTCAGACATTTCTTGTCACTTTTCAAAAAATAGAAGGAAATTAACCAGACTTCTTCAATAAAAGCCAGTTCTTGGCAGCAATAATTAAACTATAAATTAAGTACAAATTTTGCCTTATTCATTCTTTTTTGGCAACCAAAATTACTGCCAGTTTGACACTAAAGCTCAAGGGCTAGCATTATTCTTGACACAAAATGCATTCTAACAATAGTCAAGATCAAATAAAAACAGTAGCACACCTTAAAAGTTTGTTTTGAGAATAAACTTCATTTTTTCTTGACACCTTTCCCATAGAGATGATCTTATCTCAGTAATTATTCAATTTTTCCTGCATTTACGGTTGACTTAGAAGTCAGAATTGCTTTGCCAAATTTAATTTAAATGTTTTTTCTTTATGCAAATTTCTCAATTTCTTTCATAATTTCTATTGAAACTTTCAATTGAATTACTTTCTGTATTTACAAAGGGTGGCAAAACGAACAATATTGAAGAATCTACGATCTATAGCCTTTTTGCAAGTGGCTATGAAACAAAGGTAAAATTCAGAAATTTGGAATTTTAGAATAGCAGTCTTACCAGTGATGGGAATTTTGCTTTTTGAATGGGGCAAGGAGAGTGAGCTTTTCAATTAGCCTGCTTGTGCTTTTCCTTGTTAACTTCATAGATGAGAATATCTACTTTGCAATAAAAATTTAATGCATATCTAATGAGGACAGAAAATACTGCAACTGCTGCAAACCTGTCATAATTTTTGCAATTCAATCTTCTTTCCATGCCAGTAGCTTCAATTTGTGAATGTCTTGTAAATTTTTTCAGTATAGCTAGTTGCTCCCCCTTGTATCAAATCTGAAGGTATTCATCTTTACACAGCCGGCACTTTCAGTTCCTATTCATGTTGTTGAATTGACAAATGTTCCACCAGAGCTGAGAACTGGAAATATCGCCCCAACCAAGGATGATTCAAAAGAGAAAGCAAAGAGAAACGAGGAGGTATATTTTTCGTTGTTTTCATCGCTATTCAAGAGCATGTGGTGCGAACTCCATGCATGGCCTTTCATTTTGAAAACGCAGTGATTTATTGTTTTTGTTTCATGCACCAGTTAACTAAATAACCCTCTTTGGGTCTCTTTGGATTTTATCTGAGATTCGCCAGTTCCCTTGTGCTTGTCTACTATATATAATGTTGATTTATCAGCAATTGCTTTTCTCCTTTTGACTTGATATGAAATTATTTCGAATCTTTTACAGCCTGAAACGAAATACACGCCAAGTTGGGTAAAAAAGTACCACTCGCCTTGGTATCTTGACCCGAAAAAATGGTCAAGCGATGTTCCGCCGACGGGGCTGCAAGATCCAAAAGAAAGCAAAGAACAAAAATGACTGAATCAAAACAGAAAAGCAAAGACCTAGTAAGCAATTTCAGTGCAATCTGCTGCCTTTTTGTGTATTTAAGCCAAGTTTTAACTGCGGGCATGTCCTACCTGGACCGCAAAAGTTTCTTGAAATGTTTTAGGGCCACACCCTTTTGCAGACAGCTTCTAGACATTTCTGTCAATATGAATGGCATATACACTTAATTTCAAAAAGTATTGCACCTGTTCAACGAATAAATAAAACAACAGTTTTGTAAACAACATAGTCAATTAAATTTTTGAATTTTATTTCGTGGAGCAGCAATTTAAAGCATTAGGCATCAATTTAAAGTTTTTAAAGCAATCAAAAAAACCTCAAACTACGGGCAAGAGTTTTAATTTAGAATTTGTAAACAGTTACTTTTTAAAATGTAAACAATGTTGACCTCTTATTCCACAGTCTCAAGGCTCTGAAAACTATGCGAGCCTTGCTATAATTTTATCAAACCTTTTATAACAAGTTCTGATAACTACAGCCGTTTTTATGACGACTATATCAATGCGATTGAGGCACTTGAGTTAGCCTGTTTATTGCTGCAAAATTTGGTTTTTTCATTCAATGAGGAGATGAAATGTTGTTTTGAGCAATCTTTAGCATTGTTTGGTCGTTAAACAACATTGCAATAGATTGGCGAAGATTGACTTGTCGATTTGTGACACATTTAATATGTTGAATTATGTTGCAATATACATATTCTTTCACGAAGTGGCTTCTGCCATTAGGCCCGTTGCTGCAGCAAAATTTTCTGACAAAGACTTAAGCTTATTCTTTAATAACAGCGAATGAAATAACATTTGTTAGGCATCAAAGCATGAAGTTAGTATCTCTGAGTTTATTTTAACCAAATCTCTCAAACGTTTGTGCCAGGATAAGCTTTTTATTGCAAATATTTCACAGGTATCATCAAAGCTCAATTTTCGTGTTTTCGCAATCGTCGAAAAAGTTTAGAAATAGGAAAAACTCGAGAGTCTTTCCGTAAATTATAACTTTATTACAATACCTTGATAAATTTTCTATTATTTTGCAACTGATCAGTCATCTTAGAACTTTTATGTACCTTGCTACAACTTTTTGAATTTTAGTTATTTAAAAAAATTTGGCAGCTGTACTTACATTTTCTGGCGGGCGGTGCAATTTTTTTCGAACGTTAGTTTTGCAACATTTTGGTAGATTACGAATAGCCAGCCTTTCTTACTTCATTCCCGGATGTTACCAACAATGTTGTCAATCGAATTTGCCAACAAAATATGTCTATGATTAACTTACTTGAATAGGAACAAAATCAGGTGGTTATTTTGCTTTTGTGATTCAACTGATATGACTCTAGGGAGCAACTCTGATACCTGCAATAGTTAGGGGAAGCGTGGGGAATTAAACTTTCGAGTTTATACTTAGTCTAGCCTTATTTGCGATAAAAGTAAAAAAATGTTTTTGTGATGTGATACCCATTTTAATTCTAGGACAAAGTTCTTGCTTCTTTGCACGGTGCTAGAGCATTTAAGGATTTTGTTGATACCAAAAAGACAAGGAGACCTGAGGTAAGTGCTTATATCATGATGCTTATATCATGATGCGATAGTGGTAATTGTATTGCAAACACCCCCTGCAGAAATAGTTCAATCTGTTATGAGTGACGGGCAGGTGTAAGGCATGTTATCAGTGATGCGTCCTTATAAAATGTTTTTATTCCATATCACGTTGACCACATTTAGATAAAAGTGGGTAATTAACCCCCGCCCCCTCTTAGTGCTCTGAACCCCAATTAAAAACATATGGAAAATTAACCCTCTATGAAATTATGTTCAAAAACTGCTCTATGATTTTGAGTCTCGTAATTTTCCAGTAATTACGACGAATAATTGTCCTTCGCAGTTCCTGGAATCCGTTGCTAAGCACCAAGAAGAGATAGCAGCAGAGGCATCCAAAGCGCAAGAAGAATCGAATGGAAAACTCGGACCAAGAGAACAAAGAGCCAGGACGTTTTCTCAGAGGACAACGACACCAAAATCGAGAACAGCAACGTTTGATTAAGCCTTCATTTCTAGAAATTGATTTATCTCGAAATCTTTTACAACCGATCATCGCAATAATGTACATTGTAAATATGTTAATAGGTCTTTGGAATACAAATGGTGTCCTTCTTACATACAAATAACTTGGCAACAATTTTGTAATCATTCATCAACAGTAGCAATGAAGTAATCATTCAGAATTCTAAAATAATAAAATTGCCAAAACTGAAATAAACGCAACAATAATGGCAATCAAAATGAAGAAAGTGCGTCTTGACAAAATTTGCTTTTCATCTTCGATCTTGGTGTTCTTCGGTTTTCTTTTCCGGCCGCCCATTTTCCTTTCAAAGCACTCAACTTCCTCCTAAGACATAAATCAAATTGTTCAGTTTTAACAAGTTGCAAAGTAGAAACATGTCGAAATCTGACTAATTCGAGTTAAATGTCACGAGTTGAGTTTGATGGTGGGGCAACGTTTGGAAATAAAAAAATGCTAATTAATTAAGAAAACAAATTACAGTCATATTGCAGTAATTTCTCTATTGAAAGTTCTCGATTAATTTGAGGAGTCAGCTTTTCGAACTGTGAAATAGGATACGCAAAAAACCACCAGACGGTCTGTGGGAGACAATACATCTATATTTTTGCAAATATGAAACGTTGTCACTTGGCCGTGTAGTTTGGCAAATCTCTTGCCATGTTGGTTTGAGATGGACTGAGTATGGCAGGTTCTCTTTTCAATCCTAACGTGTCATCTTTTGGCTCATTTATTCGTATTTGTGCTGATTGAAGATATTCATCCCGCCAAAATCGCACCAGCCAATTGAAACAGCCTTTACGGACAGCCTTTTGTGACGTCGGTTAGAGAGAACCTAGCTAGCATTAAAGCTAGCATAATCATTCATATGACGGAACTTAAATTGGGTTACACATACATGTATGCAAAATGACATGACATAGGAGCCATGGCTTGCTCCAAGAGCCAATTCCGCACTGCTTCCCCATATATCAACAAGGACATATCAGACTGCTTCCCCATATGTCATACCAATTACATGACTATACAAATCAAAGTCTTCAATCAACCTGCTGCTTTTTCAGTTCCTCCGCTTTCATTTCTGCAGCCTTTTTCTCCTCCTCTTTCTTTATTTCATTTCGAATTTCTTCACATTTATCATCACATTCTAATGACGAAATCCCATACTGGGCATCCTTGCAGCGCTGGTCCTACGATTTAAAAAGAAAAGTTTCCCATTTGCATCAATAATAAAATATAAGACTTCAAAGGATTTTGGTCAGAATTAAGAATCTTTGGACGACATGTATTAGATTGCAGGCTTAGAATGCAGGCATGTGTCCTAGGATAAGGTATTAGTTAATTTAATTTATTTTCGAACCGTTTCCCGTTATAAAGGATGTTCGCATTAAGCGGTTTTGTTTCTGCTTACAATTTTACATCCAGCCAATACAGTTAGGAACTTAAGAGTAATTATGCATTTACATTTAGATGCCATTAAGGGTACGCAGCATGAATCCTACTTGCCTTTTTTATTCTTCTGCAAGAACAAAACAGCTTTACTTTCTGGCTGCATGTTTCAGGCTTAGGACAATCTCCTGGGTGGCAAATTTTAGGACAGCGGTGACTGCATTCTAATGACTTCGGGCATCGATTTTGACACGACTTGGCCGCTTCCTCTTCTTCACCATCCTTAGAGGCAAGTGCACTGTCGAAGAGAAACGATGATGTGTCACTAATTTAAAAATAGTCTCTAACCGACGACTAAAACCGATTTAATTCAAAATTTGCAACCAAGCAATCTTGGATTTAGACCTGAAAGCGCAGCTTGATAATTAAGTAGAAAATGACTACGATGCCAAAGAGAGACATATTTTCGTAATTCATTTTCGACATAAGGCTTTTATCCAATTGATGACAAATCAGTAACAAGAATTGGCATAGTGAGGAATTGACATAAACAGCGAGGCAAGACTAATGGCAAAACAGAAATACAAAAAGATGGCTCTCTTTGTCGCTGTGCTGTTTTTTTTGTCTTTCAAGAAAACACAAAACTAGATAGTGTTTCATGGTTTCGAACGAAATTCAAACGAAATTACATATTTTCAGAAATTGGCAGCCTTCAAATATTCTTTGTGTTAATGTAATTGGGAAGCAACAAAAGCATATTGAACATACAAGCACTTGATCTCCATCATGATAAGTCCACAATGGCAGCTGGTACGAACATACTTCACACAGGGCGGACAGTCACCTAAAATCAAACAAGTCAAATTTCATGTCAAAATCTACTGACAATTAAAGGCGCACATTAAAGGAGCAGAGGTCTCTTTTTGTTCATTTGGCAAATATCGGCAAACAGCATCGGGTTAAGGTCAAGCGTCAACGCTATCCTCTACACCATTGTCAAACGAAAATATAAATCTGCCTTTTTGTAACGATGCAAAGCTTTAAACAATTACCTGGGTGGCACGGTCTACTACAGCTGTGAGTGCATTCCGTTGGTCTCGGTTTGAGGCACGGCTTTTCACAAGAGAGGCAGTCACTGCCCGCCTGTAATACAAGGTTGCGCGGTTAAAAAGGGAAGAGAATGAAAGAAAAAAGCTTATCAAATGCAATTTTTCTCAACTTACATATCAGGTAATTGACAAATAAACTGAGCAATATCGAAAACTGAGAATTTTACCTCTGTATCCGAGGGTGCGTTGACAACAACATGACACTCGCGTTCACAGTGATGATTCCCACAAACCAGTCTTCTACCACATCGGCGCTTACACGAGAACGGCTTGTCTTCCGAGCAAGGAAAAGTGGACACCTAAAAAGAAAAACCTTGAATTGTGATATTCTGCTGACGGCGAGAGAAACGAAGAGGCAAGAGTAATTATATAAGCGAGATAAAATGAAGCATCTCTCCGCCGCATCTCTCCTAAATACGTGATGCTTGGCGATCATCAAAGGTCCAAAGTTCACAAGCAACCGTTCATATAGTGAATTAAAAGGATCACAAATTATATAAAAAAGAAATCAATTATATTTTACAATAAATGCACTATTCTTGGTTACAAATCCTTTCAAAGCTGCGTCTCATCTTTTGAAAATAATTTTAGCAACTTACTTCGTGTTTACCAAAGCATTCTCTGAAAAGAAAAAAACATCAAGCTGTCATAATTATTCACCTCTTGGACATTCTCAAAATGAAGTATTCTTTTAGATGTGACGGCGGGTGCTTTAATGAGCCACCTTGCCGAAAAGACAAACTTTAGTCTTTGTGAAAATCTTTATATATAAAATGCTATGCGACTAACGACTGGCAGGCTAACACAGTGACATTTATTGGCCTTAGAAACGCTACTTAAAAGTTTACTTTATACTTGAAACTTTATGTTTTTAATCTTGTATGTATTTATTTGATGTAGTAGTTTTAACAGTTGAGTTGGATTAGCCTTTCTCACTGTAAAAAGCTATGTAGAGCCAAATTAAAATGAATTGATTATCATTATATTGGTGGGGGCTTGAAAGAGAAAGGGGGCTTGAAAGAGAAAGGGGCTTGAAAGAGAAAGGGGTTGAAAGAGAAAGGGGGCTTGAAAGAGAAAGGGGCTTGAAAGAGAAAGGGGGCTTGAAAGAGAAAGGGGCTTGAAAGAGAAAGGGGGCTTGAAAGAGAAAGGGGGCTTGATAGAGCTTATATGGTATTGTTGGTGGTCCTGCAATATCAATGCTACCTCATATGAAACTCATGATATGGACGTCAAGTATCCCACAAAACTCGTTTATTGCACCACTTTTATTTCATCTATACATCAACGACTTCAATTGATTTGAAAAAGATAATGCTACAATTTTTGCTTGAGATAGAACAGTGTGTAATTGAATGCTGGAATTAATAACAAAGCATTTAGGGAAGGACCTTCAAAGGAAACAAAAATGAAAATCACATTTTCACTGCTCAAAATGGCGAGAGAAAGCTCACCGGATAAACATCACTTAAAACTAGATTCTCCTCTTCGTATGTTTTCTGAAGAAATGCTTCGATTAAAGTTTTCAACTATTTACAACGACCATATCGTTATTTAAAAATCACGGTGGTTTTGATCAAATTTTCTTCCTTTAAAACAGGAAGGGGAACAAATCTGTTTCATTACGTTTGAAATACTACCATGCTTACGAAGTGTTAAAAAAAATGAAAATTAAAAAATGAACAAACGTTTGAAAGTCGTTACGTGAAAAGGATTCAAAACCACAACAAGCAATACCTTTGCATCGGAACCTTACACGGAGGACAAGGGAGCTGAACGAAGGTGAAGACTTCTTTTGGTTTCTGATCCAATGAGAAATTTGGCTGTTGATGTAACAGTATTGCAAAATTACGTTAGTAAAAAACCAATCACCTTTCGGTGGAATCGAACATGCGATAAACTGATAGGATATGGAAGATTAAACTATTTTGTCAATTTTCGAACAATCATTACAAAAAGATTGGTAATGAAAGACCATAAAAAAGCAGGGGAATCCCTGGGCACCTTTGTGGAATAAGCTATACTTTCTTCAACGGACACCTTTCTTTAACGGAAACCTTTCTTAAACGGACACCTTTCATCAACGGACACCTTTCTTCAACGGACACCTTTCTTCACTGGACACCTTTTTACAACGGACAACTTTCTTCAATGGACACCTTTCTTCAACGGACACCTTTCTTCAACGGACACCTTTCTTCAACGGACACCTTTCTACAACGGACAACTTTCTTCAATGGACACCTTTCTTCAACGGACACCTTTCTTCAACGAAAATCTCTCTACATGGAAATCTTCCTACTTCACTCACCTGTCCGTTACGTGGTCTGCGAGTTCTACCGTGTTCTGCTTTTGTTGCCCATGTAGGAAAGCTTATTGATGACATGAAAATCTATTTCACACGTTTTTGTCTGGTAGATTCGGCCGGCAACAGATCGATACCAGTTTATCCAACAACGTTCGCCGGTGATATGACCTTCATTCTTTGAATTTGTTCTGTTCTATGTTAAAACAACTGTTAACATTAACTAGAGGTTTTAGTGAATGCAGCTTTTGAACAAAGATTTGGTGAAACAACGCCATTTATGATCATGCTCATACCATAAAGATGCTCATACCTTATTCGGATTTCGGACAGGAACCTCGTCATGACAAGCCGCCGGACATGTGTGGATGCAGGATTCTAACCTACGACCGCAGGTTTGCCGACAAGATGGACAGCGGTTAAAATGGCATCGATGGGACTGAAATTATAAATATGCTGCAGGTGAATATTAGGAAATTAGGAAATTCAGAAAAGGAAACGACGTTGCACTACCAATATGAACCTTAAGTCAGTTTAGAATAACACCCCCAAGGTTTGATTTGCGAAGAAGAGGTTTGCTGAAATTCACTTAGGGCACGTCATGGATTCAGGTTCTTGTAAAAGACAGACGGGCAGCGTCCCAACCCCCAGAAGTACAAATAATGTCTTACGCGCCATACAATGATGCCAAAAGGCTACTGTTTGGGCCTGGTTAACCTTAGCCTTGGTCTGGCTGAGCAACCAAAGGGAAACGAGGTTAAAGAAAAAGGGGTGCAAAAGTGTTTAGATGAGTCAAGATTGCTTAGTTACATTTCTAACACGGCATACAGCGCAAAGCACATTGATCAGTCCTTGCCCATTCATACTTTTCACCTTAATATATCATCTTCATATTCCTTCATTTTCCTTAATTAGCAATGTTTTAATTCGGTTTTTATTTGCAGCGCAACAACAGACTAACAAAAGCAACAACGATATTTGACATTGACAATACCTCTCTTGTCTTGTGGTGGCAATTTGAAGGAATCCTAAAAATAGGGAAAGTTTCAAATTGAATGCATTTTACCAGTGATTCGCAAAGAGGGCAGGTTTTAAGAGCCATTAGTGAAGCTATTGAAAAGCTCTTACTTTGGTTACCAAAAATATCAAATACAGCTTTGCTAGTTTATTAATGAAGTTTGCACAAACACTTTGGGATTCCCTCGTATTTTTACGTGCAGATGTAGTTATTTGGATCAAACCTTTAGATTGGGTAGATATCGCAGAACTATTGCTAGATGTCTAGCATAAAGGCACCACAAACACGAAAAATAAACCAAAACTTGTGTCCAAAACTTTTTTCCAAACCAAAATACCAAATCACAACAGTGTAATATACACGCCGAGAAAGAAAATCTCAACAATTGGATGAATACTAACGAGCAAGCCTGTTTGCATTTTGGAGGTTTTGTAAATCTCTCTGCACCACAATTCACTGAAACTTTAGTAAACTGACAGTAACAGGTAACCTCTTTCTTCAGGGGGCAGGGGAAACAAAGACCTGAAAAAGCAAACAATTTTCATATCAGTGATAGAAGAATGAGAATGACTGTGGGAGACAAAGATTTATTTCCGAATAATAGAGTTCATTTTTCGTTTTTTTTCGAGACAAGAGTCTTCTCAACACCAATTGCCTCCCCTTCACCCACAAAAGCGAAACCTGGGGTGAATGATACAAAGAGTCGGCTTTTGGCGAAAAGTATTATTAACTGATATACAAAATCAATCGATTATAATCAATGATTTATAAAAAAGACTAGGAAAAATCTCAAATTTCAATTCACTCCGAATATGCAGTTAATTGGACAAAATCCTCTGCTCTAAACCAAATCTGCAGCACATCATAACATGATATGTCAAACCAGCCGCCAAAAACAAGACACTCACAAAATCCATAATTAACAGGTTCTTTGAAGGTGGCATACTTGAATCTTGAAAAACACCATAACAGCAAAACAACATAACAGCAAAACACAAATACACAGAACTTCAACACTGATGATGGTCATTGTTGGAAAAGATTAACCATGGCACCGAATTGAAATTTAAACAAACTTCATAGACTTACAGCAAACTCCCGATAACCTGAACCCCTAAAAACTCGAATATTCGCTTAGTTGAATAGATATTGCATTCCCCTTACCAAATACTTCCATATAAACCCCCCTTCCACCGTAATGTATCGAACATTCGCTATCTTGAACCCTTTGGAAGTTATATGAAGAATAATAATAAAATCTGAATATAAATCAAGCTATATAAATCTATCTTACAAGAATAATAAAATCTAGCTATAATATTTCCTGACAAGAAATGTCATATATTACGCCCTTTTAGATCTGCTTGACAAATATGACAAATAAAAACTACCTGTGTGACACTGCGAAGGACATTTATGATTTCTGCATGATAACTGTCTATTGCATATCTGCTCGCACGGGGGGCAGTCACCGTCACAACACTAAAATGAAGCAGTAAGAAATTATCTAGAAAATTCTATTGTGAGACCCATGAAAACAGCTAACTCGAGGATACATACAAATGCTAAAGGTATTATCATAAAGAAGATGTATATTTAGGCTAGAAACAAGTATTTGAATATCCGAAAACCACCAAATTTTCAAACAACTGTTGAATATTCAAACAACTGTTGTTTTTGAAAAGACCAGTAGATAGTATTTTAAATTTTATATAGTTTCTCGTGAAGCTCTTGGTTTCTTAACCCGATAAAACAGTAATATCTTTCAAAATGGAAAGTAGCTAAACAAACAAAAACAATCAAATAGCATTGTCGGTTAGCAAGGTCTTTCTTTAATGTTGCTGCGAGTCACCTTTCGTTTGCAGGGATGTCTTTGGCAGTTTCTCATTCTAGTGCATTTGAAGTCGCAGGTGAACAATTGGCAACATGGCAGCTCCTTACTGCATTTGCCGCACCTGCATGTCTTTGTCACAATTTGTCGGCATGTTTCGCATTGACCAGTGTGACACTGCCAGTGACATTTATGTCTGCCACATTCTAATCGTTTGCCACATGTGTCCTCGCAAGGCGGAATGTCTTCAGTGCAAGGCAGCTGTAGGCCTAAATGTAAATACATTTTGGACATATAGAAATACAACGTTTTAATACAACTTTTAACGGAAACCAACCAATACAAAGATAAATGTAAACAGATCAATTGGAAATGTTCTTGCTAGCATAGCGAGGAAATCGCCACTTTATGCGAACAACCAGCCAATTAAAATCTCAATAGCTTGGTTTCCGAAAACTAATTACTAATCCTCCTTTTTACTGATCGATTCCCTTCTAAAGAAGCAATCTGGAAACAATAAAAGAGTCACATTTTGCTACAGATTCTGAGCAGCAACATACGGAACATACAAAACATCTTCCTACAAACAAATACTTTTATTTTGAGCAAAAAATGGCTTCTGCCTTAACTTTTTTATGCCAATGGGAAAGACCTAGTCTTTCACAGGCCAAAGTGATCCGCTCGACTAAGATACAACCAACTAATATACAATCTTGACACTCTCATTTTCTTCAATTTTTTTATTTAGTATTAAGCTGTTTTGGTTCGCTCCAGATTTGCAAAACTACCAAAACCACACAGCCTAACTTTAGCAATTGGTGCGAACGCCCCCCTCCCCTCCCCCCTATTGATTGCCTGTCTCAAGCATCTCCCAACTTAAACTGAGCCTAACAACATGTTTGTGCGGGTATATTAAAGACATATGATTCGACTATTGTTTGAAAGCTAGCTTTCCATAACCACAAGAAATGAAGAAACCGTGTATGAAGCACTTTAAGAATCATCTTCTGATTCAAGAATGCAGCTCTACCGTTAGCAACTCAAATTTTCTGAAGGACTTTTCTTTTTCAAATTGATTCGAAAAACGTACTCATTTTTCCGCAAGGGCAGCTTCGCTTGCCTGTTCTTGGACACGGTCCACATGTGCCATTGTGACAAACCTCCTCACAGGTATGGTAGCCACAGGAAAGCACTTTCCCGCATACCTGAGGAAAAAGATGAGATGTGACGTGGTGTGGTGTGCAGTTTATACCATAGCTGTAGTCAAAATACACAGGGCAGAATGATAATGGCAAAGACACGACTGATTTTCGGACAAATGTAGAGTTACCAAATTGCGAGATTGTCAGTCACTGAGATTGCTTTCCTGAATATCAAATATGATAAATAATAATATAATTAAAATGTGTTTAAGTTGGAGTACAAATCTAAAACTTACAATATAAGAAAAGTAATATGATAAAATAAAGGATAAATAAAACTAATTTTGAAATAAATATTTTACACAACCTACAGCCACGATCAAGCGCCATTGGTTCTAATACCGTAAGGCAATGTTTGCCACAGCCTTGACCCAAATATATTACAGTTCCTACGTCATAAGAAGTTGTCCTGGCTATTGGAATGCAATGATGTTTTTATTACGCAAGTCGATATTGGTGAACACCGCAGATGAAATGTTAAAATGAGAGCCGTGTTTATAATCACCTCGCTGCATTTCCATATTCCAGCAGCACAATCTCTCAATTGTTTATGTTTTGAACATTTGCAAGGCTGAAGACTTTTCTCAGGACATGGTGGGCAATCGCCTATAACCAGCAAAGAAATAGGACTTTTAAAGACAACACACTTAATTACTTGTAAAAGAGTGAAATTGCACAGTTGTTGTTTGCAGGACTATTGTTCGAGAGAAGAAACGGCTTTAGTAAATTTATGACATGAGGTAGTTCATGATAATTTTAGATCAAACCTGCGGATTCAAAAGAAACAGTAAAATGAGTAAAAAGTGAAATGAGGTAGTTCATGATAATTTTAGATCAAACCTGCGGATTCAAAAGAAACAGTAAAAAACAAAGTGGCTAGCACATTGCTAACCTGGATGACATGTCGATTTGCATTTATGAAGGCCGCAAGCAAGCAGGTCGCTGCACATCGCACCGCAAGACCATTCTTTGTTGCAACATCTCCTTGTAGATGGACCTCCTCTTCCACAATGACACTTCTTTGACACAGTTTTTGGGCAAGGTGGACATGGACCTAGAAACAAACTAAATTTCAGCTTAAACCCATTATAAGCATTTGACGTACATTCAACCCATTAAACCCATTATTTAAGATTAAGTTAAGGCAACAGTTTCAGCCACATTTTGTATTAAATGATGACGTACAAGCCCAGAAATGCTAAAATACTGACTAAAGCTTTGCATAAATAAGTAATATCGAGAGACAAAAGACCAAGAAAAGACTTGTAAATGTTGATTAAATGAAACTTCGTTGAATAATGTACTTGAGCTGTTATTGTTTGCCACTAATGACCGTCTTCTGCAACGTGTTTCGTCGTGTTTTTCTGTTGCCCGTTCTTCACGCTTGTACACAGCGATTGGGAGTCAAGGGGTTCCAAGAGGGTTCGACAAAAACTTTTAGGCAAGCTGTGTGGTGTTACTTCCTTGGATGGCCTGAGGGTATCATAGGATTAAGCATAGGGCGGGCATCAATTTTCTTTGTCAAGCATCACAACAAGCAAGTGTTCAGTTTTATCAAAATCTTCTACCCTCGTTCTGCTTCATTACGCCTACATAACATATAAAGGCAAAATACACTTACCAGGATGGCAGAGTAACAGGCATTCGTGGCCACATATTGGGGTCAGCATTTTGGCACATTTCTGACCACAGGAATGCGGAATTGTCCATGGGTCAAACTTTGGATCTTCCTAAAAACAATGTATCATCCTTCAGAAATTTTCTATGCCTATTTTGAGTCATAAAAAAACGATTTTCTACGAGGGGCATTGCATGGATTTAATATGCGACATTTAATCAATGAATAAAACATCTTCATAGCTTTTCAAATGTGATGAGCATTGAACTTGCCTCCTTGCCACAAAAGCAGAAATACTTGGTTGGGCAATCCTCTTGTTTGTAGTCATTTCTACAATTCGGGCTATAAAGAAATGTTTAGAACAAACAAGTTAAAAAATACGCAATAAAATCGCACAGTGAAAGAATCGTTTTGGGGGAATCTTATCCTCATCAGTGTCATCTGAGCATATTCCTTTTTTTATTCTTACTTACCAAGAATACTTTCGCTATGAAAAGGTTAAAACAATGCTTTTGAAGATCAGTGAGACAAATACTTCTCTTCGGATAATTTTGAGAGGCAAAATCATTCATGGTAAAATGTAATGGTTCGTATTTGGCTAAAGAAAACTTTTTGGGAGAAAAGAAGAACGCTGCAGAAGGCTGTCTGCTGGACAAGAATCTTGCAATAAACTGAATGTAAAGCATCAGAACAGCAAAATAATAGGCAGCAAAAAAAAGAATCCGATATATTTAGCAAATGAATTTACTCAAAAAGCTCCTTATGTTACTTTAATCTAACATCCAACTTTTGGCTTTAGAATTATATTTACCAAATCCTTCCTTTCTGCACTTAAATTACAGATCTTTTTATCAATCATTTAAAATTTCTATTCTAACCTTGACAATAAGAAATATTACTGCACAATAAAATTTACATTTGCATTTAAAAAAGGGAAATGTAAAACTAATAAAAGCACAGTAGTTTTAGGCCACTGACCAACACCAAAGAGTACTTTCTTCCAGCTCACTGTTTTCCATTTCAATGTTTTTCGCCCCAACAAGTTGTCTTGCCCACCTCTGGATGCACTGAATGTGAAATATGCCGAAACATTTTCTGCAACTCCAGATCTATGAAGAAAAAATGATGTTTTTTTCAGTAAGATAATTCTAATTTAAAGTATTTATTCCCTACCATAGATTGTTTGATGTGTTGATTGATCAGTTGAAAATTACAACTGCCACAGTAGTATAATGGACAAACAGTTTTTTCAAAAGTAATGGGAATTGAAACAAAAAAAGAAACACAGGAATAACACTGACTTATATCTATTGAATTCAGCTTAATAGGGTCAAAATTAAAAATTTAGATTGCTTACTGGGTCCACATGCTTAACAGGATCAATACAAACTGGACAAGTTATCTCCCCGGCCTGAAGCATATTTGCCACAAATGAATTTGGTTCTGGAACAGAGCTATCATCACCTAAGAATGAAAGTAGTAAATACAACCATTGGCATTCTAAATGTGTGGTTGTTGATAGTGTAGCATACAAAAATAACATATCCTATCCTTGGATGATTTTTAATACTACAATGGAAATAACATGTTTGGTAAATTTCTTTTTAACAGCAAAACTCAGTTTTAAATTTCATGGGCCTTAGCACCAGCTACAATAAAAAAACAATTTGCTTGTGTGAGTAAAATTTGCTGAACGAGGTCTCTTTCTAGAATAAAAAATAGCAACTCAATCTTACCACATAATTGAACTGTATAGTTATTCAGAGTTTTCTTCATAATTTCTTCTTCTCTGAGTTCTTCATCACTGGAGTCTGTATCTTCCAACAAATGTGAATATTTTTCAGCTGCAACCTTTCTAATCTTTCTTGCTTTTTCAAGTCGGCCTTCACTGGCTGTTTCCCTGTCTCGCCATTCTTCTTCTTTATTGAAAGTTGATTTTGCAACACCACTGCTATTGAAAGACGGCTTGCTGGAATTCTTTGCTTCCTGCTTTCCTGTTTTCCTGTCTCCCCACTCTTCTTGTTTATTGGAAGTTGATTTTGCAACACCACTGCTATTCAAAGACGGCCTGCTGGAATTCTTCGATTCCTGCTTGGCTGTTTTCATAGCTGCCTTAGAATTCCAGAGATCAAATGACCTATTCCCATCAACAGCTGGAGCTGCCCTTCCTCTCCCTTGGCCCCTCCCCCTTCCAAATCCATTAGGTTTTTGATTCATTATTTCCTACCTAGAGAGTGATGATTAATAACAAACATCAAAAACTTTTCCTCAAACATTTCATTAGTTATTTATCATACAACCAGGGATGAGGTTGAAAATACAAAAACAGAGGAAAGTTAAAAATATCACGAAACAAAGGTGCACAAAATATGTTCAAAACCAGAAATTATGTAACAAAAATTTGTTGGTGATAATGCCCTTGGCATTATATCTTTCATAAATCAATGAACAATTATAAAACTACAAAAATATCAACAACAAGGTATTAATGATAACAATTTGAAAACTTCAGCTATAGAACCTTGCAATTAGTTTCTTAAGTATGCACTAGAGAAAGAAATTGGTGCGAAAAACAAATGGTTTGGTTGAGTCAATATACTTAAAGGCCATAATGTTTCTGATAAAAAAAATAACGGAAAACAAATTGCTCAATATTTCCATACATCTATAAAGGTTTTAGCTTGATATTAGCAGTTTTGACTACAATGGGACAATGATACAAATTTGATTCCCACATTTCATTGTTAGAAATCAAACAAGTGTTTAAAAAAGAAGGTTTCATTCTTGTACATGTGCAAACATATGAAGAATTATATTGAATAAAAATAATGCCTCAGGCCTTTTCATTACCAATTTTCACAAGGGCAATTGATCAACCAATGACATTTGTTTACAAGGGCAATAGGTCCAATGATATTTGTAAAAGACATACATCAATTTGTAAACAAACTATTTTGGTGTATAACAGGAATAATGAAGCAATAATGCTTCATTTTCACGAACACCTTTATTCAGGAAGACTGCAATTTAGAGTAACTAACTAATCAGTAAATTCTTTATAGTCTCTTATGAGCAAGGCATGTTTTTGCAGGGGCTGTAAATAGCACCTTTAGCCAGTGTGTTAGTGAAGGTGAGAACATCACCTACACAAAACAAAAAATCCTGAACTCTGTAAAGTAAGCATGGACAGTAGCATGTTTGACATTTCTCTTGACATTTTTTCAAAATGATCAACCATAAGAAGAAGGTATCTTCAGCTGCAAACACAAGCATGTGACCTCCTTCAGTGAGACACTTTGCCTTACATCATAGTAATGTAATGGGGGTATATATAGATTGATAGTACTCAATATTTACTGCAACACTGAGGGATGGAACACAGACTGTGAAGGCCTCTAATAGCACTGCTTTGCAATGCAGCTCTTGATGTTTTTTCAAAGGACAGCATAGGACACCACCAAGCTGAATTAGCGTTTTTATCTTTTTCAGAGCCCTCAATCCCAAAAAAAATCAGGTTCATTATTTCCTGGGTGGTTCATTATACCCATTATATCTGTGTATACTTCAGGCTGGATATTGGTCACAAAATTAAGCAGTTGTGCTGACAGTTTTTTGTCTTAATGCCAAAAGTTGTATGATACAATGCATAATTGCATACATGCCAACATTCTCATATGAGGTTGAGGGAGCTTTATTAAAATATAATTGAGAATACCATAGTAACCATAAATTTTGATAGTAAAATTTTGTTCTATAAATGAATATCCACTGGCGGATAATGATGTTATTGACCGACTTCTTCCTGGTTTTACCTTATGCGACATTATGTCTTCCCTAGTACTGTTAGGCTAAGACATTAAGGATTTATTCTTTGAGATCCTACTGTTTGGATTTTTTTAATAAGAGTCTCAGAAACTTGTTTGGGCAAATATCTTGAGTTAAGGTGGAGATAGTGGGAGATTAGTTAAGGGTCAGCGCTTTTTGTCAATCAAAAAACGTTTGAACAAAAAAAATGTTGTTTCTAACTGTGGGCCATTCAGATTTCACCAGCGAAATCAAAAAACTTTTACATGAAATTATAAAAATCTAAAAACTCCAGGAATTTTTCTCTGATATGATGGTAGCCTGTGGGAGGTCATTATTGAGCGAAAATATCAGGAGACTCCCGCAATTTGCGGGAGCGTTGGCATGCATAGAAGCAAATAATCATGCTTTCTGCCAACAATGATAGGCTTTTTAGAAGTGATAGGCCAACCCAAACTCAGGCCACAAACCCATTAACCTTATGCCAACACATTATTTTTTCTTTATTTTACACCAGTAGTCCAGGCATCTCAAGCTTTAGTTACATGGATTCCACCTTGACCTTAATTCCACAACATGATATCGTGTTTTTTCTTTACAACACTACGATAGAATGATACACCATTGCTGGCATCATCCCTGGACGCAGGGGTGAGGGGGCACCCAGGTGTAAAGGAGTATCATAAGCCGAGAAATGCTCTACCTGGTGGATTTGCTGATGAGCAAGCAAGGACTCAGAATTATAAAAGACAACATGTATACATGTTTGTATATGTTATATATAGCAGTATAGTACATCTATACTGACACACGCCCCTTTCTAGTTGGGTACACTATTCTAACAACAAACTGGATCCCAGATCTCCTAAAGACACAAGATTTTGTGAGAGGGCCCAGTGTGATCTGGTTGAGGTTGGTGTTACACTGTTTTTCTTAGTTTTGACAGCTGTGCTTGTCCTTTTTTATGGTTTCAAACAAATAATTATCACAATTATAGGTGGAGCACAAATATCAGTGGGAAATGTAGCTTATGAAGGCATGAGAGAGGTCCCCTACACATATATTTTTCAGCAATGATTACTAATATCATATAAAATCATCAATATGTTGCAAAGATTATAAAAATGTTATTTTCTTGTAATTTTTGTATCTGCCACTTATGTAATTAACTTCGATCGCCTTGTTGTGAAATGAACGAATTTGTAATAAATCAGAAGCGGAGAAGCCCAGCAAAAGTCTAAAGGTCAATAATTTGTGGCGAGTGGGTTGTCCTGATAGCCCAAGCAAATGAAGGGTGAAAACTTACCTCTAAATAAACACCTTATTGTCATTTTAGGGGAATCGTGTACTTCTTTCACTCTCCAATTGGTCTCCATCAATGTACACGTCTTGTTCCAAGAAATGAATTGAATTGACTACAACAGGGGTACAAGATGTAAGGTTCAAAGTACTGTATCATGCACTGGTACCAACCATATCATGCTTTCAGCCAACCTGTCACGATTTCACAAAAAACTACCCATCTAGGGACGTAAACAAGTGGCTAATTTTGGGAGGTCGTGGAAGGTTGAAAATTCCAACTTTACCTGATGGATTTTTTCTTTCGGCCTGTTAATTATCTGTACCTAATAAATTGATTTGGAAATAGCCTTATGGCTTATTCCAGATTTTCAGGTTCTGTATAATTTCCAACATTTTACTTATAATAATTATTCTTACGCATAAAATCACTAAATAAGATGAAGGAAAACTCTAAAGCAACATCAAAGCCATACCAGTCTAGATCTTGGATATGTTTAATGATAAAAAGTAATATTCTTTCAAGTCAATGAACAGCAATTCTGTTCATTTTCTGCTTTGTCCATCTTAAAGATATTTGCTACAGATCAGTTTTATATAAAATATCTTTTTAACAATATAGAAGCATCAAGGAATTGACCATTTCATCTTTTGTTCTAGATCGAAGAAAAATTTTAAATTTTTCAAAGGGCTGAATGTCCTTTGTTTCTTGGAAAAGAAAAGGGTGATCTGAGGACAGGTGCATATGCCCGATTCGTAAAAAGCACTCTTCTTTGATCGAATACTTCTGCTGCAGCTTCTTTGATCAATGTTTTGTGGCTTCTCATTAGCTTTATCATAGCAATTTATGATGAGATTCAAGGAGGTCTACAAAGTGCAGGGGGAGCTTAGCATACACCCGTTAAGAAGCGTTAAGAATTTCTAGCAATGAAAGATTTTTAATGTTTTCAACTGAATTGGCTACTCGTTGTTTCTTGGAAAATTTCCACTTTCAATTGTTCTGATCAATACAGGGAATGATTTCTCAAAACTTCAGGTACTGATGGTAAAATTTAAACTTCTTATCCAGAAATTCACCTTGCCTGATCGAAATAATTTAATTCAACTTAACCCCTGTCAAAAAGGAAACAAACGATGCAATGGTGCAATTTGAGATCCAGTGGAGACAGATCATCGCAATTAAAAACGATTAGAAGGTGTGCCTGCTCCAGAGTTTGAATTTTAAAAAGGTCTAAGATTTTTACATTTAAGATCATAAAATCCTAAGCTATAAAATTCACATATTTGGTCATAATAGTTAGAAAAATTCCAAGTGAATTTTTAAATTTTCCAACAGCAAGCGGGGCGTCACGCCCCCACGCCCCCCTTTTATTTTTGTGCCTGCCCATTTCTATGAGACTATTAAAGCTAGTATATTTAGACACCATAATTTAGAAACAAATCGATTTATCTAAAATTCAATTTTAAGTCGGATAGAGATGGCAAAAAATGAATACAACTTTTTAGCAAATTGAAAACGACAGGGTGTGCAATTCAGTGCCACCCGCAAAGCATTTATGCCTGTAGAATGAACCATTAGAAAATTATAAGCAGATAGAGCTAAAAGATATTCAAAACCTATTGGGGAGCCAAGCTACTATTGATCTTGATGTTGACAAGCTTATCGTATTCTTTCTTGTGTTCCCGCCTCTCTAATAATCCCGCTTTTTTCCAAACTTTAAAACATTAATCCCGCCTCTCCGATAATCCCGCATGCAGGTTTGATTTAGAAATGAATAAATGGATTTTTCAGATGTGCTTGGAGTTTTGAAATTGTGGACATTCAGCATAGTGTCTTGTCGCTTTTTTTGATGAAAGCAAAGGGTGGATAATGTTTAGCCAATCAGCGTCGTTTTTCCATCCAACTTTTGTCAACGATCGTCTAAATAAACATGCAAAGTTTTCGTGCCAAAACACAGGATAACATATTGAAAACTTAAGCTCGCTTTTTGAAAGCACGTTGAAAAATTATTCCCACCTGATAATCCGGCCTCTCCAATAATCCCATATAAATTAAGGAGGTTGGGTCGATAAACTCGCAGTGGCAATATAAGAGAGAGAGTACGGTATATTCTTTGGTAGGCATATTTTTATTCAATGTTTTTGTGGCGTTTGCTTGCCATTGTGTTAACTGTATATTGTATCAAAGTAAATCTAGAGTCGTCAAGTTTCTTCAATTTTTCCAGAACATGAGCTTCTCTCTCGATTTCTTGGGAAATACATCTCGACCAATCAATAAATACTGAGTCTTTGTGTTTCAAACCCCTTTTGATGTTCTTTGTATTTTTTGCGCAACTGACAACTAAACTCCAAAAGAGATTAAAAATCTTTCAAACTGGATGCAAACCAACTTACTGGCTAATCTTTCCGTTGTTTATTTTCTCTACAGGAATAAAATCTCCCTATTGTGATAAAAGTTTTCACTTATGTACGAAAAGCAATACAGACAAGAAGTTGGTACGATACTACAAATAATGATTCTAAGAACGTGGATTAAGATATCATCGTTTTAGGTATAAGCTGGATAGTGCATTTAATGAATGTATTGATCAATCTATTACTGAGGGTTTTATTACCATAAGCGATAGAGTAGAAAACACATGTAGAGATACGTAAAAAACCAGACTTGACTAATTTTATCTCTGAAATAATGTCACGGCTTTATGAAATCTAGCCAGTTTAAAACAATTGCCTGGTTTTGTACTATGCTTTGCCTCACAACCATCGCAGAAGCAGGGTATCGTGAACGTTGCCATCACTCAATATGTTTTTAACAGCAATTTTGGGTCAGAGAGAGTCTCAATACAGAAAGACAGAGTTAACACAAAAGTCTTTAGAATGTCTGAGGAGTACCAGAGGTCACCAGAAATCCATTATATTTCTACTCTCAGAGGAATGGAAATCAGGTTTTAAACAAGAACGAGGCACCAATGAAGTTAGTTGAAACCCCACCTATGAATTGTTCAGGCCTTGCGTTGATGTCGACAACGAGGCCCAGCATCGTCTTTCATTATTTAAGAACATTCGGGAAGCTACAGTAATCATATAGAAACCCTAATTTCTTATTGCTGTGCATATTAAGCTACTTCCTTTCCTGTGTTGAAAGCTAGTTTACTCCTTATTTAGCCTCTCTTGCTCTTTGCCAATGCCCTCAATTTGCTCTCAAATTACAAAGTCAATTTACAATTGAGAGTAAATTGATCACATTAGCTAAATAATCATTTGCTCTGACTGCACACCCAAATTAGGACCCAAGAGTTGATCGAAGTAGATTTGAAAATTAAATCGTGATCGAAGATAACAAAATACAATATTGTTAGAAAAGTGACGTAATGTTATTGTGCAAAAATTCTTGTACAAAGGAAGATTTAGTGGTTTTAATGTAATTTCTAAAGATCTTTGCAGTTCAAGTTTGATAATGACGCATGGGACGAAAGTACCGGAATTAAATGAAATCTCCGCATTGCCGAGTTTCATCAGTATTAATGTTGTTGGCCATAGATTGATCAAAAAGACAGCTATTTTTACTCAATGTTTAAATTTGTTTGTTGTACACTGATCTTTTCTATCCATTAGTAGATTCATTTCCATTACTTGGCAATGAATATTTTGCAGAAACCCAAATGGTTTCTACCCATCTTGTCTTCTTTGAACCTAATGCCTCTTGAAGTTGCTTTCCCCACCACAAAAATTGCTAAGCATCACTGTGATACTCCATTTCTAGACATCATATTGCTGTAAAGGTAAAGAAAAACAGAAATGTTTAGTGTATAAAAGAAATTCTTATCCATTGGTGTTTAGAGTCTCATCAGCACTGTAGATGTTTTCAGGGTGTCAGCTATGATTGATTTTATTGTTATATGATCTATTTGCGCTTCTTTGTGTTTTTATATCCTTTTCCACAAAACTTTGAATCCACGCAAACACAGCTTCGTCTTTAGAACTACCATATCCTTTACATTTACAAATTCGCGTTCAGATGTATGTTAAAATGACCCTGCTTTATTCGTCTCATTTCAAAGCCATAGGATCAAATCTACAACTGCTAGTCACGACAGAATTGTTGCACAAGTTGATAATTTATAAATAGATTAAGTTAATTTTTTGAATCTCGAGATCTTTTAAGAATATACATCTTTTTTATTTTCATTGCGAATCAAGAGTCGAAATAGCTTATGGACAAAAGTACATCACTCTCTTTCCTTTGAAAGTTGTCGTTTTTAATAAACCTAACTTCTTATACTCAAGCTTTATCTGAAATAACTCTTAAAAAAAGCATTTATTGACTTTCAGTGAGATGACATATACTTTTGAAATCTGTCAAGCAACAGGAAGATGGTTATTAGCTTTTGTTATTCACCAGGCTGCATTGTAAGACATATATGTCAAATTGCATCGTCTTCGTAACTGCCTGAATGGCTTTTAGACACTCTCCTGAAAGCAATCAATAATTAACGACTTAAAAATTTTATGGGAAGAAAATAATTCAATTTTACGTAAATATTGGAATTGCCACCCGCCCATCTTTTCTGATGCTGATTCCCTGATTGTCTTCTCTTAACAACAGGTGGCATTTCACAACACTTCAGTAGTGACTGCAACAGTGACTGCAACGCTGGCTTCACTTTTTGCCAAAGCAATGCGATTTAAAATGAAACTACTTCTTACCGTATTCTTCATCTGGCATGTTAGTGCAAAACCTTTTGCGGGTAAGTCACAGTTGCTTATAACCCTTCACCCTGTGCATAAAGCTACATCTGATGAAAATTTCGAAGAATCTGTGTACGTGACGATTTTCTCTGTAAACTCCATGTAAACATGCAACTGCTGAGAATATTGTTCAGTCGCATGTGACTGAGGAAACAAGCCTTAAACTTTAAAATGCATCTGTTGTTACAAATATATTATAAAATTATTACCTTATTTTAATCTTATTTAGCCGCATTTTGACTGCATATTCAAGTGGGATCCGCAAACTTTCGTTGGATTAGAATGGCGCTAATATAAGTTGAGCTCTGACAATCATATGTCTTTTTATCAATGCTGAAGTTTCACTGGAATAAATGTTTATCACGGAATTATGAATACCAATTTAGATGTTATTCGACGTTTAGGCTAGGTATTTGTTTGCTACATTTAATATAGATCGCAGTCTTATTATTAACGCTTGGTCCAATAATTAAGAGCTGCGGGAATACTGATCGATGAGAAACAAGCATTTTCTATCATTTTGGATCTCCCTGCATTAAAAACAGTTCCTTGCTAAAATTCTGCCGATTTCATTCGTCGACTATTGACTGTACCGACCAGGGCAGGTGCTACAATTTCTTTGCTTGAAAACCACAGTTTCATGGTGTAACTTTGTTGTCTTTAGATTAAGAATCAGACAAGCAAGCCTCCTTTCTGCCTTCAGCTTCTTGTCCACAACGGCAATTGATAAACAGATCTGTCGAATCTACTGCAAATTTTGATATTTATATCGATGAAATCATTTTTTTTGACGGTTTATGCCCACTAGTGTAGACCGACTTGTCTTGCACATGGTAAAATAATTTTAGTTGTCTAAAAATTCAATTTGTGCATAATTTCGTTGCTTTATTATCTGTCCCTGTCTGACTAGTTTTGTATAAGTCTGCGTATGTAATATATAAATGATAAGATATGATGTAATATATTATTTTTTATCATATAATGGAATATAAAATAATATAATATAGTAAAGTATAGTATAAAATAATATAATATAATTCATTTTTATTTTCAGAGGCGAACACATGTCGTGTCCGCGAAAAGTTTGATTGTGGCGAAGAACCGTGCATTTGCTCAAAAGACTCAATTTCTTCTTGGATGAATTTCCTGAACCGTGTCCTGCCTGCATTTGCGAAAAAATGCGCATGCAAAAAGACCTGTGAAAGGTGAGAACACTTTTCGTGTTGTAGGAATGCTTCAATAGTCATTTATTGTTTAGAATTGTTCTAATGAACTAAAGTCATACTTTGATCTACTGTAAGTTATTTTTCTAAAATCATTTACTAATCTATTATCTACATATCAAAGAATAGAAGCTAGAGATAGGTCATTGCAATTAAATTCTTCTATAACCTCATAAAAAATAATGAACTTAAGAGGATTAGCTGGGAATCAGCACCAATGTTTTGCGGAAAGCATCAGCCATCAACCTGTTGAACATTAAAAGTTCCATTAAAACTTTGAACAAATATAAACAAATTGCAAATTGAATTCTTTCTTCCAGAATCTCGGAGGTTCCTTGCAAGAAAGGCGTTTGCGACAAAATATCGCAGAAATGTCAATGTTTCCCATGCTGGTCTGGTGTTTCGTGCAACATATACAGTACGTCCTTTTTAGTTCTTTCATCTTCTTCGATGCATCACACCCAATAGTTGTCTAGCTTTTTGGCAAATAAGTAATTCCCAATCAAAGGCAATTTTACTCTGCTCTGTATGTGATACTCTTTGCGTCATTCTCTGCAGCTCTGTATGCGCCACTTTCTACGACATTTTTATTGTCACTTTTTTCAACGGGTTGATAAAACACAATATCTCGGGGTATTGGTGAAGATACCTTGGGATTGGAAGAACAGTATGAATCAAATAAGAAAATGGTTGCTGGGGGCCTGGTAGCAATGAAGAAGCTTAAGGGTTATACTCCCACAATCTATGCTATTTAAAGTGTACAAAGCGCTTGTTGAGAATCATCTTCGTTATGCTTACGTGGTCTGGGGAAGCTTATCGAACTCTAAAATATCAGCCCTTCAAAGACTGTCAAGTCGTGCATTTGACATTATTGAAGCATTTAAAATAAAGGACTCTTTGATTTGACCAACATTTAGCATCGATCAGATGTTTCAATTTTACCGGTCGATTCAGATGTTTAAAATAATAAACATGATATGTCCCAAAAGTCTGCACGATAAATTTGCTGGAAGATCCTCATAAGCAAATATGGTACAAGAAACATGGCTGATCTCCAAATCCTAAGGCTAAATTTAGACTTCAGTAGAAAAAGTTTAGATTACACTGGTCTAAAAACTTGGAATTCGATCCCAAAACACACAAGAGAGTCCAAAACAATAACCCTGTTTAAGAATGAGCTAAAACGTCATTTCTCTACAACACTGTCTGTAGTGGTCTTGATATGACATTGCCTGCGGCACCGTCTGCGGTACCGTTTGTGGCACCATCTGAAGCTTTTCTGCAGCACTTTCTGCAGCATTGTCTGCAGCACCGTTTGCAGTAGCGTCTATGGTACTGTCTGCGGCTCCGTTTGCGGTACTTTCTGCGACAATTTCTGCAGTACCGTCTTCGGCTCTGTTCGCGACTCTGTTTGCACCACTGTAAACTGAGGATATCATATGCACTGTAAAACTGTATCCATGTCAATATTTTTCTAGAATGCTTTGGAAGGAGCCGAGTTCGCAATCTTTCTTAGAACGAAAGCCACTGATGAAAATGTTTGAAGAGTCGTATGATAAGTTCTTATTAACAAATCGTTTGGTCTATTTCTTTTATGACAATTTTGTAGTATAACAGGCTATTCAAGTATGTTAAACTCTATCTTTGAACTCGATTAATTATCGTTTTGAACAGGGAAAATTAAGCCACATTGTGACAGTGATTCGTTGCCTCATTGTCTGTGCTGAATTTTAGCCGATGTACATAACTTAAAGGTATAAAGAGAAACACATCACATGTCTTCTGTTTTTAATTTTGTTTTTTTAATCAAAATAAAACAATAAACTTGCTTTTTGTTAATTTAAGAAAACCCAAATAACCCGATGTTTGCGACAAATTTCATGAAAATTAATCTGGTTAACGATATGCATGAGACGAAGATTGTTGGAAAGGTCAGAGCAAATGATGCAGATAAAGCGACGTGCCACCCAAAGTTAAAATGCCCATGTGCTGACATTAAATACAGTTTACTTGATGGTGGAGACAACACGTTCGAAGTCAACTCAGAAAGTGGAAACATCATCCTGTACTCTTCTCCTTACAAGGACGACTATCTGTTGGTTATTGGAGCGTCAAACCTGGATGAAGTCGCGAACTCCTCCGTTTTGTACGTCCACGTGAATACCAGGAGGTATGACGTCAATAGAAAAGTTATTCCACACATGAGAAGCAGAAGGGCGGTAAGTATCGTAGAAACCTTGGCTTACACCTAGCAGCTAGCAGATACGGAAGAATTTTGGTGACTGAAAAAAACTGATTTTTAATTCTATGCGTGCTCCCTATCAAATGGTTAAGACTGATTTGATGCGTGGACACCTTGTCGATGCAAATATCCATTGCCCGGGATCCATTGTACCTTGTAGTGATTTTGTTTCTGACCAAGATTGCCTTGTTTCCTTATCTTAATAATCTTTCTTCCTTGTATTAATTTGCCTTTTAGTCAGCCTCTATCAAGTCAACTTCTACTTATAAAATTGCATTGGATAATCTGAAGTAAATTGCATTGGATAATCTAAGAAACTTTCGAGAACAGGATTTTTGGATAATAACAAACAAGATCTGTTGTGTTAAGGAAGATCTATTACTGAAAGTAAAGTATATCATCTGCAGAACAAAGAAGAAAAGGAATTGAAGTTAACTGAATATACGTTGTAGAAAAAGTCTTTGAAAAGAGATTTTGTGGGCAGTTTTATTTGGGTGCTCTCTCCGTTGAAATCTGCTTTAGAACCTTTAAAACCTCCTCTATTTTTAGCAAATCAATATTTTACAGTTGACGTGACATCTCGTTCACCAAAGCACCTGTGCATTAAACGACCATAGAGATTTATTTTTAAAATATTTTCTGCCCATCAAACAGTCGAAACAAACTCTTGGAAACGATATCACAGCGTTTTAACATCATTACCGACTTTTTTGCCAGGTTTCAAGTGGGACTCTTATTCTTACCTTGCAACCAAAAATATCGACCCAGTTCTACTACAACATCGGTGAACAAATCAAGTACACAATAACGCTTTCCCACAATGTCTCGTTGTCAGCCATAACAGCTTCCAACGTGATTATTCGTATTACATCAGACTACCTTCAGCTAACAACTGATGGACTCTCGAGCAACAAAGATGGCCTAACAATAGCTGAAAGTATGAGCGCTTCAAACACCCTGACCGTGACAATGACCTCTGACTTTGTAGCTGGAAAAAAATACGAAGCAAATATCACAACAACAGTTAAGCAGACCATTGGGCCACTGAGTAACTTGAAACTGTCAGCTGAACTCAATGCAACAGGAGACATCCATTTGAAAGCTACCTCATCACCTGTGCTTTTTGCTGTATACCCAAAGGTGAACCTGACTAGAACTGAATCCGGGGGTATGTTTTTGTGTGTGTACCATCGAATCATTAGAGAAAAATATTAAAAACCTTTTTAATTCGAAAGATTGTATTATCTATGCCATAATTACACCAAGATTTTTATGTGCTGGAAAATGCCCAGAATTGAAAAGAATCATGAGCATTTATCATTGTGTATTCAATTTCTTTATTCATATCCATTGTTTTTCTCTTCCAGCCGTCGCGAATTACCACTCAACAAACTTTACTATGAAAATTGACCTTCCAAAGCTGAACTATTCTTTGTTGGCTGAGCTGACAACAAATATAGAAGATTTCATCTTTATGGAAATTCAAAATGTTCGTGTCGCAAACAAGGGTAGCAATGTGTTCTATAATGGGACAGCAGTGCCTACGTACCACTCCACAAACAGTGATGGGAAAAATGACCGCGCTGTGATTGATTTTGGCTATATACGGGTAAAAGGAAAATTGATAAAATTGCATTTTCAATTTATTAAAGTGATGCAAATTAGCACTATTTAGACACCTGGACTTAATGATTACGTATTAAACGTATTAATTACGAACTAAAGGCCTTATAGGCAACGAACAGAGATCCACAACAAGATGTTCAACACTTGTTCCTTTTTTGAAGCACACGAACTCAAAAAAGGTTATGTTTAGAGACTTTTTAATGCAGTGGATTGAAACCATTGTGTCTCATTTCTCCCGCTGGCTCTCTTTTAGAACAATGCTGACACTGGCAACTCAATGGAGATTCTATTCTCAGTCAAGGTTCTGGACCACGTGCTACTTGCAAACAACACAAAGCACTGGATTGGAGTTGGCTTGCAAGCTGGTATGCGCGTATTGTGGGTGGAACAACTGGCTTTCACTATTTTTAAAGTAAGCTAGCCTTTCTACGGTGTTCAAGAATTTCTTACCAAAATCAATACACACATAGCATGGCTTGCCTTCAGAATTGTCTTAAATTGCTTTAATTTTCTTTCACGTTTCTCTTCTGATACGATATCTATAAAATCCTAGGTAATTCGCAGGTTTTCAAGCAAAGCACCAAACTCCTTTTCTCCTTTTGAAACAAAATTTAAAAACAGAATGAATAAATTTTTAATTTTAGGAAGAGCCAAGCCTTGAGGTTGAGATTGTTCCAGCAAACTTCACAAATACAACAAGATTGTACCTTGGAGATAATCTCCCAGTGCAATATACTGTTAAGCACACGAACACATCTACTGCTGCTGCTTCGGGTATCGCAATTACGTGCATCTTTGAAAATCTCGAACCAGTGGCAGCTGATGTAACAGCAAACAGAATTTCTAACGTGAATTCAACGACGGTTACAGTAAGACCTGGAGGTGTGCTGCCAAGCTCCTTAAACCTAGGTAAGAGAATTGTTTTTAAAGCTTTACGCATTTAATGTTTTTCTCGATTGTAGTATATTATATCCAAAATAAATATTTGCTTCTAACAAAGTTTATTTAGCATTTGGTGATACTGCCCAGAGGAACAATTCAGCAACAATGGACTATGATGGTAGCTAGATACATAACCCTCGAGGTCGCTTTTGTTATAAACGATATGTTTTAATTCGAAATTGTGTTTTCTTTGCACGAAGTTAAAGTTTTTTCCCGTCGTTGAATTTCAGGAAACTCTCTTACTGGCCTGTTCAATCTAAAGTTGCTATCAACTGTCACACCATTTATGGAAACGAAAGTGAAGTTTGTTGTTACATACAAAAATGCAGGGCATATTGATAAGGATCCGGTTGTAAAGGAAATGGCGCCAACGGTCTTGGCTGGAACGCCTTCGATTTTAATGTCGATGAACACTACAAGTAACTTCATGAAGCCAGGAGAGACACGAAGGTTTACTGTCAAGGTCCTCTTGACTAAAATGAGATGCCCCATTAGATTCGAGGTAGGCAAAGACAGTAGATTCTCTATTCCTAGAAATTTTATAAATTACTTAATCATATATATTCCGGATAATCTTTTACTGAGAATCATATTCCGTTTCTGTTGCTCTTTTATAGCAATTTTGCAGTTAAATGTCTTAAGATATCTCTGCCAGCCCAGTGATTTTGATGTGGTGCGCTGAAATCTGGTTCTCTTGTGTCATAAGAATCGCAAATCGCGGGTTTTTCCGACCGTTGATTCTTAAAATCATTGCCATCTTTGCAATATTATTGGCAGCAAAGTTCAATTCAGCCCCATTTTCAACAAAATAAAAATGACAGCTGTCAACAGTGGCGTAACGCAGTTTTAGGCAACTAAGCTCGACAACCAAGGTGCCCCCCCCCTTCACTATTTTTATATCCATGTTTTTAAGATATCCTTCAAGTTCATCTCAAAAACTTTTAAGTTCTGAAACTTCTATAGCTCAGCTCCCCTAGTAAATTAAAACAATCTCATTTTTATCTTGCCAAAGCGTTGGATGGAATTTTGTTGCAGTCCCTAAATAGTGTCTGTCTCAATTTCTCTCGTTGCGCTATTAGCTGAGAACCATCGTCTCCTACTTCAGGATAAGTCTATATTGCTGTTGATTAGGACCTGGAGACAAATCCGATACCAGCGAAGATTTTCGTATCTTTGATCAATCGTTACTTGATCTGAGCCTGGATGGTGGCTAGATCTTCTTAAACTACCATGTATACGACGTTCTGACTTTCTTATAATGCTGCTTTGAAGCTGTGACGTGTTAATGCAGTGCTGCCTCTGTTTCCCTTTCACCATCACCATTTCCTTTATCATTATCTTTCACTATTATTATGCATCTTAGCGTTCTCAAGAGCAGGGGTGGCGCTAGAGACAAACCTTCAAGGTGCCGAAGTTTATATTCTCCGTAACTGCCGACGCTGGATGTGTCAAATTGCCGACAGAAAAGAAAATATATTGGGGGGGGGGGGATGTGGAATGCAAATTTACCTGATTAAAAAATTATTGCCTGCAACTTTTTAGCTGGTGCCACAAACCTCTGCAATACATTTTGTCAATTTAACTCTGTAAGATAACCGACTTTCCTAATAGTCTTGTCAAATCTCTATATCGGGACGGGCAAAATATATAGTTACTACCTGAGGCGGCACCACAGTGGTGGCGCCAGAGGGGGGGCAGGGGGGGCTACAGCCCCCCCGTCGGAGGAGGCTAGCCCCTCCGTCGGAAGATAAATTATGCTTGAATTTTTTTTGTCGGAGCGAATTTTTTAAGTTTTGGCGGAAATAGAAATTTCTAAAAGGACTGTTATCAGAATTCAGGAAGCTCATCCCAAAACAACTCATCGACACATCAATTTCATGGTAAATAATAATCTGTTATAAGAGGTCTGTTCCTATAAAGTTACGTTGTGTTCCAGTTTTCCTTAAGTTCAGTTGGTTGCTTTTTATTTAAATTCATACTTTCCAAAGATAGGCCCTACTTGAATTGGCAACGTTTGATGAGTTGTAAAGATTTAGAGTAGTTTTAAGCTTATCTAGAGGCAGCTTTCAAAAAAAATTTCCAGGGACGCCGGAGAAGGGGGGCGCGGGGGGGGCAAGCGCCCCTCCTGCCCTTTGCTAGGAGGGGCAAGGGAGGGGGCAAACGTGCCCTTAGTAATATGTCAAAAAACGTAGTAAAAAACACGATTACACCATTTTGATAGCATTTTTAGCCAATCTAATGGGTGTAGCCACCAAAATTTTCCCGGGGGAGTACCCCCGGACCCCCCGAATTTTCGGCTCGCAACGCTCGCCTTCGGTCTCCAGTACCCTTACAATTCCTTGTCGCCCCCTAGCCCTATCGTTCTCTAAAAAAATTAGCCCCTCCGTCGGAAGTGCTAGCCCCTTTGTCGGAGGAAACCTAGCGCCACCACTGCGGCACCATGGTTGCCGCCGAAGGGGAAGGACATTTTCGAATTGTGATGCTTCTAGTTTCTTGGAAAATGCACTCTTTTAAGCAGATTCCACTAAAGCAATCCTCCTAATCCCATTGAAAATTATTGTCTTTTTGCAAAACTTTTTTACAGCAGATAAAAACAACAATTTCGCCGTGGTCTTGAAAAATACCAGGTTGTCAGTTACTTCTAAATTAAGATCCCTCTCCCCATCTTAGCATGCCTTTTGAATGTGGAGCTCATAGTGAATTGCAGTTGACGCTTCTACTGAGAAACTTTAGGAGAAATGAACACGAGGCACAATTTTACCTAAAATTGCTTGATCCTTTATTGATTTTATGACAGGAAGGTCTCTGAAATACCTAAAGCGTTTCTTCCACCGAGCGGATTTTACCTGAAATTTCCTATTGAGATACTATTGGGGTGGGTATGACAACCCCCCAGTCGCGACGCCCCTGAAAGCACCTCCAATGAAGGGGCACCGAAGGGTCATGGCCCCCACTTTTTTACAAAGCAAAGAGCATTTTTCCAAAATCTTTTGTTGTGGGTGCAAAATTCTCCCTTGCCCCCTTCCCATCCCCCACTTTCCAACCTGTGTCGGAGTCCACCAGATTTTCTCGGCAATTTGTGCCTTGTTAGAAACTTAATGCGCAAATATTGCCTATTGTTGAATATTTCTTCCTATCTATGGTGGAAGAAGTTAATCAATGTTTTTCTCTAAACCATTTGTTTGTCGCAAGCTATGCGTTGAACAATGCAATTGAAAAATATTTGATGAAAAAGGACAAGAAGTGCTTTTTGAAAAATTTATTACGCAAAATGAGCTCATGATCGAAATGTTTTCATTGGCAATAATAATGTCTTGAAACAAAAAGAGAATCCCTTAAAGTGCATATCACCTAATTTAGGATAGAGATTAAACCAACTGAAACAACTGCGCTGAGTTCAAATATCAAATTTAAAAAGCGTTTTGAGCAACGCAAGCCCTCGAAAAAGGCCCCTAAAGTCTCTAATTCTTGCCTCCAATCCGCGCATGTTATAGAAGTCTAGGCTTTAGTCTTTCATGACGTAGAAACCAGAACGTCTTTCGAAACCTTGCGAAATAAATTATGGCCGACTCTGATTCCGTAGCATCCAACATCTCGTCAAATCCTAGTTCCTTTATGGATCACGAATTAGTGGATGAAAGTTTAGATTATGAGCATGCGGGGACTGAAAACGTCGAAGCTGGGTGCTTAGAAGCTTACGCTGATGAACGAATGGCTGATGCGGTGTGGATGCAGAAATAAGAAATATGCTTATTTAGGCCCGTCTAGGACTATGTTATCAACCAAATCCGTTTTTAGGAACTTAAGTAAATTCATTCCGGATAATTTCTGGTTGTGTGAGGACAGGTTCGACTTCATATGACTCAGATCAGGGTAGGTCAGGTCTGACTGATTGCAAATAAAAATAAACTGATAGGAATGCGGAGGGAGGAAAATATTGCAGGCTGATTGCAAAGAAAGCAAATTGATGAATGAATAAATCGCATAAACTTCATTGACGATCCTTGTATGCTTATTATGTCCATCCAAATCTCTAAATATACCATTTAATATTCTCAGTACGTTTTACTTTGGTTCTGGTTTCTACGTCACAAAAAGACTATGATCCAGTCCCCTTTTTGGCGCGGTTTGGTGCTCGCCAGACAGGGCAAAATGCCACTTTTGCGCGCATGAAACAGGAAAAGCAAAAGAAATAGCAAATTATCAATTCGATTTTCGTAAACAGCGCATCAAGTATAGTAAGGGATCGCAAAGTTTGCAATTGAGGTGATATACACTTTAAGAAGAAAATTCATTAAAGACTTTATTTATGACAGCGTGATTTTGCTGTTGTTAGGGTAAATTTCCTTGAAACGGTCCAAAACATGATCCAAATCAAGCATCTGCACGTTTCGCATGAATTCCAAGCAGCAACAGGAATTTCAACCGAGAGGAGCACCATGGTATTGTGGGTCATGCGAGGGAGCATCATGAAACAATGTCACAGCTATCACGGAAGCGACAGGATATAATGCCACTTTGATAATAAAATTGCCGAAGAAAGCCTTTGAGAAAACCATAAACCAGCCAGTGCAGTTTTCTCCTCGATTATTTATGTCATTTAAACAACATGTAAACCGGGTGACATCCATCAAGCGCCGACGGTATTGAGAAAGCAAAAATTGATTAGCTGCCGACGGGGGGGCTAACAAAAATCTAGGGGGGGCTAAAGCCCCCCCTTGCCCCCCCATGCCGCCACTCCTGCTCAAGAGTCGGAGATCACGACTCATACGACATAGGAAGTCAATACAATCCACCTTCAGTGGAATCTTCTACGTAAGCCCTTCAAATAGGTTTGGTGTTTGGTGCCCATAACCTGAAATTAATTCAATGAATATTTCATTGCAGCTAGTGATGCCGCTAATTTCGAATCAATCTGTGTATCACATTGCTACAGTGCATGACGCTGTAATTGGTTCCAACATCATTGGCCTAAACACGAGTGCCAAACCTGTGCTAAAATCTTCAATGAATGACGGGATCAACAACCAGGCCATATACGACCTTGGAGTAGCCATCAACACGGTTGCTAATTTATCAGACTCTTCAACCGATATGATCACACTCAATTTTGACGTCATTCTACTTGACCACAACAACGTGACAAACAATTCTGAGCACTGGGTCGGCGCTGGCCTGGTCGGCAAACCAAAGATGATATGGGTCGGACAGATCTTGTTAAAGGCGCTGGTGCCGGTGGATTCACGACCATGGTTGTACATGAAGCCTAGCCTGATCCCTGGAATACCGGGAAGGTGAGTTTCAGAGATTCACACGGTAAGGACGGCCTCGTAATCGCTAGCTTTACCTTGCTTTTAACAGTAAATCTAATAAAAAAATTTAACCTAGTGCACGTATCTCCTTTTTCAGCAAACAGTTTCCTGACTACGAATACAATGTAATTCTGAAGCACATAGCGACATCTACACAGCATGGAAATGATGTAAAAATAAGATTTTTCTTGCCAACCTTCGTTCAGTTTGTATCCATGGTCGCAGGTAGCAATGCCCGGTTAACAGAAAAACAATTTGGTGGATCAAGATTGTTTGAGGTACAAAGTTAAATTGACTGACTTTTTCTAAAGAGAATATATTGTCTGTTTGAAAGGCACGTTATCGTTTAGAAAAATTTAGTTCGTTTTCATCCTTGGACCCCATTGGTATTATTTTCTAAAGGCAAAAGGCACTAATTGGGCCACCGTGACAGCGATGTGTTCGCCTTTTGGATTGGCTTATTTTGACCCACAATTGGGTACATATGTTTCCTACCTTGAAGTTTTTGATCAATGTTCTGACGTTTTATACTCTGGGAATTTTTACACAATAAGCAATAGTATGCCTTCATTATTAAATTTATACCGCCAAAAAATTTTTAGTAGAAAGTGTGTTGAAATGGCATGATAGTAGCTTCATTAATTTCACATTGCTGGCTAGTAACTTAATTATTCACGACCACCTAAAGATTTTATTTAATGCAAAATTATATTTCAGTTGAATGCCACAAAATTAATCGTTGATTTTTTTCTAATCTTAGATAAGCAGCCAAATGAAGTTCATGGACAATTTCAACTTCACCTTCAAGGTGTCAATCGATTCCTCAAAATTTCCCCGAAAAGGGAAAATCTTCATAACAACCCCAATTTACCTTTTGTATAAGAACAGGTTTGGACAACAGTTCTCATTGGTTAAGGTTCTTCGAACGTCATTGGACGCTCCTATTACAGATATAATCCCAGAAATAGTATCTGCAGAAGGTACGAATTCGTCTTTCTAATTCATTACATGTATTTATCTATGTACAAACCTTGAAAAATTTCGGATGATATTAGCTAAAGGTCGCGATATGCTGTTCTTTTTCAATCAATTCATTTTGTTTTGTTCCTAGAATACTACGATAAAGGTATCTCCTGGAACATTATCTCCACTGGCCAATACCACGTATACGTTTGCAGTGATGCAAAAGCTAAGAGGTAAGTTACCTGTATGACAACCAGGGGCGAATTGTATAGACGTCGGCTATATTTGTGCTAGATTCCCCCAAACCCAGGGGATATTTCAAAAGGAAACTCAACAAGCCGTGGCACCTTTATAACGCAGAACTGGCATTGAACAAAGGAATATGATTCTTCTCTTTAGAAACAATATCTCAGAAAGTTGATCCTTTTTGATAGAAATAGCTTGTCAATTGCATCGAAATTTTTCCAGCTAAAGCTGGTTGCGTGAATTCCTCTTCATTACTTTTCCAGAATGTTGTCAGCTTGCTACGTCACAGAAGACAAAGGTGCAACATGGAAAGGTTAGACTCTCCTTGACCTTCTTTTTCGTACGATTGTCATTTCTTAAGGTGAATGGCATGGAGCTGAATGGCCGATTCTAGGAAAACCTTACAGTCTAATGCATATCAGGCATGACCGCACGAGTTGTGATGATAATTGATAAAAGAGAGCCTTGCTTGAACGTTGGTTCACGTATTTTGGTTGGATGATCAATTCGTCTATTTTTGACAAACAAGCATCGCTTGGGGATCACCTCTTCTATTGCCTCTACTAAACCATTTTTTCCTACGATTGTTTCTCCTTGACGATTTTTCCTAAGATAAGATTGCCTCTCCTTAACGATTTGTACCACGATAAATTTAATGAAACATAAATGCATTGCCTTGTTCTGCTACTATCTATGCCAGTGTACTTTTAAATTTTAGCTGTTGACAGCAGAGTAGCAAGCATCACTGGCCATGATTCCGGGAATGTCTTCGGGATAGCAAGAAATAAGCGTGCTTACATGAAGTTCGATAAGACCGTCAAAGCATGGACATCCATTTCAAAGAGTGACTTCCTCAGTGCACCTAAATCCTATCGCAAATTGAACACTACGACCCCTTCGGGCAACCCTGCCAGTCCCTACACAGTTGAAGGTGACCATTGGGGAGGTAAGCAGCCTAGCAATTTATCTATTTGCTGTGGTTTAATCGGTGGTAAATTTTTCATTATCAAATGGCACTGTCAGGCATCATTTGCATAGCTTAAGTGCAACTGCCAAAGGGTCATTGCAACATGGTCGCCTTTTAATGCAAGTCAAAAACATTGTGAGTCCTTCCCGCAAAAAATAAAGACAAAAATAGAATTTTAGAGGAACCGCTGGCACAGGCAGAGCCCCAGAATTAAGCCAAATTGGCAATAATGAAGCTTTTTACCAGGGCGGTTGGAGCTGCTGTGCACAAAGGGGGTCAAGGAAATGCAGTATCAGTATCAGATTTAAAAAAACAGATTAAAACTATCATTTGGGTCAATGACATAATTGGGGCCTGCCTTTCTAGAATAATATTTTATTTTCGTCAAAAAATTCAAAAACATACTGTATACCTTACATTATTTTTATTTCTAATGACTGCTGATGGAGTATCATGTACAAGAAAGATTAAAGGAAACGAAAAGTTAGATTAAAGGAATGTCTAGGTCCCATTTTGATAATGCACACCAGCTATCCTGTGTCAGCCGACAAGTTTGAAATTCATCGACAAAGCACTTCTAGATGGCAAAACTTCTCGTTTTTGAAACAAGGAGTGACGGAATTACGGGTGAATTCAGCTCTGTAACTGCTCTGAAAGTTTCGTATTCCGGATCTTTTTAGAAAGCGATTCAGTTTAAATTATATTTTTATTGAATACATATTTTTAAAACTGAGACATAATGATAGCAGCAAAGATAGCAATGTGACTCTCAGATCTTCTGCAGGTTGACTAATTTATGGCAATTGCATGTTGGCAATTGCAAACTGAAAAATTAAATATTGGAAAGTGCTTCATTCGCTTTAGGTTGAGACTGCTTATTTGAAAATTGTGATTTACAAGTGTTTCATTGGACACTTCAAAACTTCAAAACTCATGTGGAACTTCAAAACAGCTTTCTTATTACAACTTTCTCTTGTATCTACCCCTTGGGTCTTTTACTATCAGCAGTTTGTTGACACAAAGAGACTGTTAATGCAACAAGGTACATTTTTAGGTTTTTGACCGAAAATGACCGTGCAAAAATGACGACACAAGTTTTGAGAGAGGTAGGAGTATGCTAAAACATGGCAAAGCGTGACACTAATGGAAGAGGAAGGGGGCATTGTCTTTTTACCCTGGCTCTTTGCAAAAATGAGAAAGTGTTCAGAAGATATTCTACAAGATCCGATACTAGGAAACGAGGGAGAAGTGGAAACATTTTGTGACAAAGTGTGACAGGTTGGGGAAGAGTCAGAAATTATAAAGATTAGCGTGAAGTCAATTGGAACGGCCTACAAATGCTTTGCTTTATTGATTTTCCACGTCATTTTTATTGCAGCCTCCAAAGATGGTGTATTCTTTAAAGCTGGTGGAGCAGGGAGCTGGAGCCAAAAATCAATTTGGCTTTGAAGAGAAAGAACTTACTGAAAAAGCTTGTTCGCTTTTTCTAGGCATCTATTTGTGTGCCTTGCGTATTGTCAGAACTTTAGATTTTATTCAAAGCTGCACTAAGTGAAAAACTTGTAAAGATTTGTAAATTCAATCGCCTTATTTTGTTACATTGAAACAGTGACGTTAGTCCAAAAACGGAAATGTCTAAAATATGGAATAGCTAAAGGTTATCCTTTCCATTTAACAGAGGCTGGCGTTGGCAAAAATCTATGATTATTGTCAAAAAGATATAATCTTTGACTTGATAACCAAATCCAATTAAATTGAATCTGTATCAAATTGACGGCAAATCTTATTCGTTTGCTAAACAAAGAATTTACGCTACAAGCAGAGAGAATTACCTGTTCTTCCGATGTCAATGATTTCTAAGACAATACTCCTAACCCCAAATCGAGCTTCATATGAAGACAAACAGTAGTAACTAAAAGTAGATTAAAATTTTAGGCGGATTCAAGACTGTAGATTATATTCACTTGGATTATTTGTTACTTATTCGTTGAAATCAGTCGTGCAGTGGAGGGGGCTTAGGGGAGCTTAGTCCCCTTTTTAAAGTTCAGAGAGATTTTATTTGGGGGGGGGCTCATCCTCCCCTTCACAAGTGAGTTAATATTTGGTTAGATTAATTCTGTGGTCATTGGTATGGCCTCCTGAATTTGTCTACAGCACAGCTCCCCCCTTCCTAACTTTTTGAGCGGCACCCTTGGTTTAAATGTTCACTTAGTGTTCATGTTGTATTTATCAAAATGGTAAAGACTTATCGCTTGATTTTTGCTTTAGTTAAGCTCCATTTTCCGCAAAAATAAGAAAAAGATCGTAATGTCACACAACTGTGAGGTGACATCTTATATGAGCGATGCAGCACGCACGAACTATGATTTGCATGTAGCCAACTTGCGTTTTTAATTTTATCGTCTGTTTCTTCTACGCCATGCGACAATGCCGCCAAGGTTAAAAAAATCCTTTACCTAATATTTTTCGACAAATGCATAATTCGCTACCTTAATTTTTTTCGATAATTCCCACCATAGTCGGCGGCATGAAAATTTTAGGACTATGGTAATATTTTATCTGACATCTTATATGAGGCAATATTTTCAAGATTTGTTTTACCACTATTCCCCGTCATTTTATCTAAAAACAAAAGATCAAGCAATTTTGCAAGGTTTGGTATTCTTTTGTTAGATATGGGTTCAAAATTTTTCGGGATTAAAACAATTTAAAAAAAACGACTCTTGACTTGAAAAACTTTAAAACTGGGCTGGTTAAAACAAGTTTAAATAGAATTTATACTAACGTCTAGATTTTCAAAGAAGAAGCTCAATAGTGTTCCATTGGTTGGAAGGATATATTCACAACAAAAACTTCGTCGAAAAACCTCTCGGACAACTATTCAGAATTTCGTGGTGACAAAATTTTGTCGTGAATTTTTAACACAAAGATAGCAACATATTAGACAAAATCTTAAACAAATTTAAGCGTTCCAAGAGGCTCTACTCTATATCTAAATGGTATGACAGTTTATGTAAAAGTGTGAATATAAGTATAAGGTTCGGAAAACATGAGACAATCTTCAACAGGAAATGTTGGTCTGGAAAGTTTGCTTCTGTTGAGTTCAAAATTTGGGTTGAAAAATACTAATACTTTAAACGAATGAAATAAATAGTACAGTTGAGTATTTCGTCGTGACCAATTTTCGTCTCATTTTGAATTTCGTCGAATAAAATTTCGTCAAAGTATTGGTCCGAAATTTTGTCACGACGAAGTTTTTTGTCCTTATCCCTCTCTACTATGAAATATTCTTTTAATTTTGATTCACTTCGACAGGGAAAATAATTCAGTATATATAAGTAACTGCTTTGCAATGTGCCCCGCTTTCTTCCTAGCAGTTTCATTCCAATCAACAGCTGATATTCTCTCTTTTTGTAATGGTTTTGTGAGTTTGTTGCTGAAACCCTTTCACGATAGTTATAGCCTTTTCACGACATAACGCAAGAAAAACTCATGTTTCACGCTTCATGTAGGGATCTATATTCACGAAATTACGATAAAAAATTGAGATTCCACAATTTCATGCACAAAAATATAGCCAATAACGCATCACGCAAAAATATGGGGGGGGGGGGCTTTTGTCATCTGTTTATTTCATCCCTTTCGAAGAAACATAATACGAGCTGGTTTCATTATGTTATACAACTAGTTTTGTCTGTCGTGCATCGTGTTTGTGGTTCGTTATTGTTAATGAGAATGTCTTTCGATGTTTGCGTCAGTAATTTTGTTTGTCATCGTGCCATCTCTATTTTAGTTGTTATTAGTTCATTTGCCGTTAATTTGTGTCATTAGGGTTTTATGTGCGTCACTCGTGTTGTTAAAAGCGTATGTTCTTTGAGTGCAAGTCCAGTCGAGTCGAAGTTTTCGTTGAATAAAGTCGTCATTTTGTAGTTGTTGGTTGCTGCTGATTATACGATCGCTATTGAAGAATCTTGGTTTTTTTTAAAAACGTTATTGCGAACTGGAGTCTGATTTATGAGCTTTACCTGTCCTGTAAAATACTTTATTTTACAATTATGCTTTAGCATTCACCCCGGACGCTCTAAACGTAATCTGTCTTCGGGGTATGTCTGTGTGCTGTGCCCTCCACATAAAAGCCTTTAAAAGTTTCCTGACTGACACTCCCCTCCCCCAAAATGATTTAATTTGCACCCCTACTAACAGTACAAATGTTTTGCCTGGATAATATAACACAAAGACCAGTGCAATCTCACTTCAGGGCACGCACCCTGAGACAATTTTGAATTTTAAGGCTTTTTCTTTGTCTCGGCTAGCCTCCTAGAGACCTAATAACCAGATATGTCGGTCGTATAATTGATTCTGTATCAAACTTTTTGGAGGCTTTGGCACCCCTATTGAAAGTCAGCTGGGGACATGGCCCCATGCCAACTGCACCCCCCTGCCAGGCCGCCACTGATCAGTGGTGTGACACCGACCCCTGTACATATTCATTGTCGCCTCGAGATGAAAAGGAGGTTTGGACACTATTAATTTTCAAAGAGACGAGGACAGGACAACATAGGTAAGGGGTACAAAGAGGGGGCGTATGGTATATTCGTTGACGACAAATACATGCCATGAGCAAGCGAGCAGTTGAATCATGCAGAAATGGGAGTTTGATCCAGTTTATAAACTGCAGAATTCTTTACAGAGGTGCTATTGTCCTTGATGATTTATGGGTGCGGGACGGTAAAATATGCAACCCAGAGCAAATTTTTTTCGATGAAAAAGTTCAAGCTGACTTGAAAATTGATTGCAAAAACCTGATTATATCGCCAGGATTTATTGACGTCCAAATCAATGGTGAGTTTGAACGAAGTAACCTTGCATTTCTAGAATATGGTGACACCATTATATTGATAACTATTTTTATGTCTAAAAAGTTCTACACCTGGCACAAACAGGTCAACTGTGACTTTACAACCGGATTACAGAAGACAGAAGATACATTTAACACATCCAATTTTTGAAGAAGATGCGTGAAATATTTAGGTTAAAAAAGAATACAGATGTTTAAATTATTAGGTGAATTTATTGTATTTTTATGTAGTGGACTTAACAGATAAAATACCTGAAAACTTTTTACATGAAAATTAGCAACTGAAATTTAATGCAATAGAAAAAGACCAAGCTGTAGAAGTAAAGTAGAAATAACCAATTCAGTTCCATTCCATAAAATACTGGAATGTAACATGTGAAATGACAATCTGTGTGGTTTTACTATGATTTAACCTAGTCCAAATGCCTTCAACGCACTACTTGATTATTGCCAGACCATCAGTAGCAAAATTTTGATGTGAAACGTATAGCATAGAGGTTGGAGACAGGGCTCATTAATGATATTTTGTGCCTGCGAGTGCAAAGCCAAGTAAAAATATGCCTACAAGTAAAATAGGTTGCAATTTATAGACAGATATTGATAAATCGAAAACTTCCCTGTTACGCTCAGTACTATTACACCAACTAACGTTTGTCAAAGGCATATGCCATATCGATATCATAATGAACTACATATAACTACATGTAAAACTGAACAAATGCTACTAGCGTTACATTTTGTACATAAAAAGGGAATGATCCAGTTTTTATCAAAGGGTCGCTTTGGGTTGTCAAGTAGCCCTATCGCTGTTATCGATTTTATCAAATAAAGACATCTTCAGTAGAAACCCTTTCCGATATCTTGAACACTTTACTTTTAATGGAGCAGTTTTGTTTACAACATCTTCTTTCAAAGTTTCTGAATTTTAGGATTTTGCTTTCGCTTTGTTGGCAAAAGTTAAAAGAATTTTGACAATTACACTGGGTTTTTTCTCATTTCAAAGATATAAAAAATAGCCATGAAAGATCCCATTCCCAATTACTTTCATGATCTCTTCCACCAAGAGATAAAAGGTGATAAGAGTTAAGCAGACAACTTGATAATAGAGTAAGGACCTTCTGTCATTTTGGTAATGAAGACTTTCTACTACTACCTTTTATATTTCATTTGACTGTTCAATTTCAATACAAAGAAAGCTGTTTAAAGAAAGCATGACTGTAACACAATAAAGGTATATAATTGACTCAGAAATATGCCTGCAGAAATTGCTGAGACTTCTGTGCTGAAAGTGGTGAACTTCTGTGCCTGCAAGCGCCGCTTGCACGCTCGCACAGATTAATGAGCTCTGGTTGGAGAAGTATAATGAAATTGATGAGTGAAATAAGAGCAATGACAGAACCTTGGGGAATACCGAGCTTTATTTGTTGGGGACTAGACAGGTAGCCATCCAGCACTTGCCCAACTTAATTTTTAGAAACAGGAATAACTCACTTTGAAACTTTCTCCATTACAGGTGGGTTTGGACATGATTTTTCATCCAATGTTGAAAAGTTAGATGGTGCATTAAAATATGTTGCAAAGGGAATTTTGGCACATGGAGTAACATCATTTTGTCCAACTATTGTCACATCACCAAGTGAAGTCTATAAAAAGGTAGGTTATGGGAATTTATCATCATAAATAATGAGTAGATTGTGTAAACAAATGCAACCTCTAAATAACACCACTGCATGATGTCTCATAATGCAAGTTATATCAGTCTTAAATCATACCCTTCACAAATGATAGATATTCAATTGTCAGCTGACTTCAAGTCAACAGAGAAGTCTTTCTAAACAAATATTCATTCAAAAAACGGGTTTCTTTAGAGATTGGTGAGATCAGCACTGTACAGTACAATGCTGTACATCTGCCATGGCATTTACATTTTAGTCCTTGCTATCAACTAACATGATTTTCACACCAACCCCCTGTTTATTTAGCACTCAAGTGTACCATAAATTATCTTTTAAACCCCCAGGGGGGTTTATTATTTTTCAGCACTTAAAAGGGGGCTTATAAAATGGGGGTTAAATTGAGAGAGGGGCTTTATTAACATTTTGTAATAAAATCTGTTTTCATAGTCAGACTACTTCTTTGTTATTTGCAAAATAAAAATCATCAAATCAGGCATCTACATCTCCATAATATTGTCTTCGTCATAATCATCAAATATTAATTCTCAAATCATTTCTTGGGCCATCTCCTCTTCTGAAATCGAGCATTCAAAAGGGTAAACTCATTCCTCTGAGTACCAACGGCCTGTAAGTTTGGTAAAAGGCTTTTGCTTAAATACACATTAGATGTTTGTCTTCGGATCCATCAAGACTGGAAGAAACATGATTTGAATTTTGTTTGATGAGAAATATTGAACAACCAATTAATAAAATGAAAGTATCTGTTTTTTTCAAGTTCACTTGTCACTTTGGCATCGGTGAATTTTTTTTTTTGGGGGGGGGGGCTAAATTGAGAGAGGACTTACTAAATTTTTCCTTCTGAAAATAGCTTCTTACAAGGAAGGGGGGGCTTAAAAGAGAATTTGTAGCATGTGTGATTTTTTATGATGCTATTGCTAATGAAAACTAATTCATATCAACTTTAGGTCACAGTTTTAGCAAGGATTTGACTTTAATTAACAACTGACAGTAAACAGTTTCACCCATCAGAATTATTGTTGTGAACCTTATACTGTCATAAAATCTACAATGCTAGCACAGAAAAACAGGAAAATTGTATCAGAACTTGAAATAAAGTGGTTAATCTTAATGAAGTTCAGAGTGATTTCCAAAACGAAACTGTAAATTTAATTAGTATGAAAGCTGAAAATGGCAAATGTCACATAGTTTGTCTTTTTTTGGAAAATAACCTTTTCTTTTGTAAATTTTTAAACTGAGTTGGCAGTATCATAAGGAAGCTGTTGGTCTACAAAAGTATCATCAGACCACCACACCTTTCCCCAAAACTGCCCCTTTAAGTCCTGGCTGTCAAGTGTCTGTGGCTTTTTGTAGTTTCATCAGGCAAGTCTGTGCAAAAATGTCATGCTACATGTAATTAACAAAAGATACAAATATCCGATATCATGTTTGACTGACAAATAATTTAATTATATTTTATTTCCAGGCACTTCCAAAGATTTCTGCAAAACAAGGTGGATCTCATGGTGCAGAAATTATTGGTGGGTTCTCTCAAGATTCTGAAATTGTCTAGAATTTCAGTTGAGTCTATTGATAGATAGGTTATGTGTATGCATCTTCGTAAGATATTTGATCTTTACAGAGCATCTTTCTTTTACTAGGTGCCCACATCGAAGGGCCATTTATCAATGCAGAGAAAAAGGGTGCCCATAATCCTGAATACATTACAGTTCCAACAAAGGATGCAGTAAGAGGTGTTACAGAAATTTATGGGTCTCTTGATAATGCTGCAATGGTAACTATAGCACCAGAAATCGATGGAGCACTTGAGGCAATACCACATTTTGTCAGGAACAATGTCATCGTTTCGATTGGTAAACAGCTTAAAAAATTTTCTTTCATAATTCTTAATTATTTATGAATCTTTCTTTTTTAGTTCCAAATTTTAACCAAAAAGTTGTAAAGTTTGATTAATTTTTTTGAGATATTGATACCTCTGGTCTATTTTTTCCCCAAGTGCACTGATTTAAAGCATCAATGAAAAGATTGTTCCACTAAGTATTGTCCACAATTTTTTCGATCCCAATTGTTATCAGAGACTTTTCCTTTGCCTTTCCCAGGAACCTCAAAAGTGCAAAATTTTTCAGACAGGATTCTTCTTATTTTGTTTCAATGTCAACATTACTACACGCAATGCATTCAACTACCATAAACCTTCGAATTGTTCCCCCTTGAATAAGTCCCTAATGTCAAAGTAAATATTGCTAGTGATTCCCCATTCTCTAATACACCCTCACGATAACATGTCATTTTTTACAGTACATGATTTTAGCCCATAATTGATTCCATACTCACAGCGGGAACACACGAAGCATTGTTTTTGGCGGCATCTGCCGTGGCATTTACATTTTAGTCCTTGCTATCAACTAACCTGATATTATTCTTAATTTTACAGGTCATAGTAATGCTAATCTTCTAGAAGGCGAAGAAGCTGTTCGCCGAGGAGCGACATTCATCACTCATTTGTTCAATGCTATGGCTCCATTCCACCATCGAGATCCTGGCCTAATTGGGGTTCTTACTAGTAATGTGATTCCAAAATATGCTTTCTATGGGATTATAGCTGATGGCATACACACGCACCCCACAGCTCTACGTATAGCTTACAGGGCTCATCCAAAAGGTATGCGTCTATACTGATTTTTTACACAGGTATTGTGGTACGTGGATGTGGTATCAGATACCTATAATACGCTGGTTTTGGACTTTAAATTTTCTTTACTTACAAAAGCTAGGATTATGTGCATCTTTTTATCCTTTTTATAAGGCCTTGTTCTTGTCACGGATGCCATTGCAGCAATGGGTCTTCCACCTGGAGAACATCTACTAGGTACAATGAAAGTAAATATCGAAAAGAACAGAGCAACTCTTGTTGGCACAAATACACTAGCGGGGAGGTTAGTTGAATTTATTATTTTAAAAGTAGATCCTAACTTATGGTGTAAAATAGCATATTGTTTTAACCTTGAGTACCGTATTTATTCTGTTATAAGCCGCAGCTTGTATTGTTTTGGCAACTTCTGATGAAGTTTAGGGGTTGATCCGTGGGGCGGGCTGGCCCGGTTTACAGAGAAGGAAAACTTTTGGTTTGATCCTGGTAAAAATATAAAGTTCTTTCTGTTTAGGAAACTTTCGGTTACATGCAGCGACGCCTGCACAAGATTAAGGCAGGAGAGGCAGCGTTCATGCTGAGGGCTAATAGCAGAATTTTTTCCACTACCTTAATCGATTTTTAGTGAGAGGTAGGGGAATGCAAAATGAAATATTGGAATGGATCTGTTCCACCCAAACAGCTGGGATTTTTGCAATCAAAGGCTCTAAACATAGGCATGGCGTTGAAAAAATTCTCCATGCAAGTGGGTATTAAATGGCCTTGTCATTATTCGAAATTTTTTGTTTTACGAAAATCATGGCAATTACAAATTGGCTGGTTGTAAGACTTTGATGGTACGCTTAGTCTCAATATACTTGATTTTCAGCTTCCAAAGAAGTTGCAAGGAAGTGCTCTTGAATACGTAGATTTAATGTCATTTCAGTAGTAAAAACTCTAGTTCAAGTTAAACGTAAAATTCTAAGCAGGGGCTCCTACCTTTATAGCTCTCTTATGAGTTTTTTCTAAGTGTCCGAAGTAGCCATTAACAATATTCATGTTCTATATTAAAATTTCTTTTCATTCGATAATAAACAGTTCTATTTTTTAGAGTATTCGTGGTTGTAATTGTTTATGATGTTAGTTGATATCATTAATCATATATCGAAATTAATGAAAAAAATTGATTGATTGATTGATTGATTGATTGATTGATTGATTGATTGATTGATTGATTGATTGATTGATTGATTGATTGATTGATTGATTGATTGATTGATTGATTGATTGATTTGTAAATATTCAGACGTTTTTTGCGTACCTTTTGTTGCTTAAAAATCTTGTTTTCTTTTTAAGCATTGTGACCATGAAGGAGTGCCTAAGACATTTCAGAAAGGCCGCAGGTGAGAAATGTTCTATTACCTTTGGAAAGTTCTATTAATACTTATATTTATTGGATCTTTCCGTAAAAGTCTACTAAACATATAAAAGTCTGGTGCAGATGCAAATCGAAAAACAAGCCTGTTGTTTGGCCTTAATCCAAAAGATAATTTGCAACTGAAGAGTTTTGCTAAAAATCAAAACCGTGTTAGATTTAGCTTAATTTGTGATGCGTGGCTTTTTTAATTTTAAAGGTTGTTCTACTGTGGAGGCGCTGGAAGCAGCAACTTTACATCCGGCACAGCTTCTCGGAATCGAAAATAAAAAAGGGACGTTAGAATTTTATTCAGATGCTGATTTTGTTATAATTGACGATGAGTTTAACATTCATGCTACTTTTATAAGCGGACAACCAGTGTATATATATGAAAATGGCTACATGAATCATGTAGCTGATATTTGTATATAGCTTTCTGTCTTTTTTGTAGAGTTATGCACTTGTCTATAAAGAGTTTTTGTAATAGATTTTGATTAATTTTTTTCCAACAGTATTGTTAAATGATTATCAAATTGCAGAATATATATCCTTTAATTCAAAAGCAATTTTGGCAAACGTGTTTGGGTTTCTGACTTTTTGACTTCAAGATCATGATTTTGCTTTTGAGTCACGTGACTTCCCACCCAAGCAGCTGCTTCTGTTAGCCATCGCAAACAAGTGAATGGAAAGCTAGAAAATTCTCAAAGATCTTAATTTAAAAGGCTATTTTGATTGTTTTATCAGTTCATTGTTATTTACTTTTCTTCCGTAAGTTTATCTTTTGATTGGAAAATTGAAGGCGTTTTCAAACTTTGTTGCATTATAAGCTGTCTTTCTGGTTCAATGTAGACACAACATTTTAGTTGTAAGTCAAAACAAAAAATTTTTACTTTGATTAAATATTGTTGTCTATGATGATTCCACATACAGTTATGCGTATGTCGTTGGATTAATTCCGAATTGTTGTATAAGATTGACGCATACTCTGGCATGACCAAACTTCCGCCAGAGTGAGGAGAGTCGAAAGCTCTCCGTAATTCCAGGCATATGAATCACGAGGTGTGGTCACATCGAGAGGAAGGACCAGGACACTGCTCGATAAGCATAAGCTTTCCAGCGTCCTAAGAACTACCTTCGGATGCTAGGTAGAAACAAATACAATACAATGCAATCAAGTACTTTGCTGCATTGCCACAACTTTTCCTTCACTTGTTCCTCTGTTCATCACTTTCTCATGTGATAATGCATTTCCAACTTTGTCGCTTTTTCTACGTAGAATTATTTCCTTTTTCACTTAGAAAGAAGAAAGTATCATAACTTCCACTACAAAAATTAAATATCTTTCTATTTAGCTAATCGTTTTAACGTTCTTTTGAAAAACTCGTCAGTCTTTTGCTACAAATACCACCGCGAAACAACCGTTTCCCCATTTTCTTCATAAGTGACATTATTGTTTTTAAATTTCTGGGCACGGTTGGCTGTCTAGCCATTTGGTTTGCTGTTCAGTCGTTATCTTATCGTTGCTTTAAGGTGGAGATCATAAGGGCATCGTCCTTGGTAGACGATAGTTTAAACCATAAGAAAAACAATACGAGGCTTCACAGAAGCTTGACTGGAACGTAGAAAAGATCAATCACACGATCTTCCTTTTTTTCAGCCTCTATTGCACCGGACTTTAAAATCAATATAAGTAAAAAACACATTTTTCAAGTGAAATACGTCGAATTCTTGAGACTTCTGGTGGTTGAACATCTTACCTTGAAGCATCGCATAACCAAACTTTCGAAAAATTGGAATGGACTTGTCGGGACGCATTTCCAGACCAGGAGCCTTCTTCCAAAAGACAAACTAATAGCCATTTATAATACTCTTGACTTTCTTTGGATATTGCATTTTGGTCTGGTGAAATACATTAAGTGTCCTACAGATCACTTTGCCTATTCGTTCACAATTTTTTAAGGGATTTGACAATGGAGGCTTTTTGAATTTTTCTAATCAAACTAACAACTTTTGTTTATCAACCAGTCATAATGTTTGTTTGTTTGTTAATAGGAAACAAAATACAAACAGAAAGAGCATCATTTATCGGATAAAAGTCTTTGCAAAAGCGGGAAAGCAAGATAATATCGATACTTAATTTTTATATACAGTTGTTTAATCACAGGTGAATGCAGGCTGAGAAACATAAGATAAGCAGAAATGAAACATCAGAATAAAAGAAACGTAAAAACCTCGGTTCAGGTCTGGACACTGAAGAAGATATCCAAGATCGGAGAAGGTTGACCATCCATCATAGCTATAACGCTGAAGAAAGCATTTACGCCTGGAAGAACTCAGAGGAAGAAAAAAATTTAGCCTGGAGGGATATGGTCGAGAAAGAAGACTTTAAAAGGTATAACATCAGGAATTGGAAGGATGCAGAGAAACAGAGGTGATTCAAGACCGAAGAAACCTGGAGGCCGGGGGGCCATGGCTCCTCCACTTTGTGGCAAGACAAAAGTTGAGAGAAATCTACCATTTCATCCTCTAAGAAACTGTCATAATTAATCCCTTAAATATGCCCTTAGCTTTAGGTTGGTTGCTATGTCTTTACCATAGAAGACATATAAAAAATTGAATAGTGGAATTTGATTAAAGAAATCGCTTATTGTCCAAGTTGTACAGCTAGCAATAGCTTGGCTTGGGAAATAGATCAAGAAACCTGATCCAGAATAACTTGGTGCCAGCACAAATTGACGGAGTTTCGTTTTTTTACGGCCTAAACTTGGCAAACAAGGTCTGTTTATTAGCAACAACTTTCTCCGAAACATCACAAAAAAAGAGAAATCAGCTTTTGAAGGAAAAGAAAGAGCTACAAAGAAAATTTTTGAGGATATGAGAAATAAAGTATGGGCAGATTTGTTCTTAAAAAGTATCATCAAGAAAACTTCAAAGTTTGATCGCTTGGATAACCCATTCCTAGAAAGAAAGAGAAAATATAGACGCAATTGTAAATTACATTAAAACTACAAAAACTCGTTTTGATCAGCCCGGTCTCAAAGTTGTTCAAATCTAGAGTCTTTTTGAACGAATCTAGAGATCAGAGGTCACAAAATAATATTCCAACTGTACAAAATTCCTTAATTTCTATTTATAGCTGATAGTTCTTCTGTTGATATTTCAATGTTGATGTTTTTTATTAAACCGTGTTCTATTTATTTTTCTCCCCCATCCAATTTTGGGTACTTTCAAAATCTAAAAAACGTTTCATTACGAGCTATATTATAAAGCTTATTCTAAAACTTTGCAAGACCTTTGCTATTGCAAGTTAACTGACAAGAGACGAGACTATGGGACATGTTTATAAAACAATGCTTAAATATATTGTCCCGGATTTTTCTTTTTAGACAGTTTCTTGCCATTCCTAGGACATCACAATTTTAAAATCTTTCTTGCCATCAACTATGGTGACCACATTTCCTGACCTCTTTCAAGAATTTGATATTTTGGCCCCTCCAATTTCAATTACGTTTCGCCGACCCTGCTGTTCCCCTTGGACCGACACAAAGTACAATGTACCTTGATGATGTTGTATTCCAAGTTTATAGTTTTCTAGGTTGCCCAACCAGCAACCAGTAGCAACACCAGCTTAGATTTTTGCCCGAGAAAATAAGGTTTTTCATGGTACAACCTCGATGGCTACGCACCTGTTCGGAATTTTTATGCCACATTTTACCCTCTTTTTAGTTTCCCGCCAATTTTGGGACAGTTTTGAAGAAGAGGCTGCTCCAAGATGGTCAAAATTTTCTCGTGGTTGTTTTCCGAAAAGATATTTAAACTTCGAAGAACCTTTCTTTTGACATGGCTGATGACGAATTAACCTTTCGAGAATCTCTCCTTAACACTTTGGCTGGAGCTTTCTCTGTGAATGAACAGGAAAGAGCTTACTCGGAAGAGCAGCTGAAGATATTTGAAACATCGGAAGGCAAGTATATAGGCCTGACGATTCTGACGATTCGCATGGAAACCGCTGTACAAAGTATCACCAATAACTTTCAGTTTAAAAGAGATATTATATTAATTTTTGTTTTTACAACATATTTAAAGATTGTTTAAGAGGAATTTAGCATTTGGAAACTGAAAATTTTCCTAAGATGTGTTAGTAAAGACTTAGCAAAATTTGACAAATTCCCGACATTAATCGAAAACTGGGTATCGAAGTATGGAAAATAACTTTTCGCAAAATCACCACAGGATCTTCATTCGAGATTTATTGGAAAGGCAACTCAATATTCTAAAGGAATTTGCACGTTTCGACTTAAAATCTACAGTTTTCCAGTAAAAATATGCCCTCTCAAAAACTTGCGAAATTGAGCTTTTTAAGAAAATCGAGGGTCAGTGTATCGAAAATAACTTTTCCCCATTGACAAAAATCAGCCGGACTTTTACGTTTTTCTAGCATTCCAGCAACATTTTTTGAGGAATTTTGCATCTAGAAGCATATTGCGACCGAGAAAGTTTGCGATTTGCGACCAGGTATTTAACAATGCCAGATCGCGTCAGAACTTTGATGACGGTTTTAAAACGTAAGGAACGCGAAGAGAATCAACATGAAGTTACTTAGAGTTAACACGCAGTCAGCAGCACCAATAAATTGTAGACAAATAGCAGTAACAGGTTTTGGTCGAAATCTCATTAAAAATTCCAAAAGCACAAATAATTTGAAGCAACTCTACTATAAGAATAGATTATATAAACGATCACTTGAAAGGCATTGCCACTGAAGGTAAAGGTACCAACCTGCAAGAATTGATAACAACTTCTCCAACTTTAGACATTACAGATGACGACATTATAACTTTTGATGACAATTTACCTGCCAAGAATCCTTTTGATAACATAGAAAATACACAGTATAATTCAAATAAAAAAACTATTACACCAAGCTCCAGCACTCAGAAACAAGTAGCAAGTGCTTATCCAATTGCTCGGGCGATGTCCCAACGTTGATTTCCAACAAAAAATGATTCAAGGGCAGACATACCAAGGAAATATTTGGATACCCTTTATGATCTCACATGTAACAATATTCAAGAATTTTTGTCACCTTTGCCATTTTACCATAAACCATCCCTAGAAGTGCAAACTCGGGACTTGCAATTTAAAGACATTACACCAATATGCATTGATGATGAATAAGCCTCTATACACAAAGACGCAATTGTTTTAGAGGATGCTAAGTCAATTGAAATGCCTGCGGAAGACATGTACAGTTCAGATCTCATGAGAGGGCTTGCTAGGTCAAAATTACCCAGCGGAATAGAAGCAAATCTTATCTTAAGCAAGGTTTTGTTGCCTTTACTGTCAGAATGGATTATCAATGGGTTATCTTCGAAAATATTGTCAAGAAGCCTTCAAATCTCGAAAAGAGTCTTCTGTCTATTTTCGTGCCTGAGCAAAGTGCACTGTCGAGGGTTGTTTTCATAATGCTTCGTTGACCATCGGCTACCAAAAAAGTAGTAATATGCAGGCCTTGCTCTAAGCAAAATAAAGGTGCTCTATAAAAAGAGCCCCATAGAAATTCTAGGCGCTCTATTTTGCACCTCTAAATAAAATATCCTCGAGAGCATCCTTCGAGAGCTTTGGAAGATCGAGAGTTTCATATCGAGAGCTTCGGAGATTGTTTAATAAGACATTCAACGATGATACCAAAAAGCACCATAATATAAAATGACAAAACATGCAACAAACACTATGTTAATGTTAATATAGAAATATAATGAAACAAAGTCTCAAAATTGTTCAGATTTTTCTAGACATGTATGTTGCTCATCACTTGATGAGCTTTTATCACTTTCAGTATCATTAAACAGTTATGTTCTGCTTCACATATTGCTTCATCAAAACACATGGCTTAAAGTCGAAAATTTGACTTCATTTCTTTTTTTATGTTATTCATTCTTTAAGACATGCTAGAACATCTACGACTCACGCAAGCAAATGAAAACTAAAAAGCAATTTGATAATTTGGACGGAAATTTGATCGCTGATTTGCACAGGCCATCTTAAGTTATTAAGAAAAACAGAAAATAATATATACTTCAACAGAATATTAACGCTTGCTCGAAAATCAAATGAATTTGACGGAGAATACGCTTGATGGCCTGTGTCATTGATGGTTTTTAGAGGTTTATTAGATGAAAAATGGTATTGAAAACCCAATGTTCAATTTGCTGAATTTTTTCTCAAGTGGTAATCTTACGTAAATCATAATATTGCGGTCTGTTAGGAAGATTGTTTATGCTTGATCAAGTTTATTCAACAAATGTCAAAAATTTATTTTGCTCCGTGGTAATATTGTTTTTACGTTTTGAGGGGCTCTTTAAATCGCTCTCCAAGGCTTTTTTTGGGTGCGCTCTGGGCGCGCGCGCTCGATCGAGCGCCTTTCCGGGCAAGGCCTGAATATGCAAATATCTTTTATTGGTAATGTCCTACATAAACGTGGTAATCTTTCTTTTTTAAAAATATGTGGCAAAGGCCTGGGATGTGATAGCGCAGTACTTTGTAGACAATCTATCAGTGCCTCCCTCAAAAAAAATGATTCTGAGATAAGTTATTTTTGATACACTGATGAGTGATTTTCATTTGAATCGTCAGTAGGACTCCATTTTCTTTAAAAAAACACAAGTTTTGCATTTTTTTTCAGAGGGCATTTTTTCACAGGAAAACTGTAGATTCAAGGTGAAAACCTGTAAATTCCTCTAGAAAATTGAGTTGCCTTTCCAATGAATGTCGATTGAAGATTGTGTGATGATTCTGAGAAAAGTTATTTTTGATACACCGATGAGCGGTTTTCTTTGAATCGACAGACAGCCCCTCGCATTGCATGATCCCAGAGACAGGAAGTAGATGAACCACCTTTCTCGGTCGCAATATGCTTCTAGATGCAAAATTCCTCAGAAATGTTGCTGGAATGCAAGAAAAACGTAAAAATTCAGCTGATTTTTGTCAATGGGGAAAAGTTATTTTTGATACACTGACCCTCAATTTCCTTGAAAAGCTCAATTTTGCAAGTTTTGAGAGGGCAAATTTCTACTGGTAAACTGTAGATTTTAAGTCGAGACATGCAAATTCCTCTAGAATATCGAGTTGCCTCTCCAATAAATCTTGATTGAAGATCCTGTGGTGATTTTGCAAAAAGTTATTTTGATACTTCGATACACAGTTTTCGATTAATGTTGGGAATTTGTCAAATTTTGCTAAGTCGGGAAGTTACTAACACATCTTGTGAAATTTTCAGTTTCCAAATGCTAAATTCCTTTCAAACAATCTTTAAATATGTTGTTAAAACAAAAATGAACTCAATATCTCTTTTAAACTGAAAGTTATTGATGATACTTTGTACAACGGTTTCCAAGCGAATCGTCAGAGCGAAATGTCAGAATTTTCAGGCCTATATAATTAAATGCAGCATTTCGTAGAAAACTCTGAATTATATCTTCTTGTTTTAAACGTTTTAAATATTTATCTTTTTTGCAAACATATAGCATAGAAAGCATATCAGACAAGGATGGTGATATCAAAATCTACACAAGTTTATAGTATGCCTTTCCAATGCCGTGCCGGTGGCGTGAGACAGTACTTTTCTTTGTTTCTATTTAACAGCAAAATTTCTTTGTGATGTTCTCGTTCCAAAGTAACTGCCAAAGTGATAGAGTTTGCATATTTATTTTGTATCGTTATAAAGTAGCATAAATTTGCAATTTGCTGTTTATAGGTTTTGGTGTTATCCTCACTAACATCATCTTAGAAAGCAGCATATCAGAGTCAGTCAGACAGGTATGAGTTATGTTTCCAGCTTTATTGATTAACAGAATAGTTTAACTTTTATTCGTGCAACTATACCATTTTTCATATAAACCAAAATGGATCATAAAATTGGAAGCTTCATGTTCAAATTAGACTTTCCTCCTTTTTATTTAAGAATAGATTATTTTGAGCTCTTGCTTGGAGCAAAACACAGGCTCCTTTAGCTTCCTACCTAGAAAAATATATTGTTCAATTCAGAATTTCCTAGTCTAATTATTCATTTGTCATACAACAGTTGACAAATGGAGGTTTTTTTGTTCAATGTGTAGCAATAGATTTTGTTGAAACATTGCAAATACGCTGATTTATTTTTCATAATCAAAATATTATGAACTGAACTGAATAGTACTGAATTATGTCCAAGATGAAAATTTCAGTGTGAATAGGATGAAGACTGCACAGGCAAGTGGTCCAATTTTATATGGAGGAAGAAGAGTATCATGATTTCCTATGGCTAATCATCATTTCAAGTCGGTTTGCAATTTGTTAGTAGAGTGTCAAATACATTATGTTGCAAAATATCATCAAATATGATCAATAAAAGAGAAATTTTTTTCCATTTACTTTTAGACAACATATATTTACTAGGTGCTGCATTGATAATGCTTCTGAAACTTTCAAGGCACATGGGCTCAAGGGCCTCTCGTGGCAAGGACTGACGAAATATAAGCATTTTTTGATCAGAAATATTAGTATTGATTGATGCAGTGCTTGGCACAGGGCTGGAGAATGTCAGGCAACATTTCACACTTGTCAATCCAAAAAAGTCGAGTTGTTTCAAGGCACCATTAATGTTGTACTCTCTTTGCATTTCCTAAACAAGGAAAATCACAGCACTGCTTGTTATTAGCATCCCTTCGTTAAAAACTAGTCAAATTGCTTTTTTCATTCTGAACAATATTGGTCAGACCAGAATGCACAGACGCATGAGCCAAAGAACAGGACTATTTTGCATGAAAATTCACTAGAAGTACTGCAAATTTGCATTTTGCACTAACTCTGTTGTTTCACTCGTGTGCCAATAATATACTCTTTATATCTAAATATTATTCCCCACCCCATTGCAAAGAATTACCGACCCCACAATTTGAGCTTTTGGTGTTCCAGCCAACCAACTACATATTGTTATTTTGATTGCACTACACCATCGGTTTCCTGATACACTAAGTACGGTTTTGTGAAAAGGAGGGAAAATGGTTGCTAACTACCAAAAAAAAAGAAATGTACGCAACAAAATTGTTTGATAGTTTCTTGATAGTCTCTTGCAGATTCTATATTCAAACTGCATCCCAATTTGGCAATCCCTGGTTCCTGCTGAGCCGACACAAACTTTAGAGAGTTGGATTATAAATATCCCCATGTGTTATTTACTAAACAATTAATTCATATTTCTGCTTGTTACTGGGTTGTTCCACTTTTTCCTCATTTGTTACTGGTTTGTTCCGCTTGTTACTGGGTTGCTCCACTTGTTCATCTTCTAGAATTGCTGTTGTCAAGTTGGCCAAAATAATCTCTTTGTTTTGAAGATACTTGTAAATTGAATGTCCATTGATTGATTCCATTTTGGCAGCATTGCTTATTTCATCATGAGTTAAAACATTTTTGGACTAGCTTCGTTTTGATAAAGAGTTTGTATATGAAGATGTTTTGTTCTTTATGCAGAAAAAAATCCGGGTTACAATCAAGATACCACATATTTTTCTTTTCTTCATGCAGCTTGCTTCTGTATTGTTGAGACAATATGTTGATAGTCACTGGTCCCATGAGGCTGGTGAAAAATTTAAACCTCCAGAAACAAGTCCACAGGTTTGTACCATATAAAGAACTTTTATTTTATTGTAATTAAACAATAACTTCTGAAGATAAAAGGCTATGTCAAAGTAAGCTGCTGCTCACTATTGATAAGAAGATTAAAGGAGAAAGTTTTTGTTCAGATTGGGAAATTTTGAATCACCAAACTGTCAAATTATCACTTTGGCTATATGTTAATGATAGTAACAATGCTTATACAGGAAGCTCTCATCACAAGAGTGTTTTTCAGAGAGGTTCTGGTAAAGTGATTGATGATTAATAAAACTAAGTTTGGTAATAAATAACAGACAACAGCTATGTTATCATTACCCACATCTTAATTTGATGTTTGAAAACCAGCAATGGATGTTAGTTCAAGATATGTCAGAAATGTGCCAAATTTAAAACAAATACCAAACAAATTGTAAAGCAAAGCTTAGCATAAAATATGACAATTTTATTTTTAAAATATTTATTTCATGCCATCTTCAAAACTATTTATTTGCTAAACATCTCAATTGAATAGAATTTACCTGTTAAAATCTTTTAAAAATTTAGTGAGTGAGACGACAAGACTAATTGGTTTTCTCTTACTTATTCATTTTTATTAGGCAAAAGCTGTTATCAGAGAGAATTTACCAAAAGCATTGCAGCTGCAAAGTAGCAAAATTCGATCATGTGTTGTAAGTATTTTGATAGTTTGATTATTAAATTTTCAATTAGACCTGTTAATTATATGTTATAAATCTGTCTCGCTTTTGTTGATTGAAGCCATCTTCTTTGTAACAAAAGTTTATAGTATCAGTGGTAAAGTCTTAAAAGAATTCCTTTCTGGTCTTTTTTAGGCATATGCACTTTCCAGTATTGCCCACTGGGATTGGCCAGAAAACTGGCCTAATTTTTTTGATCTCCTTATCCATGCAATTAACAGTGGTGATCCAAATTTGATTCATGGTTCTGTAAAAGTTATGACTGGTTGGTAAAACTATCAGTTTTGTTGTTCACTTTTGTCTTGCTTAGATAAACTAAATTGCAATCATAGAAATTTATTTGTTTGCATAAAGATCTCAAATTAAAAGCTGTAAAGACTGCAAGATCCTTGTGGCTGAAACATTTTTACAGTAAAATCTTCAAAAACTTCAAAAATTTGTAAAAACTTCACAATTTTGTCAAATAAGCTTGAATTTGAATAGTTGCAGAAACAACTGTGTGTTATGTTAAACTTAATCTGTGGTGCAGAGTCAAAGTCTTTGCTCTTGAACTTTGTGCTGAAAACTATGAAATAGTTGCAATGCAGGATTGCATATTGACTTGTTTTATAGCTTAAAAAGTTACTTCATGTCATTGCAGCAATAACCCTTACAATTAGCAATGTAATAACTTTTATTTTTGCAGAATTTGTGAAGGAAGTGTCAGATTTGCAAATGCCACACGTTGCCCCAATTTTGTTACCAAATGTTTTGAATATAATCCAGCAGCCAGAGGTATGCTGGTATTTCCACATTTTCTAATGTTCATATTGTAACAATTTTGCTGCTTATTCGGATACCTGCAAACCGATGCAAAAATGGGTTTTTTGTTTTAAAAGATTATTCTCACTTCACATTTGATCTATAACTTGATATGAACTGTCTTAAGCATTTTTTGGAAAATATCTTACATATTTTATCTTGAAGAATGTTGAACAAAAGTACTTGCATAAAATGCTTACCTTTTCAAAGAGTTATTTGTTTTAGTAATGCAAGAGGTTTTATCATTTTTACAAATCTTTGTAGGTCTTTAGTGTGCGTACTAGAGGAAGGGCAGTGGATATTTTCAACACCATTGCAGATTTGATTGCTTTGATGAAAGAAGTTTACAAGGTTTGGTAGTCAATTTTTTTTAAATATTTATGAAATATATAAGGTAAATATTTATCACTTTTGATATGCATCACTGGCATCCATTTGACATTTTACTGACAGATCATTTAAATTTTACAATTTTCTTGGCAAAACCTCACATTTCTAACAACTTTCTTTTGCTGTGATTGCCTAGTTTCATAATTATAGAACGATTTTGCTTTATGTTTTATTACCACTATGTTGAGATACCTTTTGAACTAAAGTAAGTTTTGATTTGATCATTTGCAGAATGCAAGCAAAGAGTTGCTTTATCCACTGTTACCAAATTTTATCAGCTGTTTCAGCAAAGAGCTGGTGTACCCAGATGGCGAACATTCTGATTGGGGTTTAAAGATGGAAGTCCTTAACGTATGCTTTCGTATTCTCTGTTTTGTGAATCTTATAAATTATATACATTATATTCATTGGTGTTTTCATGTTACATTTGTTAAAATTACGATGATTTTTTATATTTCCTATTTGTTCAAACGCTGAACTTTTCAGTCAAATTTTCGTTTACATCTCTTTATGTAGCCTTATGTAGTCTCTGAACTGCCATGTATTTGCAATAATGTGGTTACAGATTCTACATATTTGTCCCTTTTCTGTTTGTCGTAATTATGCTTGTCTGATCTGTTAGTCTAAATCTTTGTACATAGTATGATGTTTTTATTGGCAGACTCTGCAAACGTTAGTGAAGAGATATCCCAGGTTCATGTCCAGCCACATTACAACCTTTCTTTCACCTGTGTGGCGAATCTTCACTGGCAGCGTGGAGTATTACATCCGGTCGATTGTCAACAGTGTCGATCTTCATGAAGATCCAGTTGATGAAGACGGTAAGATTTATTTTGAGATCTCACAATTCACCAAAGCAAGCACTTTAGCATGTCCTGCTAATTTGTTGTTTTGTAGACTTGGCCTAGCCAAATGAGACATAAAAAACAGCTTTTCAAAGCTTGATAACTATCAGATACTTTGTTACGACACTACAGATCTTGTGGTTTCTCAAAAAACCGTTTTTGTCGCGATATGACTGGAATGGCGAATCATCTCTAATTGTTATTGTCTAGCCTGCGTCACAGACTGACGAAATAGTCACAGACTGACGCAGGCTATTATTGTCCTGATCGTTACTGTTTATTGCATCATGTCTTGATACTAGAAGTTCATTGTCAAAAATACATCTTGGAATAAGTGGCTGTTTCTCTTTGATGATGATTGTCGCCTCTATTCTTATCATTAGTTTCTAATCTGATTATGCCTCTTATCTGGTGTTTCAGTATGTGAAATTTCTTTCAAAATATTGGTTAGAAATTATCATAGCTCAAAGAAGAGCTCTTTCTACAATCGGTATTGCTTGCTATGCGTTGACAGCACTTTGCTTTTGCCTCGTAGGGGAAGTGCTTAGCTTTGATAACTTCATCTACAGCATCTTCGAATTTATTACTGCACTTGTTGAAGCGCCGAAATTCAAGAAAACCGTCAAAGAATATTTAGAAGATATTTTGTTTCACACTATAATTTATATGCAAATTACTGAAGAACAGGTTCGTCAGTTGAATTTTCTATTTTCGTGAAATTTTTGCCCCACCTGCTAACATACCCCTTCTCCCCTTGTCTCAAGATCCTTATTGAGGTAATTGAGCAATATTTACTTAAGTAGACATGAAGCTGTTCTAAGTTAGAACTCTGAGTGGGCTTATAATTACATTGAGTCAAAATCTCATAATTTCACCTTAGAACCGTTTCAATCACGGTATCGAGCACTTTATGGCAGACCCGTAAGAAAGCAGTTAATCATGTGTATGTTTTATGAGCAATCTCGAAAAAAATTTAGCTTTAACCAGTTTTAGTAAAATTTAAAAAATATACGCTAAATCACTGTTTTTTTACTAACGCTATTAGTTAATTGTAGAAAGATCGATGGATTTCAAACGTGAATCAGTTTGTTGAAGACGAGGATGAAGAATCAGTCTCGTGTTCTGTCAGGATTTCTGCTCAGTATCTTTTAATGGTAAGGCCATCTTGGCACGATTCGGGTGTTTGTATTTCTATATGGTTTGTAAATCTCTCTTTGGTCTCGATAAACTTTTGATGCCTTCAGTTCTCAAATGACAGTCTCTTTGTACCGAAATTGTTTCCAACCGCCCTAGTTATGATTTTACAAAAAGTAAGTGCTAAATAATAACATATTCCTTACTACATGAAAGATCCCTGGTTGCCATGAAAGAGCTAGGCTTGTTGCACGAGAATCTTTCAAAGTATGTTTTGCTGCAGACATCATGCCAACCTTCATTTAATCTTTAGGTAAAAGAGATTATTTTGGTGACAATAATAAAAGCCAAAAGAATAATCTCAAAGTTAAAAACTCGTCCCGAATAAGGTCGAGACACACAGTCAGACAAATCAATTGGGAAAATGGCTTGAATTGAAAAACTGACAGGAATCTAAAAATTGCTTTTTGCTTGCAGCGATTATGTGAAAAGTTTAATAAAACAAGCACACAAGCACTGGTCAATGCGGTGGCCAAGGTTCAACAGAGAGGAGACATTTCAAAAGCTCAAGGGGAGGGAAATTGGTAGGAATTCAAATAAATTTTATTCACAATTTTCAATATCTATAAAACACAACTTTTGGAGCAATTTCCTGAACTCCTGAACACTGTCTTTCATTTTGCTGCATTTTCATTTTCAACGTAATAGCTTTGCTAAAATTGAAAGCTAAATTACTTAAATAACATATATTATTCAGAAATCAAGTGAATTTCTGAATGATTTTCGTGGTGATTTTCGCATTAATCTTTATGCAAAGGTGGAAATATCATGAAGTATGTTTGCTGTCTTTGGGCCTCATTCAACCAACCATTTTAGAGATGCTCCAAGCAAGTCAGCTTAGATTCGATGCAGACGCTGTCTTAATCAAAATGATGGTTGAGTCATGTCAAGCAAACGGTAGGCTATCTTTTATTGTCCTTAGAAGTAATAAGAAAGTAAAGGCTTATATCTTCTCTATTGCAAAAGTCATTCTTTAAAACCCCTTTTCAGAATACTTTATTCAAATTCCTGTGAATTGAGATTTCATGTTCTCTCTAGTCTTTCCGGTTTTCACTAAAGAATCATGAATCAAGTATTTTCTCTTTCGTCGATGTCCCTCCACCCCCTTCCTCCCGTCTTGCCAAATTTTCATGTATCTCAAAAATTTGTCATTTTTTCACGTTTGTTATTGGCCTATTTTGATCACGAAATTGGAATGTTGATACTAACTTCACATTTACAGTGTTTTAAATCTCGTAATTTTGCCTGAAACCCATCTTTGAATAGCCTCATGTGAAACTCTCTTTAGATGTTCCATTCCTCGTGGGTCAGGCTCTGTGGTGCAGCAGCAGATATGTGGAGGCGCTTTCCCTTGATCATTTGAAGACGTAAGGAAATTATCAGTTCAATCGAATTTCTGAAGTGTTCCCTTGAAGTTGAATCGAAAATCTGAATCATTCTTAAGGTCTTCTACGCCTAATTGAATCATTTCGATTTTGTATTCTATCGAAAGTTCCTTAACCTTTCCTTTCAGCTGTACTGTATGTTTTTTTATTGAATAACGAAACTTTAAACGAAGTTGAATCCCCATCCAGCTAAGCGATATTTAGCTGATATAATTAACAACATGTAAATCATCGCAGTGACTAACCGCCTGTTCAAGTGTCCTCAGAACATCTAAATGCTCTTCAATTGACAGATTTCTTCAAGCGTCTGTAGTCGCCGTTCAAGCAAACCAACCGCCATTCATGAGGATTTATGGAGTTAAAGCTTTGTACGGGTAAGTTTTCTACAAAGAACGTAGTAATATCCTATGATGTGCAAAGCATGGAGAAGGCTTTCTCGGCTTTTATTATCATGTATCTGTTTGTTTTAAAAGCGTTTGCAAACATGCTTAGAGTGATTCCAGGGACAGTTTAATTGGTCACTCAAATCTCCTCTTAGAATCCTCTTACACTGACACCAATCCATTGAGAAACTATAAGCATTGTGAATAGATCATTTTCAGAAACCCTTACACTAACTAGAACTTCTCCTACCGTTATTTCCTCATACTTCTATTATCTATTCACAAAATTTCTCTTTGTGCCTTCTTTTGTTAGCTCAACGCATCATCTATATCATTGTTTCATTACTGTCTTCTGCCCTCAGGTTTTGCGAGCACATGAAGGAGACTGAGAAGAGCAGACTCGTTGAGCCTCATCTTCAACCGATCGCCAGCGGGCTGGTTTCGTACGCCACGCATGTAACAGAAAACGCCCTCGCACTGACGCTTGAAACGCTGAGCATCGTCTTGTCCGTAAGAGCATTTTTCGTATAAATTTTGTTTTTTGATACACTTATTACTACCTAAGTATTTACAAAATTCTGGAATGTCCCTTGGATAATCTTACATATATGATATGCCCGTCAGTGTCATTTTTTCATCTACCAAGAAAGTTCCTCCTTTAGAATTTGCCCTTCCTTGTCCTATAGGAATTTTCAGCCTTTTTATTCTTATTTTTAATTCTGACAATTTTCTGTTGCCTTTGAAAAATATATATAGTTTCGATTTACTCAGTATTTTGTGGAAATTCTAAACGATATTAAACTGCACTGAGACTATCTCTATCAACAATAGCACAAAAAAAGGTCATAATTTGTTCGAAAAATGCGCTAAAAATGCAGTGACGACAATTATCAAATCATCGGGCAAGCAAGGTCGTCTTAAAAGTCTTTAAGATTTCAACTTATACTGCGTGAATCCTATTCATAACTTCAAAATTACAGCAATGACATCGAATTTCTTGTTTTGTACGGCATTTTCTTCTTCTTGATACAAAATCCTTTTTACTTTCTTTGCTCAGATCAACGCCGAATTCACAGCCAGCCTTGCCGTAAATGGCGATGTCATTCCGTTACTAAATGCTTTATTTTTAAAATACGGCGCAGGTACAGTGAAAGTTTGATCCCTTGATGCCACATTTTTATTGCTTACTTTCATTAATGGCATGCTCGTTGCTGAATTTGATTTTTGTCTTGAGCAGTACATGCAAAAAACATTAACCACATGTACAATTATAGTAGAAAAGTGGATTTTTATTCTTTGATTTTGATAATTGAATTTAGCTCTTTTAAGGTTTTCGTCGAAATATTAACGTAAATATACGAAGATTCAAAATGCTGAAACTTTAGTTGACGATTTAACTTCAATTTCAGATGTTCACTTGAATTCTGTTCTTGGTGATATTTTCGGGACTTTGGCTCCAAACCAGGGATGTTATATGGTATGTTGAATTAACTTGCTTCACTCTGGCCATAATAGTCGAAGAAAAATTTGTCCGTTACTCTTTACAATTAATGATCTTTGCTGCTTTTTAAATTGTGCCTCTTTCTATCTGAATGTTTCCTGTTTTGTTTCTTTATAGAACCTTTAAGCCAATTTCTCTGCTAAAACTAGTTTCCAATATATCAAAAAATTGTTTTGATTTTTATAGGAGTGATTCTTCGTTAATTCAATGTCAAGCCTTTGCTTTATTTTTATAAAAGCTTTATTTACATTAGCAAATTCTTTTAGATTTTACTCGAAAAGACTGTACCAATGCTAAATAGCGTAATCGAAGCTCCTGTCGACAAAGTTCCTTTGGCTCTTGTTCCGGTCAGTTCATTGCAAAATACAAGTATATATTCAATAAACTTTCTATTCTGTTTTATTGATTGTCTATCATATGACTGTTAGATAGGTTGGCAGAAATGTAACCTAATTAGACTTGCCTTTTTTCTTTTTTCTCATTTCGATTTTTGGATATGAACTTTGTTGCATTAGATCGCCAACTACTTAAGGCTGAGCCATGATTATGGACCAAGAATCCCTCATGTAACCCTTCGTTTGCTGCTATTTTTCATTTTATTCCAGTTATAGATATTGTCTGTTAAATCCTCTTTAGCTTCAAAGATAGAGCATCAATGGATTGATAGAGAGCCGTTCAAAAACCAAATGGAAGATAATTCTGAAATAAGTACTTTCTCTTTTGTCCTTGCAGCCTACTCTAGACGTTTTGGTTGAAATAATACGCCACAGTAATACGCCATTACCCGACTTGTTGATTACAAGATCCTTCCCTGCAGTAGCACAGTGTATCTTACGATCAGAGGATTACGCCGTTATACAGGTAAGCCTCGTCAAACAACGCTGTCAAAACCATACGCTAAGCCTACAGCCAAAACCCCTGTTGAACCAAGTCCTGAAAATTTAAACCTAGCCCATTATCACTCAAACCTGATACCAAAAAGATCAATAAAAGGAAAGGCATTTTGTTGTAGGATTTCGTTGTTCTCCTTGTCCCTTCTCAATGAAGGTTGCTGTTTTAGTTATACTGTTCATTCTTTTTTCAAGCGGAGTTCGTTCGGTTAAATTTCAGCAAAGTCTCGTAGTTTTCATTTCTTAACCTGTTGAAAAAATTTCTTTGAAAGCCTTTTTTATTTTTAGAGTGGCGGAGAGTGCATTCGAGCATTTGTATCGTGTGCAGCCAATCAATTACTAGCCTGGTAGGTCACATGGTGTTGATTGTTTCTTGTTTTTTCGGTTGTTCGTATACAGGACTGGTAAAATGACTTAACATTTTACTAAGCATTTCACTAAACGTCTCATTAAGCTTTTGTTTAGTGAGATGTTTAGTGTTAAATTACTCCATTTGCTACCTTGTTTAGAGTTGTTAAGTCGCATTGGGTATTGTTGAGCAAAGCTTTATCTTGCTGTTTAATTAACATGTTTATTCGTTTTGCCACCAACTAAGTATTTTTTGTGCCATCGCTGGTTCAGTAGATTTGAAAATCAAAAGGGTCTCTGTAGCTATGTCACTCAAAATCCCTAAAACGTTTTCATGAGGGATACTCTGTGTTCAGCACCCAACTTTGTTGTCAATGTGCTGAGAATCCTTCCCTTTTATTATTTCATCCATGTTATGGCTTTATCCACTTCTTGTTTGAAGATTCTTCTTCACTTAGCTCAATTACTAAAGGATCTGAATCAACCGTGTACAACTAAACAAACTTTTAGAAAAGTTTTAGTCTACACTAGAATTAGTGTAGTTAAGTGAAAAGTTTAGTAAAGAGTGCCAGGGCTTGAGGCATTTTGAAAACTCTTTGGTAACACCGTTTTGCGTTAATCGTTATGCAGAAAGTTTTTTTCATGAATTTCAAAATAACCGACCATATTGTTCATTTATTCTTTTTGCCGGTTCATTTACCTTTAACCGACCATATTGTTCAGCATGCAATAAGTAATGGTATTTGTCTCTTACTAGGTGTGATCATGCTGGCGCATCTGGTCTTGAATACGTCGTGAGGGTAGTGACACACCTCCTTGACCCTCGCCTACCTCAGAACAGTGCTGTATTCGTTGGCAGGCTCATTAACAGCCTAGTCATCAAGGTGAGGCTTATTTAGACAATGCTCGCTGCTTGAGTTAATGTCCCTCTGTAGAACATTTTATTACCAATTCAAAACACTTACCAGTGGGCGATTTTTCATTTCATTTTCATTTTCAAATTCTTTAGAGTGAGGGGGGGGTAGCCCTTCAGCAAAGAGGCTGATTTACAAGGAGCCCTCCAAGTGCAATTGAAATTTGTAGGCTGGGTATTGTAAATGAATTTTAGCAGCCCTTTTTTTCTCGAAATAAATAAGCATAATTGATCCAGCTGCTTTGATTTCTTAAAAATGCAGCTGTTATGATAAATATCAATCATGCTTTTTCTTCGACTTGGTTTTGTGTTTTAATGTATGAAATTGGACAAGCAACTCTGAAGTTTGTTGTTAAGCTCCGTTGTGAAGCTTGTTTGTAGGCCGTGAGAAGCCAGCGAATCTGTTTCTTGCATGAATTTCTAACTTGACTATTAATTTGTGTTGTTACATATTGTTACAACTAGGAATATGTTTATGTGCTACTGAAAAGACCGTAATTAAATTTTGTGCAGGTTGGTTCTCAACTCGGTGACAGTCTGCAAATGATTCTAAGAGCGGTTCTCAGTAAATTGCAGCAATCAGATACCCTCAATGTAGTTCAGGTATGTTTTTAAGAGTTTTCTATCTCGTCCGAATGTCAACGATACAAACTATGTATTTGTAGCATTTGAATGTGTGAGTGCATCACTTGTAGGGTTGGCTCGTTTCATAATGGTAGCGGTCCACCAGTTATAACTTAATTTTTAAGCGATGTTGATCGACTCATTCCCGTTCTCTTTTCCCATACCAAATCCCCATGTTCCTTCCCATTGTCTTTTCTCATTGTCCATTCCTATCTTCCGTTCCCATCTTCCGTTCCCATCTTCCGTTCCCATCTTCCATACCCATATTCCATCCCCATATTCCAAGCCCTGTTTCCTTCCTATCAACACACTTTCTACATCACCTTGCAGTCGCTTCTCATGGTCTTCATACAACTGATTCGGTTCCAGCTAGAAATGACTCTTGAATTTCTAAGTATTGTCCCTGGACCAACGGGCAAAGCTGCTTTAGACTACATTTTGACAGAGTGGTGCAGTCGACAGAACACATTTTATGGGGCATATGAAAGAAAAGCAAGGTACGATTTCAACTTTTAACATATTAAATGACCGTTCGAATCTATTCGACCCTGTGTAAAACCACTAGGGAACTGGCAGAAGTGTCTTTTTTTAATATATAACACTTTTTTATTTTGCAGCTAAACTTCATGTTTTCTAGTTTTGTGTTTTGGTAGACAGTGGGATCTGTATTTAGCGATCTTTACTTTTTTGCGAAGGTGATCGTTTTCAAAATTCTTATCCTACTCATTTCAACTACCTTCACGATTTTAGCCTAGTGATTCGTTTTTCTTTTAAAATTTATTTTGGTAACAAAGTCAAATTATTTTTAGCTGTGATGCCCTCTGCAAAGTTTTACAGCATGCTCTAAACAGTGGTGACAAAAGATTCCAAGAGATAATTGTTCCTGGAGATGCTATCATTACCGACAAAGGTTTGTGTACAAAAATTCAGTCGACTCATCTCGTGTGCCCTTACTTCAATTCATTTCGGTTTAGTTCGGGTCAGTTCAGTTCGATATACCTTAATAAAATATCTTGTAAGTACCTCAAAAGGGCGACTTTCAGTATTTCTATAAATTTTATGATTCCTGCTTTTTCAGGAATAGAAACAAGGTCGAAGAGCAAGGCAGGTAATCGTCTTATGGAAATCTTTTTCTTCCCAAATTATTATACTTGTTTGCTTCAAACCCATTTGTTATTCTGTCCAAGCTTTAAATCGAACCGACTGTCTCTTGGTACTATCCGACCTATAAACTGATTGTTCTGAGGTCGGATAGTACCAGAGAGCAAAACCCGTAGCACTTCTGGTCCTTGTCAAAAGCATGACTGTCCGAAGCACGTTTTGGTTGGCAAAAGAATAACGAGTTTACCTGAGTAGCACTTTGATGACAGGTTGCCTAAGAGATTTTCAATCATTCAAATGGTTTATTCAACTTTGGAAATATGAGTTTGCAAGCAAAAGACTTTCGGGAGTATAAGTTGTTTCAAGTTTGTTTTGTCGGTAAAATTGTTAATTTTTCACATGGAATGGCCAGTCGGGAAATGTCATGTGCATAGCGTGCTTAAAACTGTTTTTGTGTAACAAGCCGCACAGTAAAAAGCCATGCATATTGACAGTAGGAAATCAACCAATACGAAAGGTTTTGTGGCCGATAAGCTTTGATGTAACCAATCAGTACATTAACTTGTTTTGGGTGGCCGAAGATGTCTTTCAAAATTTATCATAGTTTTGCAAAGGTTATCTCTGTTGGATTTTAATGTCTCAATTTATTGATTAGAAATTGCAGTTGCATCTTTTAGATGTATGTTTCATTATGGCCGTGAAAATTACCTGCTTATAATGTTTTTTATCGCTAGGGACAAAGGAGTTCACAATGATACCAGTTGGGATAAAAATATTCAAGTTAATTGTGAATGAGCTGGCGAATGAAATTGAGAAAAATGAACTTGCTGAGGACAATGAGGATGAGGATGATGAGGAGGTACCCAGCTTCGCATTTTTATTCGTGTCTTTTGGCTATTCGGTCACCATGTATACATTTAACTTTGAACTGCCATCATTAGCTTACCTTTGCCGCACATTTGCTCTTACAAAATCTGCATTCTGCTTTGTCACTATTTCTCAATCACTTTCTTTTAATCATAGGATGAAGAATGGGAGGATGTTGATGACGAAAATGAAAATATCTCACCGAAAGAGATGACAATTCAGAATGTAATCGAGGCTATGTTCGCAGCGTCTTCGGATTACCCAGGTAACAATTTGGCCTACTCAATTCTGTTCCGAATAACAATGTTGATAGCTTAGTAATGGCCTTTATAAGTAGGATTTCCGTTACCTCGCTTACATGGTTATCGCAACTAGGAATCTTCTAGCGATTTCCTGACGTTGTTTGCTCATTAAAAACCTTTATCTACTATTAAAGGCAAAAGAGGATGCTTTTTGGTCCTAAATTCTTTGAAGTTAATCTTCTTGCGTCACCACTTTTACTACGATGCTTGAAAGCAGATTCAGTACCTAGATTATATTTATGATTTGGTACCCATGATTATATATATTATATTTATGTATTTACTTAAAAGTGGGTAATTTTGTATTCTAAAGCATACATATAAAATGATGTTTTAGGATCAAATGCCTTTTTCTCCGTTTTGCATAAGCACTGATTTTCTTGCGAGAACACTTTTCCCTATCTCAAGTTTTCTTATCAATGCCAAGGTTAACGAAGGTTCAGTATTGCTTTTAACCTGACCTAGTGTTTGATCTTTGTTCTTTGTTTCTACAATCTCAATCAACCCTGCAAACTTTGCCATTCCCTTTATTATAAACAATTCTCTAGGATTTGATATTGGAGACGAAGATGACCTTGAGGCAGACGATGATCCAGACATCAAAGCTGATGCAATTAATGACACAAACATGAAGGTAGAAGAACTCGCCATTTTGAATTTCTTTTATTTTAAAATTTTATTTCATTGATTATCTTTTCCATTTATTGAATATTTTTGTGACTGTCATTTTACCCTTTTAATTATATTGAGATACTATTTTATTTATTCTATAGGTATTATATTTCAAATCCATTATTGCTAAACCATTTTTGTTTCATGTCCAAAATGTTTCTAGGCATGCACCTTGGCCGTGTTATGCCGACGTTTCGGACACTTTTGTGTCTCACATCCAGTAACAAATTAAGGAAATGATTTTAATCCTGGCTTCTTTCCATTTCAGCTGTATTTGAGCAACTTCATTCAAGAACTCAGCAATCAGTCTTATTTTGTTGATATGACAACTCATTTGAACGATGTAGAGAGACAAAGTCTAGTAAAAGCTGGATTTGTTAGAACTTAGATTTATACCATACTAGCAAATTGTATTTCAATTTAGGCATTTATGTAAAATCTGCTGGCCATCTCGTTTAAAAGACCCCCTATAGGTTACCCCTATAGGTTACCCCTATATGTTACCCCTATGGGTTGCCTGATTTTATTCTGGTTATTAGTTTGTCTTTTAGTGCTATCTTGGGATATTGGAGAAAACTATAGTCTAATTTAAACGCTGCTCTGCTTTGTATTAAACTGTGTAATAACTTAGTAAAGAGACCTTTGTAAAAAATGATTAGTTTTGAGAATAAGTAACGTTCATGATGAAACTCAATGTTGATATCTGATTTAGTTATTTTGTTAGATCGCATCTTTCAGACATTGTTGTATTCTTTTTCGCCTTTAGCATTGAATGAAGGATTATTATTTTAAGGCATAGTTGTCAATTGGTTAAATTAAACGAGAAAAATTGTCTTGTCTTGACGTATTTGATTCTTTTACATGAAGAGCAAAGACAATCAACTCGAAGATTAAGTCAACCGAAATTTCGATCACAACATATTTTTAAATTTGTAATGCTTCGCCGTTTATTCTTTTTCACTGTCTACCGGTGCCTTCAACTAATGTTGATTGTAACAATTGGATTCCTTTGCTTCGGAATTCTTCCTTGGTGTGCTCCCTTAGCTCTCCTTTAAAAGTCGTACTACATACGCAGATACGCAGTAATTAAGCGAAACACCTAAGTCGAGTGGAGAAAAATTGAAAATGTAATTTGAAACGTTACTTTGTTTTCATGCACAATTCAACTTTTTCTGCTTTGAAAATGTGTGCAGTTCACTAAAAGATAAATAACTTTCTGGAAGAAAATGCAAGCTTTATTTCCTAGTGAAATGCATCGCTCTCAGGATTAATGTCATTCCCGTTCATCTATCTGCAATTTTTCTTTGAATGACGTGGCTGAGCAGATTTTTGAAATACTGGGTCTTTATCCTGGAAATACATGCTGTATAAAACCTTGCTTACTAGAATGACACAAAATATATATGGAATTGTTTATCACAAATTGAGCAAAGCTAATTGCTTCTAGCCAGAACGCCAGCCAAATCGACGCATACACTTTTAATTACATATTTCGGGCGTTGTATATAATTCACTAAACAACTTGTTAATGTGTGATGTTGTTCACATTTTATCAGAGAGCAACACATTATCTTCATCTCGAAAATCAATAGCATATAACTACCATTAAATGTTGCTTTCTAACAACAAGCAAGGCATAGTGTCCAAGTGCGGTAGCGGGCTCCAGGGTGCTATAAGGCTAAGGAAAATTTTCTGAACATAATGCACCCTTTGAGACAAGAAGCATTCTGGTACTGCCTTCGATTTATATATCATGTTTACTTTCCTCAATGCGTAAAATACAAATAAGACAGTGCTGGTGTTACCACCCTAATGGTACATCTTATGGTCAGAATTGAAAATGACGATCAACGCAATGATTTTTGGGCCGGTTACAGCATTGTGGAGTTTGCTGAAGGTATCTTGAGACATCCGCACAGCATAGAAAAAGTGACACTAAATTGAAGGTGTTTTTCGACAAATGGCCATTTCGGACCCCGTTTCTTGTTGCAACAGCAGATTTGGACAGGTCTTGAATTGACTTCAGTATACGAGTGTTGCATGCGACTAAAAAATCCATTTTAAAAAGCGAGTTTCAACCCAATTTGATAACCTCGAAGCATTAATATGTACAAAGTAACAACGAGCCCTCGGAACATTCAAACTGCGACTGCGCCCATCAGCATCCCCTTGAGGATTTAGGGGCCTTTATAAAGCTGTTGCCACTTGGGCAGTCAGTTTTTAAAAACGTTGTAGACGATTCAGATCAAACTAATGCAGGGATTGCTTCAGAGTCCTTTGCAGTGGTGCCCAGCGTGGGAGATTTCATTTAAACAAGAGTTCGTCTGACCATCATGAATACTAATGTGTGCGAGTTGATAGAGTTGAGTTGCGTAAACAAAGTAGAAATGGAGCAAAGTTATCAATTTATAATCATTCATATCATGCCACGCCCCCTCTCAGGTATGCGATTTTTTAGCACATACTTTCTGTGACAATGAGATTGTGCATACTTTGGCAAAAGATTGTGAGACTGTGCATGCAAAAAGTTTCGAAGTAGTAAATTCATTCTAGAAATCTATTGAAACTGTGCAAAATAACATGGAAGTGGTTTGCTTAGGACATCAAGCAAATCCATTCTCGCCTTGCAATAGAGGTGGTCAGTAACATGCTTCGATTTTTTTGGGACAGAAATCCCAAAAGACCGGAATGCCACTGAGGTATGCAAGATATCTCATTCTCTTATTGTCACAGAAGAAAAATTGGGTTGAAAGGAGAGTACACGTGCTCAAAAACTTAGAATGATTTTACTGAAAATTAGCTACGTACAATTAACAAGTAGCGAAAAGTCACTCTAGCTAAGGTTACCAACATTACTTACTATTTAACAGTTGGGTGGGCGTGACTAGCTGAAGCAGCGATGACCATCATTCGAGAGTTTGCAACGCTGTGCATGTAGATGACTTTCCTTTGGTCGCAATGATGTCCGCTTATCTTGTTTTTGTCTCAACACTTGTCCAACTAATGATGCTCAGCGAGCTCTCACAGCTTATTAGAATGTCCACACTTTGCGGTAAGTAATCTAGTAACCATTTCTATTTCTATAGGTTAATTAGATTGGTTTTATCCTTTTAATCTTATAACATCTTCGTTATTTCCAGTTTTGACGAAGTCCTCTTTGCCAGGGTCAAATATAAAATGTATTTTAAAACTTCAGCTCTGCAAATCAATTTCCACTTATTTTGTTTCCCTCCATTTTAAACTGCTCTTTTTTTACAGCTTAATGTTCAACAATTATGTACAGTTTTTCCTCTTTGGCAGAGGGAATAAAACATGAAAATAGCATGGTACCATAATTATAATCACCATAATCATAACCATAATCGTCATTTTCGGTGAAAATATATTAATCGTTTTCATTAATCGTCATCATAATCGTTTTAATGACAAAAATCAATAATTGTGGCGTTTGGTTCCAGCTCTTTGAAGTCGAGGTTGTGATTCAGTTCCCCGCAATCACAGTCCATGATCTTCAAATAATGTTTGATCAATTGATTTGCAACAAAAATTTCTTATTGATTTTATTTATTCTGACATAGAACTTGCTAGAAACAACAAGAAACCCTAGTCTTTGATAAAGCAGTTGAAACCACATTGACTTGACGGTTGTACATGCTACTTGAACTGTATTTCAAATATGGCCATTTTGTACAAATATGGCGGTCGTACCTCTTGACCTTGCGTTCAAACGAGCCAATCGAATCAACAAACCAAATCAACGGAAAAACAAGTAATCAATTTCACCCCTTGATAATTCTAAAAAGCTGTTTTGTAAATTTTGGTTATTTTTAATCTGATACTTGGTCCTCCCGGGGTTTCTTGGAAAGTTTGGCGTATGCCCTCGCGTGGCCATAGTCTCTCTCCTCCTAACAGCTGCTGGAGGCACGTTTGTCCGCAGCTGGGTTGCCGCTATAAACCGAGCCCCTGGCCATTTGGGTAGCATTTGAATCATCAACTTGGAGTTCGAAAATCTGTAATTTTTTTAAAAAATTCATCCAGTTTTGAGAAATTCGTTTGTGAGTTAGATTAGAATTGCTCGTGTGAAACTGGTTTATGCAATACTGTCTATGCAGAACAAATCTTAGATTATGGTTTTCAATTACATACAAAGCCGAATGTTTCTTCTACAATATCCAGTCTCACTAAAAACCCATTTTATGTAAGGCATTTAGCATTTCAAACAACCTTTAATCGGCTTCTCAGTTCGTGGACACACAAGTCAACTATGACTAAACCCTAGATTTAGAATGAGCACATGAATGCTTTTCTTTCGTCATCGTTTCTTTGGGACATCTGTTTTTATCATTATAGTTTTAAGAATTAGATTTTATCGTGTTTACGTTTCAAGAATTCGACCGGATACTTGTCTTCCTTTAACTACCGTGCTCCCTGACACCATGTTATCTTTAATATCAAAACAACCACCCCCCCCCCTCCCACGATAACCCTTTTATCTCATGTTTTCCTTCATTAAAGACAACTATTGAAGACAAAACCACGTTTTTTTCTTGGTTACCCTCTTTCGTCTTGTTTGTCTTTTTGCGGAAATACAGTCCTCAATTTGTTCTTTCTTCTCTAGCTAACCCCAAAAGCTGAGTATGGGTGATATGTCTTCAAAGAAGGGTCATATAGCCACCAAATGGGTACGAAATTTCTTTCATTCTACGTTTAGTAAGAAATTTCATATAAAAAGCTCAAGTCAATCATCAGTTGAATTTATGCAACCCACTTCCAAGCCCTTCACCCTTAAATCAAAATTTCTAGAGACTTCTAGAGTCTCAAAGAGCCACTACACGTTGTCCGATCAATTTGCACCCAATATTTATTTGGTTGTTTCTTTACAATACTTGGTTGTTTGTTCCCAAATAATCTTTAAACTGATTATGAAATTATCATTATCATTACTGTATTCTTTACTTGAACGGGAGTTTGATAGTAGTTAAAATTTCATAAAAATTGTTTTTTGTTTTCGAGGCTTTGGGTTGCGAAATTAGGGTGGCCTGCTCGTTGCTTTCTGGCCGGCCAGTGGAGTAAATAAGATGAAATCTACAAGCTGCACACAGGAAGTGCCTCTCTTGGGAATCGCAACAATAGAACTGGTGTCGATTTCATTTTAAAAACTGAGTTTTTGATTAGGATGATTTGATAAAAAGAAGCAGGTCAGAGAGAAAGTCAGTTGAGAAGATTTGCAGAAGGTGAAACAGAGAAAAGCAAACATTCTTGGCAAGGCTAGCAGAAGATGGCCTCTGTACAGGTATTACGTTTCAAGCAGTTATTTTTTGTCCAATGTATTCTACTTTGCTTTCATTTTATCTTAAAGTCCTAATGCCTATTTCTTAAGTGGACAAGCACGGGTTCCGCGACGTAAGCTAAGACCTAGAAACATAACTAAAGCTAGGCTGAAATCCCAAAGTTTTTGTTGAAACTAGCAGCTTAACCAGGGAAAAGGCTTTTCCTTGGAATTCTACATGGCCACAGGTGGGTTTCTAGGTGCTGAGTAAGATTGATTTTACGTTCCCTTGTCATTTCAATTAACTTTCGAATGAAGGTTCCTTGCTCACTGTGATATTAGAAGATAATGCTAAAATACATGGCCATAACCCCAGTTATTGTATTTATTCAAGCTCGGTAGGTCCTCGCAGCTTTGAGTGGTTAGAAACCTCTTTGCACTTGTTTCTGTCGTAAATCTAAAAATTAACATAACTTGTTCTCAAAATACACCGATTTGCAAAAAAGGAGTAGCTTTATTCTCCATGCGTTTATCAAAACGAGAGTCCTATTTTTTGTTTCATTCAGCCTGGCGCAAAAATGTCCACCAACTATTGGTTTTATTAGCATTATCTCTCTTTTGATAAATGCCAGCTTCAGCAAATTGAATACTTCTTCAACGATAGCTTTAATATAGTCGTCAGCAATTATCTTGCTTGTCTTAGAATTCCTAATAGAGCACGGCTTTCCTATTAAGGTAAGGAAGAAAATTGAAGAAAAGTGCTTGGCCCTCGCCCTGAAATCGCATCGTCGAGGGCACGTGCAAAGCCCTTCTCATGAAAGACTCAAAGGTTCTCACTCCCTTCAAAACCAACTAGTTCTTGATCACTACAGCCTTGAACCTTACTGAGGACTTAAAAATCTTCCTTATTCACAAGATTTTAGCATTTCATTAATTAGCATTTCATTAATTAGCATTTCAACACCTGCATTAAAAGGTCTTCTGATTCATTTTCGTAAATGCTTCTTTTGCAAAAAAGCAATGAGCTGATAATCGCCCAGACACGCCCCTCTCTGCCCGACAAGATCACCTTTGTTCTCTAAATGACCAGGGACTCCATTTGCCATTTGCCTTCTTGCTTGCCTGCTTGCCTGTTTGCTTGCCTGCTTGCGTGCTTTACGTGTTACTCTGTTTTGGATTTCTGTCTCATTTGTGCACTCATGTATTCATTTGGGAAACTCGTTTTTCGATCATAAACTCTCGAACCACATAATACAAAAGTGTTGCTTCCAAAATGCTTAGAAATTAAAGCAACTCTTCATTGTCGATATTCTTATTAAAAAAAGCTTTTTCGTGCCCAAGAGCAACTTAGAATCAAGTTTTAGTGGCAAAATGATTTAATATTACGAAACTAATATAGTACTATGCCAGTACGCTTCCTAATAGCACCGAGTACTGTTCTCGGCATTCTGACGAATACTTTCTGAGTCTTCTTAGTATAACGCAAAACTTTTAAAAGAAAACCTTAAAAACAAAATCAGCATATTACTACCTTTCTAAGAAAATTTGAAAATTTTGCTGTAAAAAATTGAAAATACAAACACGTGATTTTTGTTTCGATCACTTGCAACCGTCATCCGAGTTCCGCATGCCCAACTTACAAATACCTACGTCAAGATTGCAATAGTATGATTTTTATCACTGTTATACTCAATCGAACCTTGGCCGAAATAAGTATTGAAAACCTGAACAATTTTGTTGTTAAAATTGTAAATAGATAGAATCAAGCTTTGTAAATAGATATACTAATATTTGAAAAGACTAACACCATTATTCGTTTGATTGAGTAGCATAACCGAGCAGCCCAGAACATTAGGAAGCATAAAGGCGCGGCATCCTACTGCTCCACTACACCACTGCCCCTTGCAAATCACGCCTTCCTTCCTTTCTTTTTTTCTTTTTTTTTCTTTCTTTCTTTCTTTATCACTTCTTCTTCCCTTTCTCTTTATTCTTCGCTCTTTTTCGTTCTTCCTTTCTGTCTTCTTCCTCTCAAGTATGATTGCAACGTGCCTAATTTATAAACTGAACAAATTCTTTTTATATTCTGGGTGGTCAAACATTCATCCAAATCTTTAAAACAGCAGTACACATTAATATACAAATGTTTTGTCTAAAAGGTCAAACTTCAAGCAGACTTTGTGAATGAATTGTAACTTGATCTCAACACTTTCAAGCTTCGATATAATTACTTTCCTTGCGATATTTAAATGTTATTATAACCTCTCAACTTATCTCAAGCATTATTCCATTGTTATCCGCAATTATCTTGAAAACGATTAGCTACGCTTTTGACTTTTTTGCTCTTTTTCAAAACTAATTACAGAATTTTTAAATATATTTTTGCCCAGAAGAAAGGAATTTGTACGAATATTTCAAAGGGGGAAATTCGGCAAGAACTTTTCTGTGCACGTTTCCCGCGATCTGCGGGGTCCTCAAATACACAAACGTTCTCAGTTTTTAGCAGTGTATAATGTATTCCCATCCTTAACTTCGAGCTTTAGCATATTTAAACTTTCTGATTGTTTATTTACTTCCTTTTTGAAGTACTTTTGAAACCTTTCTTTTCTAAAATGAATGATTCATGCGCAGGCGATAAGAATCCAAGTGCCGATTGGAATTCCAACATCCGATGGCGGACTCGAGATCCCAAACAGGATTTTCCTCGGAGGTATTCCTCCAGATGTGAGTTGCCTTATTTCCTTATCCTCGTCAAGTTTTATTTTGAACCTTTTATTCATTGTCTAAGAGTATTTAGGAGAAAAATTTGAATATATGTCTTGAAGATGGAGGCAAAATGGTGAAACTCAATCGATTCTCGCGTTTAGTACAAATTATTTGATGGTTGATTGGGCAGCTTCTTTCATTTCCTTACAGAAATTGAATAGATAAAAATGAATCAAATATCCACTTAGGCTCGATTTTTCTGCAGCTCTACTATTAAAATATATGTTGCTACTGAGCTTTGAATACAGAGTCTGCGGATTAGGCAGTTTACTTCTAAAAAGCCAATAATTGAAGATTTACAAAGAAAAATTTTGCCTACTTTTACAGACCACTGAGCTGGAGTTGGAAGTGTTCTTTTCTGATTTCGGAACGGTGAAAGATGTAAGAATTGTGACAGATCGCAAAACAGGCGAATGCAAAGGGTAAGGACAATTTATTTTCTTTTCCGCGTGTCACTTTTTCATCTTTATAGCTAACCTTCTTGAAGGCCACCAATAACAAATATAAGTAAGATTTCTATTGTGGTAGAAACATTACTCCTATAAAAATCTGAACCGAGCGCGTTTTTTTCCTTCAGGGGACTTGAACCATTAAGTCTAAACGAATTTAAAATCGCCTTTAAATTTCTTGTCGCATATGATTTCTAAACTTGGGATATTTGAAATTTCTCTGTCAAAAAATATACACAAACTAATTTTGTAAGCTTATCGGATCAAAGTGAAACACCAAATGTCTTTAGTAAATACTTAAATTTAATCAGCTTTGGAATCTGAAATCGTTTATCAAAATCATTTTTAGTTCACTGTTTCATTCACAAAGTCATACTTTTTAGCAGCGTTGTGATCAATTTAAACGTGAGCAAACCCCGTTTTGTTTCTAATTCTAGGTACGGATTTGTCACGTTTGAAACGCCAGAAGACATTTCTAACCTACTTAAAAAGGTAGGTCTATCTTGGAAAATTTTCTCATCTTTAGTAAAAACATGATATCTTAAAATAAGATCAAGAGAGTTTAATTCGTTAAGAAAGAAATCAGCATTAACTATGCTTTTTGAAGTGGTAATCAGACGATGCTGGCTGTTAAAGACTGCTAAAACCTTTTCTTCTATAAAGCATGTAATACAAGTTTCTTGTGTCGGTTTATTATCTCCGTAAAAACTTTTAAAAAAGCTCCTACATATTTTCTAGAAATCGATAATCATGAAAGGGAAGCGGCTAAGAATTAGAAAGGCTGTTCGACGAAACGTGAGTGTTTACTTCTGTTAAAACTTATTGGAATATTGTAAGGAATACTAAATTTGTCTTTTTGAGAAAGGACTTTGAAAAATTTGCGCAAATGGAGGCCAGGGGGGTTGGGGGGTGGGCTGATCAGATCGATTCTGATTTTTGCACTTGCAAAAAGCCACTATTACAAAATAATCTGCTTGAGAAAGTTGCTTGCCCAAAGGTAGAAAAAGAAAAATTACTATACTAAATTTCGAAATAGATGAAAAAATACCATAAAAGATCTTTCTAGGAGTCAGAAGGGCGTGGCAGAGAAAATTTGTTTTCGTCCACTCTAGTTTCTTTGAGCTGGCGATGCCACTGATGGTTTGTAATTAAAATTGTGCGACATTTGGGTACGCAGTTACACAAAGATATTTTAAGAATCTTGCAGCAAAACGCTGATACTATTTTTTGAAAAGTCATTTTAAACCTTTTTCAATTGAATATTATAGGGAAGTCAGTTTCAAGCATCTCCCACTGGATCAAATACAGGTACATATTCTTTCTTTGTCAGAGAAAAAATGTTTAGGGGAGGATTGGGCAAAGAAAACTGCCCCAAATGGACTCTATATGTTATGCGTAGGAAATAAATTTCAGGTTGACAATATCAAATATCTACAATATGCTAAATACGATGACATGTTTTCCTCATAATTTGGACCGATCGTTATTTTCATTGTGATATTTTTTTAAGTTTTTGGATAATCTAATTCATTCATTTATGATCTTTTCTTTTTTCATCCTAAATGTTCACACATAGTTAAATCTAGAAGCCCTAAACACAGTACTCAAGGACAAGGTTCTAGAGGCCCTATCATATTTTCTCAGATAAAAAAATTGGTCTTAGCCAATAGTTGAAAGGCTTCTATTGTTACTTATAAGGAAATAACAGCCTTTAAGATTGTGATTATTTTTCAGCTGAACCACCCCTATCTCCAGTGAAACCAAATGCCATAATTCCACAGAAAAGCCCTCCTGTGGAACCTTATGTGCTGGTACCTGTTTCTGTCGAGCCCAGTCAGGTATAGTAACTTGTGCTTTAGCTTTTTTAATATGAAACTTAAACTGATTTTCTACAATTATTTATGAAATATATTTATGATCAACTGGTTTCTACGCATGGTTATCAGAACTACAGAAAGGATTGGTAACATGTCACTGCCCAAAATATTGAGCCTTGTGTTTAAGTGAGAAAAAGCTTAATGGTGCCACAAAGAATAAATCTTACTTCCAAAGATGCAAGTTAAAAATCAATATGTTATACCAATATGCTATGCTTTACCAATTTTTCTCACAAACAATAATAATGTTATCTTTTTCAGTGTATGTCATGCAATCTTATGGCATATCCCCCAGCACAAAATGTCTGTCAAGTAAGTTAATACTTGATTTTAAATATGTGCTTATACTCTATTTGTCACTCAAAATGACATTGTGGATATAAATTATGGGCAGTGCAGATGTTGTAAGTCTCAAAAGAGAGGGTTCTTCTAATTAAGACACCAATTAACAAAAAAAAATTCAACTTGCTAGCTATTGACAATCTCCTGAACAAATTGGAAAAAGTCTGCCAAAAAATTGATGCGATTGGTAATATCGATTGGTCATTATGATAAACTGATTGTCCTAACAGCTGATTTTAAAAAATGCATAATGTTCATAATAGTTTTAAAAACTTAGTCTAAAAAAGCACATACAATTAGCTTCTAATAGACAGCATTACATTTGCAGCCCGTTTGCTACATGAATCCAGGCCTTGTTCCTGTTCAACAGTACAACTGGCCCATTTATCAGGTTAGTGTGTTATACAAATATGTACAAACTATACCTTTACAACATTTTATTTCATATATTTGCCTGGCTACCAGATACCACATTGTACAAAGCTGTATATAATTGTGGATGATAAAACCAGAAAAGGAGAAAATACAGAGAGCTTAAAGTTTTTAACTGAGTCTTCATTTTTCAATTTCAAGTTAATCCAGCAACAATTTTAATAAAATACAACAAAGAAGATCTTTTTAAGGTAAAGGGAAAAAATAATTGTTATTTTCATTAAAAAAAATAAACTCGGCACTGTCAATATTTCAGACATTAAAAAATTTCCCAATCTCCTCTTGGTATGAAACATAAAACATTTACAAAATGTTTAATCACTGAATTACTTTTTTTGCAGAGATGATTTATTGATTTGGAGATATGATTGATATTTTTACAAAGAATCATTTTAAGCTGATTTCAAATGGACTATATAAATGTAGCATAATTGTTTATCCTGCCTCCCGGTAGCACTTGTCAGCTGTAGATGCTAATGTACATTACAAACATGTAGAAGCTTCTAAAGCTAGATCAATATTTTATAGAATTAGGTCATATGGCCTTTTATTGTATCTAATACATTCAGAAACTATTAGATTAGTATTCATCTCCAAATTCTCTATTTGCACTTTTGTCTTCCTCTGTTTATATTCTACACAAAATGTCTTATATCAAATTTTTTAAAATACTACCTTTTTCATTTTGGTGAATGTATTTTGTTATCTGGCAGCTTCACCAATTGTGACATAAATCACAAAGATACATAAAAAATATTGGAATCTAATTAGGTAACCAGTTTCTTTACCAAAAATTCACGCTGTGATAGTAACTTAAAAGACCAAACAAAAAAATTTGCAATGATGGCAACAAAACTATCTATAAATTTAATGAACAAAGTTAAGTTCAATAATCAACAAAATTCAATAATTGATATGCTATGTTTGATGCACTTGATGACATCCTGAATAACATTTGGAAAGTGCAATAGGAAATTTTATTACATGTGTTCAACTCAAATGAAAGATTATGTTGCTTTAAAGGCAGTCTGTCTCCTATGGTGCTTAACTTTCATTTTCACTGTAGTGAAATTATTGCAGAAAAATTTTGTTCCTTGTTTGGTATGTGCAAAAGATATGTCAACAACAAAAGGTAATGATTCCATTCTCATCAAACGATTTCAGTAATTAAATATCTTCTTGCTATTTCCAATAGTTTTTTCCTTGCAGTTTCAAATGTCGTCCACTACTACACTCTTTTTTTTATAAGAACACACTTTATAAGAATAATGAGGCTCGATTTGCCCAAAAAATAAGAACAAGGCTAGAACATGCTCAGCTTCAGATTATAAATTTAAAGATTTCCTTTACGGAAACTTTCACAAGCACTCAACAACTGTAATGAGGCTGGGCAAAAATTATCTGGTTCTTATAAAAAAAGAGTTTAGAGCTAGGCCAGCCCAAGAAAGCAACCTAATCCGTGTAGGGGGGCAATCTATTGTTTGAATTATCCAATCGTTGAGGGGACAGACTGCCTTATCAAATTAACTTATTAAATACCTGATGCCATAACATTAAAGGGAAGGGGCTATTTGTCAGCTTGGTAAGTTAACATATAATGAGACTATTAAACATGACTAAAATGAACACTAAATAAATTAATAAGAATACACCCCTGTTTATCATGAACAATGTTAAACATCGAGGAATCTAGTTTATGTAATTTATCATGCTGGAAAACCTTGGGAGTTCATTATCAATAATTTGGGAGAATTTTGACAATTTGTTAATGTCTGACAAGTCTTGGCTAGTCAGGTTAAAGATAAATTGCAAATTATTGAAGTTATATTTCTTTAAAATGCATTTTTTCTTTGAGCATTGAAGTTTCTGGAATTTTATCTGCATAGTGCAATGGTTCTTGGAACATGTATCTAAAAATGGGTGTATTCTGTCTTACAACAAAAATGTTAGGGAAGTATGCACTTTAAACCAATTTCAGGAATGATTAAAATACATTGAATAAGAAACTCTGAACAATTAAAAGAACTTTTCTATATTCAACGCAGATTTGAAAAATATGTGATTTGTCTAAAGTTGCTCATACTGTGAGGGAGGAGAGATGTGGTCACATGATTTTATATAATTATGAACTTGAGAATAAATTGAGAAATTACAATAGGTCATATATTTTTGCTAAGTGCCACAAAAGTGCATCTAGTTTACAAGTTGATTGGAATTTCAAATAAAAAAGAAAGCAACTTTCACGAAAACGAAAAGTGCATATCTGTGCACGATAAAACATGGAAATGTTTTTGTTGATATGGCACGTAAATCCATAACAATTAAGACTTCAAAATACTGAAGGTTGAGCAAATGAGCAAGAATCCTAGCAATTATTTGAAATTTTTTAACTTGTTTTGTACAAAATGACTTTGAAATTCGTGCAGAACAAAAGGCTGTGCTCTGGAGAAAACGAAGGCTCTCGCAACAACAAATGGTTTCAGCAAAAAACTTTCCGATAGGTCTAAAAACAGAACTTGCTAAAAGCGATAGACAGTGCTTAAATAAATCGTAAAGTTTCCGGTCCTGATAATTTACATGCGTACCACTGGACAGCATAAACTCCTTCACACCATAGATTCACAACTTCTCTCCTCTTTTCTCTTTGCAATATGGTGACTGAAATAGGAAAGGTTGCGCAATTTCATGAACATCAGAATGCTATTCTTCTTCTGCAGCCAATCAAATCTATTACTTTCCTAGAAAACATAAAAGCATTCAATTTTAACCAATGAAAAGCGGCGAATTTTCTTCCATTTCAATCGCAATAGTTCAAAGAACAATCAAAGTTACAAAGGTGACTGAGCACTGAAAACAATAGTTTTGTTGCTCAATATTCGCGGGAATCAAGTAGTGTGTGGCGAATAGCGGTGTACAGCATGCCATAGAACCTGCACTTTCTAAGGGTCTCTTTTCGTTCACCGCCATGTTCTAGGGATGTTATCGACGTTGCTGAAGCCAGATAGCTTTGATTTGGCCATTTTTACTCTGGTAAGTTTTTTAAATTTTTCGAAATAGCAGTTGATTGGGTACAGCATGTTCTGGGCGTTACAATGAGCCTATTTTTACCGGTTTTTGGGTTATTTCGGACATTTACTTCGTTAGTGTTTTCGTCTGCGAAACAAGCCTATTTCGGCCGCCGTGAAGCTCTTCAAAAACTTTCTTACCGCGTACCATTCAGCACCAGATTCATCCCCAGATTCATCCCCAGATTCATCCCCAGATTCGAAAACTTGCTTGTACTGCTCGAAATGTATCGAAATGACAATGATTAGCAAGAAAATATGTTATTTCCAGAGTTTCCTTTCTATTTCCACTCGATAAAAATTTTTTCTTGCCAATTTATTCTTGATGTTTTTAGCGGGCCTAGGCATGCGTATTTTCCATCCCCAGATTCATCCCCAGATTCGCGTTTTGTATAATATGGGTCTAATAACAGCATGAGAGGTGTCAAAATGACAATAATTCGAGAGAATATGTAGCAATATGCGGTTCTCCGTCAATTTCTACTAGATAAATGTCACTTTTCTACCACTTTGTTTCCAATGTTGCTTGTTGGCCTAGGCAGTACTTTTCATCCCCAGATTCGCGGCCACAGGGATACCAAACGACCACAGGGATACCATTGCCAATATTTTTCCATCCCCAGATATGTATATCCCCAGATTCGCGTTTTGTATAACATGGGTCTAAAAACAGCATGAGATGTGTCAAAATGATAATAATTCGAGAGAATGTGTAGCAATATTACGATTGAAACTGCTTGTACTAATGTATCTATTATAATTATCTTAGTTAAACAAGGCTTAGTTACCGCAATTACATAAACTAATCAACATTTTGGTTAAAATACATTAATATTTAAAAAAAGAATTAAATCAAACATTATAATCGTATATATTTTCAATTTATACAAAACGCGAATCTGGGGATATACCTATCTGGGGATGGAAAAATATTGGCAATGGTATCCCTGTGGTCGTTTGGTATCCCTGTGGCCGCGAATCTGGGGATGAAAAGTACTGCCTAGGCCAACAAGCAACATTGGAAACAAAGTGGTAGAAAAGTGACATTTATCTAGTAGAAATTGACGGAGAACCGCATATTGCTACATATTCTCTCGAATTATTGTCATTTTGACACCTCTCATGCTGTTATTAGACCCATATTATACAAAACGCGAATCTGGGGATGAATCTGGGGATGGAAAATACGCATGCCTAGGCCCGCTAAAAACATCAAGAATAAATTGGCAAGAAAAAATTTTTATCGAGTGGAAATAGAAAGGAAACTCTGGAAATAACATATTTTCTTGCTAATCATTGTCATTTCGATACATTTCGAGCAGTACAAGCAAGTTTTCGAATCTGGGGATGAATCTGGGGATGAATCTGGGGATGAATCTGGTGCTGAATGGTACGCGGTAACTTTCTTCTGTTTGAAAAGCATCTTGTGGTTCATCCTTACTGCGCATGCCTTGTAAAGTACTGGGCATGCGCACTTTTGAAAAGTGCAAGGATTTCTAGGTCACGAATTTGAATTGACCGAGGGAGAAACATGGCGACATTGTTGTGATTAGGTCTTGTCATTGTGCAACGAGTGTTTCTCTACTCAAAACATGCATTTTAAGGTGGAATTTCGTAGTACCGATATAAATGAATTGATTGCTCTCCTAGGATTGCATTTCCTTTTGATATAAACTTTATGAAGCACTCGATTGCATGTCATGACACGCTTCTTGTTATTTTGAAGCGCTCAATTGCAAATAGTTAGTGACAAAATTTTCAAGTACTACCCGTGTTTCTTCGGTAACGAATCTTCTGTGTACTTAGGCATGAACAAAATTTTTTGGTTGTTTCTCTTCCACGTCAACTAATCGTGCCCAAGGCCCTTTCTTACTTTTTCTCCTACATTGCGCCGCAGTGTGCGGTCGTTGGTTCACTGGTGTCCAAGGCCTAGGAAGACTACTTTAAATCATGGCTTGTCCTTGCTAAAAAACGAGAAAAAATGCTTTTGCCATTTAAGCCAAGGTGATGTTTGCCTCAAAAGAAATGATTTTTTGCCAGATCACCTTTTTCTGACCTTTCATCCTTTCTTCTTTTATTTTTCGCGTTTCATCAAAATTTTGCTAAATGATAAATTTGAAAAAGTAATGATCAGTTGCTCAAATCTATTTATCATTGTTTTTTCTAAACCATAATCATACTTTTGTAAAATTAGTGATTAATTCCCCCCCCCCTCCCTTATCTTTCAATGTGCTCCTCCCATTATCTCTCAAGGTGCAATTTTTACATGATTTTTTGGTAACGACAACATTGATAGATAAAGGTAATGGGAATGTTTTTGAGGCTCATTTTAAAAAATCATAAATTTCTTTTTGAAAGAATCAACATGATGGTCATGATCATCAGTGATGATCATAATCATGACTCCAACAAGACTCAATAAGCCCCATACAAACCTTTTCAAGCTTGTAAGTATTTCTGTTCATGTGAAAACTTTTTGGCTATCTGATGACATGCTAGGAGATGAAAACAACAAAATAAATGATGTAAAGGAAAAAATCTGAGAAGTTTGAAGCTTCAATCAAAGTAAAGAACTATGCCTTTGTGGCTGAGTAAGTGAAATAGCCTTCACTTGAACATTTCTTTGCTTGGTTGTGCACAAACCCGATTGCCAGATTATATGGCGAATCTTGCAGAAAGTGTTACATAAGCTGTATTGGAGGCAATAGATTTACTGGCAATTTCAGTTTGAAAACAACATACCTAGAGAAGCGAGGCATTACAAAAATGAATAGCTTAGGCAATTGAGGACTTCAGCACAAATACACTGGGCGGGATTCATTTTGCAATAAGGGAAAATTAATTCCACTGGACTTGCAGATTTTATAGTATATATACTTTCCTGACAGACAAACAGGGGAAATCCTCCTTCCCTTCCACCTTCGATGTTGCTGCTATTTTTTGATTTTCCCAAATTGTTTATAAATGATTTCATTCCAGAAATGCCTTATCTATACTGCCCAATCCGACATACATGGAATTAATTTTGCTCTAGGAGGATGAATTGATAACTGAATCAAAATATCAAATGATGTTGAAATAACTTGTAAAATTAAGGCCCACTTTCCTATGTCTAACAGCCTTTAAATAGGCAGTCATTTTGTGCCAAAACTGTGAACTGCTTTGCCTCAAATACATTTCTCTTGATTTCAGATGATGCAACTAAAAGATGGCAGAGCCTAGGCGTGTGCCATTGCTACCCGCTAAATCAACATTTTCGAATGAAAAGCCTTCAGCATCAAAATCCAAAGAAAATGACTGTGGTCAAGGAAAGAAAGAGGAGAAACCTAATAACCATAAATCAGTTAGGCTTGAGATAAATCTTGCACCTTCTAATGAGAAACATTGTCCAGAATATTCTTATGTTCAGTTGGTTAAAGATGTTTTGGTATGTTGTTTTCCCTTTTACAAGAGAAGTTTTTGTGCTTTGATTAATCTCTTCAACTGTATCAAGATTTGTACTCGTAAATAGTATGAAATAATGATGATGAAAAGGAGGTTTTGAAAAGATCAAAATTTGGTATGGTAATGAGCCCTATGTTAGTTACAAAACTTGATATTGTGATATGTTGATGGTCCTAATGAACACAATGTATATTTGTTAATGCAGATTTATCAACAAGCTGATTTTTTTCTAGAAGTCAGAGCCTGGGTCAAAGCCTGAACAAAATTCTCTAACAGACCCCTTTGGCGATGAGGATAACACAGACCAACTCAAAGCACTAGCAAAGAAATTTGAGGAAAAATATGTAAGAAAACCAGTTTTTTCTTGATGTTTTATTAGACAGAACTATTTGACAGAGATTCAATGTCAGAGTCATTGCTGTTCATTTAGTCATGAATGTTCCCTTAAATTTTGCCTTAGTCATGAAGATCTACAATTAATATGTTATCTGATTTTCACAGGGTCCAAAGCCAAGCAAGACAGGAAAAAAACGCAAGCTTGATGCAAATGTTTGTTTACTTTTCTATTTTGATAGCAATAATCTAAAATATTTTCACTTTCATTTTACTTCTGATAAAACTTGGACAGTGGGTTGTTTGTTGAATGTCCAAGATGCAACATTTTCCTTTTATCAAAAGAAGGATTACTTTGCATTATTTATGCTGATTTTTGCCATACGTTTTCTAATCTGAAAACACTTTAACAAAATTGTGTCAGTGAAGAAAGAAATAGTATATGATCTTTCCCCTTTCTCCACATTGAATCCAAATGTTAAACCATGGAGCTCCCTCTTTGTGTGTTTTTGACAGCTTTAATATAATCACATGTTTTTCCTGTATTGATTTCTTCTATTCTCTATAACAGCCATATTACTGTGATATTGGATATGGATATGATGAAAGTGATCCCTTTGTTGATAACACAGAAGCTGTGAGTTGCCACTTTTTTGACTTTGAATATCATTTGTGTACCTTAAAGGACAAGTGACACGCTTTTGGTGCCAAATTTTTTTCTTCTTTTAACTCAAATTAAAATGCTGTATGAGAGTGTTGTTGAAATATTTTTCCTTTCTGATTTCATTTTCCTACTTAAAAACCCTTTTCAAATTATGGCGGGAAATGAATCACGTGACACCGTGACGTAGGTTGTCATAATTTGTTATTGCTGCTACTGGTATACAGTGCAATATTAACGTTTACAACACGCTTCTAAACGAATTCAGTTCGTCTGGACCTGTCGCGTCGTGTTTTGTAAACTCTCTATTAATGACAGGAAAATTCCAAGTTATCACAATGTACGTCATAGGGTCACATGATAAAAAGCAAAATCGCGCCCCCTGCACCCCCTGATTAGAATTTTTTGTTCTAAACCAGGAAAAACTTACTTCTAAATGATGATCTATTAGTTAATGAAAAGAAAAGATAGGGTGAAAAGTGTGTCATATGTCCTTTAAGAAACCACCAAGGAAAAGATAATAGAAATGTCTGAAAATTATGATACCACAAACAGTATTTATCCCAATATATTACAGAAGATTGGTTAAGCAAAGAGTTTGACTTGTTTTGGGGGTGCTTCAACTTGTTATGGCCCTTCAATGGTACTGGTAGTGGTAGTGAAAATTTATGAGATTAATAAATTGTGATTAATTTGCCCTCTTTATCTAAAATCTCAAAATTTAACTCCATTCAGTATGGCTTTAAACCTAGTCTTGCAACATTGATTCTAATTTTGGTGAATTTTTCTGAGAAGGAAAGCCATAATCCCTCAATACAAGACCTCAGCTTCTCATTTGCATCCATATTCCATTTTTTACCATTTTTTATAAGAGCATCCTCCAAACTTTCGAGCTGTGGATATATATCAAATATACTTTTAGCCACAGGTTTTTTCACATAAGTGTAACATATGGGCACTGGTTTTCACAGATTTTCAGAAAACAATAGCCACCGATTTCAATAGTGGAGCATAGATAGCTTGCTCTAAACTTTCACTTAAAGGGGAAACTGATTTCCTTGATTTTTAATTCCTCAGATACTTTGGGAATTAGGAAGCTGGAAACTCTGAAAATCTTTGCAACAAAGGAGAGCTGTCCTTACAAAATTAGGAATTGTGTAGTGGTTCAATTCAGTATGTAAACAGAGGAACTTTAGTCAGTCAGTCAATTTGACCGGTTTTCTGGAACCTATACAGTCAGTCTAGAGCTCTGTCTGATACCAGTACCTTACTAATAACAACATCATATTTGTTCAGATCAAACTTGTTAAACTCTGCATTATCAGTAGCGCTGCATTTCCTTTCCGACTAGAGGGGGCAATGACATCCAAAGTAATTATACTGAGCAACTAATAATTTTGTGAAACAACTAGAAAGTTGGGAGGTTAAGCTCCTGTTTCTGCAAACCCCTCTGCAGAAACATTTTTAGGTGTAACTTTTAATGTATCTTTAATAGTTGAACATTAAAAGTGGGTCATGAACCTACCCCCATCTCCCAACTTTGTCTGCTGGACCCCCCTCGCACCATGGATTTAGGGCTGCAAAGCCAAAAAATGATGCCACTGTGAGCTAATTGAGCAGAAAATTTTTGTGATCACACCCTTAGGATTAGCTGAAAATACATTTTAGAATATTTGCTGCAGTCGCTTTCTTGTAATTTATATATTTTACTATTTTTAGGAATGCTTTTCTTGCATTTCATTAATTCGCTAGGCATCAAGACCCTGGGACAATTTGTCCCTTTGATCCCCCTTTTGGCGACCCTTTGATCCCCCTGCTTGGATTAAGTACTGAAAGAACAGGACTCCCTTGATTCAAAACACAAATCATGTTTTATCGTGTTCACATCTTATGCAGTCAGTCATTCCGAATTTTTAGAGCTGTATTTTTATTTGCAGTATGATGAGCTTGTACCAGCAGACTGGACCACTCAGCATGGTGGATTTTACATCAACCAAGGTGAATTGCATTACAGGCCAGTAGCAGATAGGTATGTATCGAATTTGTTTGCTGAACTTCCCTTTTACTGATCGACAAAACCTCATTTCAATATGACATTTTTCCCAATGTATATATTGGAAAATATCCCCTTATCGTGCTGTGAAAATTCAAGAACTCTTTACGTTTCTTTAGTGACATGAAAGACTTCAAAAGTCCAAAGAAGAAGCGACTTGTCGATGGAAAGGTGAGCTATCACACAAATTTAAAGTGACCCTCCGATAGAAATTCTTGCTTTAATCGACAAATTTAATTGACCCTGCCTCGTCAAATTTGCAACTTTTAATTTGCGGTTTAGATAAATAATCCTGTGACTTTCAATATGGAGAACGTAAATTGGATTTGAAAAATTCTCGAGCTTCCTCGCAACAAGGAGAAAAAGAGAATTATTCTAAATTCTTGTATTCCTGTTGTAAATTTTTTCTTCCTTCCTTTTTTTAGAAAGCAAAATCCAAAGATGGCGACAAAAATTCAAGCAAAACTCCAAAGGAACTAAGTACGCAAAAACGAAAAAAGCAGCTTCTAAATAAAGAGAAGAAGCAGAAAAAACTAGAGAAATCACTTTTCTTGCAGAAGTAGGTTTTAAAAAATCTTATGAGTCGAGAAAGTTCACTTACAATCTGCTCATTTTTCTTAGGGATATGTATCCTACAAGATTTTTCTACCAAAGTTTTTTCTTTATTCTAAATCCCAACAGTTAATATTTCCAGTTGCCTATGTGTGAAGGTGACGCCATTTTAGGCGCCACTGATTTCGCAAAAAGTCATATCTGCTTCTTGTAACCAATTTTAAATCTCAAGCTCGATGTTTGTTAATGGGTTTATTGAACTTTTATAAACACTGCAATCGTGTTTTATTTGCAATCATATCCTGAAAACGTTTATGTTTTTCTTTAAAGAGAAAAGAAACGAAAAAAGAATGTTCTTTTGGATGACTCAGAAGATTCGCCGGTTGTGCTACAACGCCAAAATATTGCCAAACTTGGTCAATCCTCACCATCAGCGACACCAAAGGCCTTACCAAATGGGATTAGTGTGAATACTAATGCCACTGCTCTTGTTGATGTCCATAGCAAATCGCCGAAGGCAGCTTTGAAAAACAGCGCTCAATTTCTTGACAGTTCTAGTTTGTTTCTCAATAAACATTTAAATGAAATGAACAGCTCTAGCAATATGACTGAAAAAAGCTTTAAAAATTCAGCATCTTTAAAGACTTCATACTTGAATACTAGCGCCAGCAAATCAATGGATAGCTTTATAGAAACGCCAAAAACTGTACCCAAAGACACAGATACCCCTTCAAGCCCCCCAAATCTCCCCGATAACCTCCCGCTTATTCTTGAAGCTGGGGTTCAAAACCTTAAAGATGCTGCTGCCAATTGTCCAAATGGAAAATGCCGGTTTTTTGACGTTGGTGTCAACAAAACCTTGCTTGGGTAAGTTTGATATTTGCATTTGAAATACTAGATGAAAATGAATGGAAAGAATAAGATATAGCTATAAGGGGTGAAAATTCGGTAGTGTGTGAGCTTGGCCAAAACTTACTGTGACCATTATGTTTCAGTGCCTTTTCTTATCTTGGAGATTAAACTCAGAGTAACAACTTAGAGCCGTCAGAGTAGCAGCTTCGAGCCGTCTTATTCTACACACCAAAATTGTACAGCTTTGTCCATACGATGTCTTATAGCAAATATACCGATTGATAGCAATCACTTTACATATCTTTCTTTCTTTGCAGGGTTGCACGAACCTTATCAAAGTTGCCATGCAAAGTTCGAACCGTGAGTATTTTTACTGTTGACAGGGCTCAAAAAATAGCCATTTGGGCGCACAGTCTTGCCTAAAGATAAACCTATCGTACGTGTAGATATAGTAACAAGCACGGCCTTTTACGGTAAAACCAGCAAGAAAAGAAAATGGCAATACAATCTAAGAATAGAAACATAGGAAATACCTTACTTTAAACCTTTTTTCGCCCCGCACCCTTTCACCAGCATCCAAGAACTTGCGAACTGTCGTAAACATGTCACCTAAAACAAACGTGAAGAGATCTGCCACCTAAACAAATGAGAGTAAGGGCCCCCTATCACTCAGGACGCCAACGTGAGTTTTTGATGCGTCAATAATAAATTGATTTTCACAACTGAATGACGAAAATGTGTTTCGAAACATTCCGCGGAGGAGCCTCCATCTGTACTGTGATGTTTTATTTTGAAGCATATGTTGAGGAAACTCTTCTTTTTTAGTCTTTAATCAAATGGAGTCTTAACAAAAGCTCCCTGAAATCTGTACTGAAATTTATTTGTATGATCCATAGAATGTCTACGACTATTTGGCGTATTATTTGCCTTGCACGAAAGAGACCCTCGTGAAAAGAGCCAAGACGCTGATGATAGAAGACCAAGTGAACCAGCTTGATGAGCCATTGAGGCTTTTGAAAGAAGGTGCGTTTATTTCATAATCAGCGCCTTTCTCTGACAAAGCAAATTGCTAAAAGCCTTCCCTCACCGCCTCGGTATTATGTTTGAAAATATCTCGAAGCTCTCACAAAAAATGTCAAAAAAATCTTTAACAGAAAGATGCCACAAGTATAAAATTGCAAGACTATTTTAGAAATTGCAGGCTGTCATCAAACAATATCAATTAAAAAGATGAGACTGGTCTAATTTTTCATCGTTTTCAAGCTGTCTATCTTCGTTTCCCGTGTAACCCAAAGACCAGAATTAAACACTTTCTTAGTTGTGCCTATAGCTGTAACAGTATGCAAGATTTTCAACCACGTTTGTCACTTTTGGGCTCAACCGCATTAGAATATTCAAAATTGGGCGCCACCAGGGAAAGTGCTGGTCTGGTTGTCTAAAGCTATAGAAAATTAACTTCTGTTTTTATTGATTTGTGAAATCGCATTTTTTATCTTACAGCAGTCTTTGAAACTAAGATAGATCTTGACTTGTAGCTACCCAAATCCAATCCACTTTGTTCAATAATGTTTTTATTTTCTGATGTTTCATATGAACATGTTTGCTGCCCGTCTGGCTTTAACGATTTTTGGCTTCATTTTCATGTTGAAGCTGGGCTTTTCAAACAGTATTTAATTGTTAATTTTGCGTCTGTAGCAATTGAAAAGGAGATGCCACTCCAGAAAAAACTTTATGATGCGGAGGTTGCAAACGCACTTACAGAAAAAGTGCGAGAACAGTAAGTTGGCAACATGTCTTTATTTTTCTTCCCATTTTTTATCATTTGACAGTATAATGTCTTTAAATGTCGTTTTGTTCTTAATTTTTTCGACATTTCTCTTATCTTCTTATAAAACCAATTTTCAATACTACCTTTGCAAATTTCGCTACTGGATTTTGTTAATGAAATTTTCATCAAATAAGAATTCGATATACAGACGATGACATCTGAAAGTGTCCCTATATTCTCTAATCACTTTCTGATCAGAGAACAAAGCCATACTTATTTTTATTCCGTTTTGAGTCGGTAAACCAAGATTTAACAAGCCTTCAGGTTCAAGTGTAATCTTCTGCTCTTAACAGAATGAAGCAAAGTGGATTCCCTTCTACTAATGAAGATCAATTGACCGAAAAGGTTGGAACTTCAAATTCTCTACTGTTTCGCTTTTCAGAACCATTTTCAAGGTTTCTGTTTTGATGTTTAAATTCCTTTCTCACCACTTGTATTATAAGAGCCACTTATATTATAAATATTTTTTACAGCCTGCGTCACCAACAGACAAGACTGGCAGTGAAGCGGTAAGTTTTTAAAAATTAAACTGTAAAAAGTGCAACTTATATATTGTTTCCAAGTTGATGACTTTCGTCTTAGGTCTTTAGGAGCAGTTATTTTTTCCCGTGAAATATTTGCAACTAACATGCTACAAATTGCTGCATTAAAAGTCATATCATTAAAATTAAATATTAAAGGTTATAATTACGTTTACAATATAAATATGATTGAACGGTTTGTTAATCCACGGGGCTGCAATATCACCTTCATGCTGTCTAGAAGATAACGTCTACCAGTGTCACAAGCATGGCAGAGCTGCAAAAAATATTCCGTATCCTCGATACCAGCGTTTCTCGGACACAAAGAATCTAGAGCATCGCCTTAGTTTATTTCAAACGATTGCTGTGAGGAAATCTCGGATTGCATCAAGTGGTTAACTTGGGAGTTACTTTGTTTTTTAGTTGTCATTTGAATTCATGATATCCATTTCAGGCTTATAATTCATTTACAGATTTCTAGCACTTGTTGAAAATGAATTGTCTCTAAAAAAATTAACATTTTGGGATATGTATTCTGTTTGTTTACAGCCAATGGCCACATCAGAGGAAAAGACAAAGAAAAATATGCCAAAACGTAAATTTTCGTGGACTGAAGAGATAAGGTAATTCTAGTGCAACAAATTCATAAATATTCTGTTGAATTTCGCGAGCACTTTAGATAATAGGTTCATGTCGAGCTTGCACGTTGAACTTGTGAGTTGGGCTCATGTGTTGGACGACTGCTATTTGCACACCTCTGTTTCAGAATAAGTTGCCATTTGTCTTTTTCTAAAGTTGTGCAACCAGTCTGCTACCTATTTTGCTTTTTCCAAAAGGAGACTTCTCTGTGATGTCATTGCTGTTAAAGTCCAGTTGTACAAGATGTCAAAGTCGAGAAGTATGACTGCTGAAGAGTACGTTAAGGTGAGATACAAACCAAGACCAGGTCAGACGCGTTCCACTTCACCCCCCCCCCCCCTACCCGCACGCTTTCTTTACATGTGGTTTAATGTAGTTTCTATGTACGCCAATAATAAGATTGTTGAATCTATTGTACTCGAAGAGGCAGTGAGTGGGGAGTAAAACGGCGCAACAGCAGCCGGTTTGTCTGGTAACGATGCCTGGTAAATGATTGGGGCCTGGTAAAAGAGTGAAATAGCGAATGAGTGAAGACATCGTAGACGAAACGTTATTTCTCAAACAAGGGGTTCAAATAATGGCTGCCTAATAATCTAGGAGAGGGAAGGTTTACCGGTCGAAAATGTCTTAAGATGCTCCGTAAGTGCGTTGCTGTTGACAATGTATTGCATTTGAATAAGCATTTAAGTGCCTTGGGAGAGCTGTGTTGAAAATTAGGTTGTATTCAGGGACGATTCAACCGCCTCTGAATTTTGATAATTGCCGTTTCCATCAGTTTCCGGTCACCTAAAGGGTATGGCACAAAGTCCAATAATTTTCCAACACCCCCCCCCTTAATTCTTGCCGCTTATATCCGTCCCCAGTATTTTTGGACAACTAATTTGTCTGAGTTTTTGTGCTAAAAAAACCTTTGTTTATTCTTTTAGGATTTTCTAGAGAGTGATGTTCGCAAATTGTGGCCAAAAGGATGGATGACAAGCAGGTACTCCAAAACAACGCTCTTTCACCGCTCTTTTTATCCTTTCTTTTTTAATTTAAGGTTTTTTTTCTGATTCCCTCTGCTGACGAAACCAGCTTTCTTCTCTTAATATTCCTTGATTTGAAACCACAACGAAAATCATTTTTATTTTCCTTTTTTCTAAACACATCTTTCACTTTTAAGGTTTTTTCAATTATATATTTTGTACACTGGAAGAACAACATTGAATTTCTATCTAATTTTACTAATCGTAAGACAAAAACTAATCGTAATGCGCTAACGAATTGGCCTTAGCAGATACTCTTAGCTACTAGTTTGCAATCATATACAATGACCGAAAGAATTAGAAGCCAAAAGTGCATTCGAAATTTAACATTCTTTGTTAACATTGTTAGAATTATTTTGCTGTCTTTTAGGATTCTGTTCAAGGAAAGCAAATCTGCACATCAAGACATTACCCAACAAGCGTGAGTTGATTATTCATTTGAAATGCGTTCTGCACTATCGTTTACTGTGGTGATTAAAGCAGCCAATAACATGTAGTCAAAATGATTATTCTGATAGCTAAAGTAGTCTGAAAGCACTTGGATTGTTTCACAAACAAATTGATTAGTATTACTTTTAAGTTTTCAAGCTACCAAAGAACAACCTTTGCCAATTACGTTAAATGAGACATTTTTCACAAGATTATTTTAAAAGAATTTTCTCAAAAAAGATTACTTAGTCCCAAAAGACGCATCATTTCCTTCGTGAAACAATTTCCTTTCCAAATTACGAAAACCCAGATATTTTTGACGGGCTTATCAATATATTTCCTACTGAACCTTAACCCAGAATTCCAAGTTTATTTGTGTTTTTTTTAGAAGCTGTTTGTTACGTAAACACTTAAATTAGAATTCTCAATGTTTAGCAGTTTCTGAACCATCGTCAATGGAAACTCAAAATAAAATCATTTTCAAGGTGCAAAGCTTTCAGTCTTATTTATTTGCCTATAAATAAGCGAGTTGGTAGAATCGTGTTAGCAGCCAAGTCATCTGCTAAAAAAAGGTGCTCTCCTTTCATGTTACCAATTTTCAAATTTCTCTTGCCTGCGCATGTCTTTACAAGAAAGCTGCAAACCTTGTTGCTATTGTTTACGTCGATTGCATTTAGTAATAACAGCAGACTGAAAATGCAACTGCTCTGGCTCGCTTTGATTGTAATTGTGTTTCTGTTGGTTTTTAGATCTAAAGCTAAAAAAGAAAAGCCAGTAAAGAAGACAGAAACAAGCCAAATCGCATCGGCATCATTTTTAAATTCGCAATCAAATTTAGATCAATCCACGTTCAAGTTGGATTATTCATTTGCAAACGTTCTCGACATGTCAAATAGTTCATTGAATTCAACTGCATCGTCGAAATCCAAATTCTCTGGAAATGCACATTTGAAAACATCAGCAGCAGCCCTTATCGATAACATATCTTGCTCTGCCTCTAGTAAAGGAGAAACGAAAGTGGAGCAAAGTAAAAAGCATTCTTTAAGTGAGCCAACAAAAAAAGCTGATTTGAAAGTGAAAGCTGAGGATAAAAAAACGGCTGGGAAGCCTGCTTTGACAGTAAAGGCAAGCGCCTCTAAGAAAGAAACGATGTTGACTAAGGAGACCCTAAAACAAGAGCCATCGTTGAATAGTTTGGTCGCCGCAAATCCGTTTGACAAAGTCAATTTCCCATCGCTAAACGACACTATGAATTTCTCGAAAGTTAATCGCCATCCTATTCTTAATTTTGAAAGCCCTGCAGAGGCTTTGAAGATTTCTCCAACAAGCAGTCATGAAAAACCAGTGCATAGTATTTTGGACTACGCCAGTGTCTCGAACGATAATGCTCGACGAAAACCACCGAATTTGACACCGACTTCCCTCAGTGCCAGCAGATCATCGATGTCAGAGGTTGTGCCAGAGGTTAGCTTAAAGAAGAGTTCTCCAAGCCCCAAAATATCGACACCTGTCCTTCAGACCCAGCTATCAACGGACAAATGGCCTGCACAGTTGATGGCTCCCGGACAAGCCTCCACGTACTTGGGACAAGCTGTAAAAAATGTGTCATCAGTCAAGCAGCCATTTCATGTCCCAACGACCCAGCAGCAGAAACACGTGTCACAACCATCTGTTGCCACCAAACCGCTTTACAAAACGCCCCCGAAGGATAGGCACAGCGCCCTTTCAGTCACACCACCAAAAAGCTCCCCTCAGAATGCGAGCCCGCATTCGATGTCATCGTTGAGCATTGGGTCTTCAGGATCAACTAAATCGTCTCCTCTACTGCATTTTCCACCAAACATCGAGCAAGCAAGACGGCTGTCTGGTCATTCCCCGGAGGACTTGCGAAATCCTCTCTCAATATCTCATTCTATAAGTAGGTAAGTGTGCCTTCACAGATATCATTGTTGATATTATTTTTCTTTTTAATAACTTGTTGTTCTTAACTTCCTCTATTTATTATTTAACAATATATCTTGTCTTGCCACTAATTATTTATATTGTAGCCAGTCGTTTGGCCAGCTGCGAAAACATAGTTAATTGCAAAAATTAATGATGAAAGACGCATGTGGATTGATCATCAATTATTTGCCGACCAGTCAGGTCGACGAGTGGTTTCTATCGATTTTGAAATTTCGATTTGAAATTTCAATTTTGAAATTTTTTCAACAACGTTTAGCGGATAGACTCGCAATTTTGCTTTGATGTTTTAGTTTTCTACGTTAATGTTTGTCAAGCCACGCCTTGTTATGATACAAATGCATTATGTAACTCTTGCTTTCATCCATCCAGGTTGACACGGGACCCTTCGCCTAAGCAGAGCACTTTCACGTCTTTACCTTTTACCAATGCAATTAGCTCTTACTCGAATTCACTATCGATATCGAATTTGCAAGCTGCATCGCAAGGTCACGAAAAGATGCATCATAGCTTCTCAAACTCAAAAATAACACAACAGCAACATCTAGCAGACCCAACTTCCATAGAGTTGTTGCTACAACAGCAACAGCAACAGGTGCAACTTCAACGTCACTTGAAGCAGCAGCAAGCATTACAGCAACAGCGACAACAACAACAACAACAACAACAAGCTTTGCAACAGAAGCATTCATTGCAGCAGCAGCAGCAGCAGCAGCAGCAGCAAGCTATGCAACAACAACAGCAGCAGAAGCAACAACAACAACAACAACAACATCTCTTGAAACAACAACAGCAGCAACAACAGCAACAACAGCAACAACAGTTAATGAGCTCCCAAGGTATGGAATTTGTTTATATTTGCAAACAATCCTTTGCGGTACAACATTTAAACATCGATCATTATTCTAAAACTTCTTTTCCCACGAACGTCAGGCGAAAATCTGAAGTATGTTTTGCAATGGTTGCCATTTTGATTAACAATTTAATTTTGACAATTTACATTAGCTTGAAAATTGATGTTTGCTTGACTTGACAGAATTAAAGCGAAAATCATACCTAAATGCTTGTTATGTTTCTTGAGTAACTAGGAACTCCTTGACAAAGCTGTTAATCTTGTTCTTGGTTCCTGTTGCACTTCGGCCTTTTATCTAGTTCCCTAGAAAGCAGTTTCTTTTGATCTACATAATTCACTATTTAACATTTAAATTAAAGTTTTAAAGATTTAAAGAACGACGGGTTTTACTTTACACACTACTCATTGCTTCTTTGTTTTCCTTGATGATCTAACAGCGATTCAACTATCTTCAATACTTTCTGTTTGAGCTCTGCTTTATTCCAAGCTTTTTTAGAATGTGCTATTAAATTTGTAAAACGTGCGTATGTTCAACTAATCTACGTCAGTAATATAATGGATAAAGCGTAAAATTTAAACATTTAAAGTTGAAATTTATGAACTGATAATAAATAACCTTCATAAGCATCAATTCTGGTGAATCTTTTGTACAGGTCCGGTTTTCCTTGGAGATCCTTTGAACATCACTGGACCGGCACAGTTTCCAAACCAGAACGCCATTCGCTATTCGGCCAACGCTTTGGGTTCGTTCGCTTTTCATCCCTCGGTCTAAAAATTCTAGCTACTTTTATTCAATTTCCCCGGTGACTTTATGTAATATAAACGAAGTACTTTAATGTTATCACTTAAAAACAATGTTTAATATAAAATATTACAGCATAAAATAAACTATAGTTTTAAGTCGTTAAGTGATTGCTTTTGTCAATCGAGCGCAGAAAGCCTTACTTCTTAATGTATGCTGACATTACGCACCTCTCGACAGTTTTTATTTTAAGCACATAAATAGCTTAGAAACACGAAACAGCGCTGAGAATTTTCAATAGTCAGTATAAATCATTTTTTAACCAATATAAACCTTACTTAATTCTGATTCCGAATTCTGACTTTTGATAATAGTTATCCGAAAGCGGATAAAGTACTGTATTGCCTATCCGATGAAACAAAGCCTTCCTTTGACCTTCCCCTCCACCTCCTCATAGAATGTTTCAGCATTATTTCTGAATCTGATTTCATCTATATAATTCGCTTATTCCTGTTTCTTTGAGCTCCATACAACTTTTTTAGCCAACGAACCTCTTTTATTCCTCTTTTCTTCCTCTTTTATTCCTCTTTTATTTCTCTCTATTTCTTATGATTTGTATTCTTCCACAGATTTTGATATTTTATTTTCCTTCACAGGCTCGAATGCGTCAGAACGCTATCCAGCTCCTTTCACGAACTATAGACCACAGTTTATTTGATACGAAAAAAATTTAAGAGTATACATGTTATTGTAAATATTCCTGTTTTTTGCTTCGAAAAAAAGCATCATTTATTTTATGCATGTTTTGTCTTTTTGATGGAATTCTTTGTCATTTTGTACTTTAAGCTGTATAAAGATTTCATGTAAGTATTTTGTGGTTTTTCTTTGGTGCTTTTCTTTTTTCCGTATTTGGTAGGCTGGTTCATTTAAAAAGAAATGAGAATGTCTGTCTGGCTTCTTGATATAAACATTAAAGAAGCAAGAAACTTTATTACACAATAATCTTAGAATTTAATTTAGATAATTAAACTGAAAGATATAAATAATTCACAGCACGTGGCTGAAAGGTCACCAGTTCCTTGTTCGAGGATCCAGAAGATGGACTTAAAATGGAGTCATTTTACGGATATTTGAAGATTTTTAGTATGCTAATTGAAAACATCTATTCCAAATTGACAATGCCGTTTTCAAGTACGTTTCAGACAGCCTTGTCGTTGGGTCCAGTTTAGTTTATTTGTTGTATAGATTTCGTTTCCTCCAATTTAATTAATCGAAAGACATTTATACTCAAATATCATCCGAATCTAAAATGGATGCCAAAATGTTCAACATCATCAAAGCAAGCGATTTCATCCTAATAATCCGCTATCTAATCTCCAGTCTTGGCTGAACGCCACATAAAGAAAAACATTTGAGACCCACAAATAATGCATCGCTATCTAAAGACATTTCTAGTAGACTGTTGTGTCGTTTGAGTAATTCAATCAGTCATTTATACGATATACCCATTCAGGGTAATAATTTAATCTGGAAATTACGACACGTGTTACGAAACCGGACCATTTCTACGAACACAGTAAATCCCATCAACAACATTCCTAACAAATTCATTTATTGTCTATAACACTCCCCAGTCTTCTCCTTCTCTTCCTGATGATCTTGGATAACGTTCGTTTGCTTTGTTTCTTTTTTGCTTTCCTGAAAGAAAAGAAGAATAATTTTTAGCTTTCGGGGAAATCCGGACACTGTTTCCTCCTCTAATTCTACAAAACTTGTTGATTTATAAATAAATGATGTGGTCCTAACAGATTGATATCATTGTTAAAATGATGACAATCAACAAAATGTTGAGCCTAATCAAGAACAGAAAATCTACATCTTGATTTCTGTAAACTATTCAGTAAGTTCAGTAACATTTTGTTCGAATATCTAAGCTTACTAGACTAAGCCATGTTATTTTTATTTATTTATTATTTCAAAGTCAGCTTGTCCCATTAAATCATTCTAGTCTCATTAAAGGTACCTTATTTATTGGAATAACACTAAGTAAACAAGTCGTTCATTTTAATTTCGGAAGCATCAAGATGACCCTTTAGCTCCCGAATGTCTAAAACTGTTTCTACGTTGCAAGTGTGTGAAACGCTGTTTGGCACTCTTGTACCCCTGTGGGGATATCGCGGAGGAAACAACGAAGCACTATGTGCGATAAGAAGATTCCATTTCGCTGACATGGGCGCAAATGTAAGTTTAAGTCCTCAACTTTGACTTAACCCTGAATTTTCTCATTTATCAATGTTATATCAGTTTTTACAGCAAAAATATGTCGCCATTTATTCGAGCAGATAGCGTACGAATCATGCTCCTCCACGTGATGAAATTAGTTGGCAAAGAAGTTATAATACTTTTTTGAGTTTGCCAAGATGATCTGCAATTCAATGAGAATGTCTAGTTTCAATTTAATCGGCCGAATTAAAAATGTTGGTTTTGAACATTTCAAAAAGTTTTGCCAAGACTTCTTGATGCAGCTAAAGATCAACAAACTGCGCTGCGCTGTTGACGGGATCTGCATATCACTTGAAAAAGTTAGAAATTGCTTTTTCAACGTTGTTGCAATTCGATGTTTGTACTCAAGAAGCCATCGAAGCACTGCAGCTGGTCATCAATGCTTTCTGACATTGACGAAGAACAAGCCTAGCATTTTCTTTTGAAACGAAGATTCCACGCGGTCAAACTCCGCAATAAGCATATATCTATAAAACCGCGTCCATAATGCTGCGTTTTCTAAAATGCATAACAAGATGGAAAGCAGAAACATTTCACAACGAATACGCTTGACAACAAAGCACTCAGGGAATTCTTTTATCGTGCAAACATTAGGATCACAGCCTTGTCAATAAAAGACGATGTCCATTGGATACAAAAGACGTTTCTTGCTAAAAGGACGTGCTCAATTCACTTTCGACACACTTTAGAGATTTTGCATATGGCCTCAACTTACGATTATTTCTCCCCTTATTCGGTGCATCAAAAGTCAGTAAATCTTCAGGCTGTTCCTATCTACCCTTTGATAGCACGCATGTGAGAAAAACTCCTAAAAATAGGTTTATGATTATTTAAACAAGCTCCGCATAGGTCTTCTAAGAAAATCTCCCAAGAAAAAGCTCCCATGAAAACTTTGTCTACCTGGGTCAGCTGCTAAGATAACGGTCAATATTTTCTTGATTTCTCGTCTTTTTCGGCCCTCCAAAAGTCGCTTGATATTTGTTTTCCATGGCGGAGTAGGCAGGTTTTGCTTGCCCTTTGCTCTGTATATTTGTTCCAGAAGCTTCCTTCCTTCGTCTGCAAAAACAATTTTGATGGTATTCAAGATTGGCAAATGATAAAAAAAATTGAAAATGTCAATAAGTACATTACATAATCTAGAGCAAAGTAACAGAGAAAAGTGGAAGAAAAAGCTTATGAATGAACTATATACGACGGTCCTGTTTTGGCTTCGTCTCTACACTTTCACAGCTAAATATATGTTTTTTATAAAATATCGAACGTCATTGAGGCGCTTTCGGTGAGAATTTCATTTGCTCGCCAGGTGTGCCTAGACATAATCGCTTTTCTGGCAGTCAAAACGACTTCTTTTTTCAAGCCAAAGTCATTGCTCAAACGGATTGTGTAGAAATATCGACAAATGCTGTTGTTTTTGTTTCTTTGACGCAAAAGACAGAAACCCATACGACTATAATCGCAGTAACTGTGACGGTCACGAAGTTACAAGGCTAGAAATAGCCAAAGTCTCTCAACTTCGCCTGTTCTTCATTCATTTCTGAAAGAGCTATTCTTGTTTGCAACCATTAAGTTTTATAAATCACCAACCTGAATTCTCGAGGCAAGCTCCGCTTTGAATATTTTCTTTATCATGACTCGATATCTTTATTAACGCTGCAAAGGGATAAGCCTCCCATTCACTTTTATTCGGACCGCCAAGGAACTCTTTTGGATGTTTGTCCTCCATATTTTGGCAAATCACGCTAAGATGACATCCTTTTCGAGCCTCAAGCACGTACTGTCCATCCGATTTTCCAATACCATAATCACGAATTTGTTCACACGACTTTGGGATGTCTACAATTGAACCAAAATTTTCAGCATTTTCAATACTAAGTTGTTTCAAAGGATGGTTGGCTAATTTAATTGATTGATAATTTTGGCAAGATCGGAAAGAAGCTTTCGCAAACAAATAGGTAGGAAATGAAAGGAAAATTCTAAACCTTTTCGTCAAGATAAAAGATTAACTTTAGAGGTCAAATATTGATTGAAAGTAGTTTGCAGTACTAATATCTTTTAAAAGGTAGTCTCTATTCGGCGACGTAAAAATGATAGATTCAACTTATACCTACTAAAAAATGTTATAACTTGTTAAAAGATCTGTTTATAAACCCTTTTTAAAACCTGAGATGTGACTTTGTCAACCACACATAATCAGAAAGCCATGACATACTCCTTAAGGGTGTGTTATTAAGAAAAAGTGTAATTCCAAGGTGGTGCCTGAGCTTACAAATCAATCAAAACAGCCTCAGTGATTCTAAATACCTTTCGGTGCAGTCACAAACTCGAAACTTGGTTCTGCTGGCTTTGTCGTCATTGCTGGCGCTTTTGTTGTAGGTGTAGGTGTGCTGAAGTTGTTTGCCTTTGTGACGTTTTCTTGGCTTATTTGTGTTGTGTTTCCCAGGGGCATTGGTGACGTTGCAACTACAATTAAGGAAAAAACGAGCTGTATTTCGTTTTTGGGAAGAGAGAGAGAGAAGGATATCTACAAGAGCAGTGCGAGAAACTACAGCTTATATCGAGCAAAAGAGGACAGGGATGGCAGGAAATTTGCAGCAAGGTAAGAGATCGATATCATTCAAATCATGTACAGGTTTGATGGCATTGAATTTAGTTTTATGAAGATTTTAATGTATGGTTACACACTATACAGAATTTGCACAGGCAGAATGACAACAACAATAACAATATCAATGACAGTATGGCGAAGAGAATCGAAACGAATTACTGAAAGTCTATCTTCGTATCTATCTTCGTACAAGCCTTTCTGTTATTACGTACCAAAAGTGTGCGAGAATTGGAAACTCACCAATATTTTGATCCGTTGCACTTGAAGTAGCTCTGTCTGGCTTCTCTTGCATTTTGGCCGGTGGAAGAGTATACGGGGATTCTTCATCTGGAAAGAGAAAACATTTCAAAATTGTTGTTCTTGAGCAAAAAGCAATTCCAATACTCTCAGTTTTAGCAAGGATAAGAATTTGAATTGACATCCTCTAACTTAATACTTAATACCTGTTTGTCCCAAAATAATAATCATCTGTGCATTATTTTTCGTTCTAAACAGATATATCAGGAGCCTAAGGCTACCAAGAATGTGACTTGGACGCACTCTCTTTTGTCTCTATAGTAGCTAAGAATAGGTCTGGCTGGATATTCATCTAGAGATAAGAGAAGTTCAGTCCCCTCGCTCATAAAGAGGAGAGCAAAGCAACATTGCTCTCGTGGAAAGTCGAGCACGACCATCTGGACAATTAACACGACATTTTGGTTGCAGTTAGATAATAGTAATTTTACTGCTTTTACTATTCTTCATACTTGTATTTCATTGTCATAAGAGGTTACATGATAAGGTTAAAAAAAATAAATATACTTCATAATGAGGCCTTCTTGTTCATTGTCGCTAATTAGCCGTCGCAAGAATTGCCCCTTTCCATTCAGGGATTTCATTCAAAAAACAAAATGAGATGTTTACTGCATCCGTCATTTTCTTATTTTTAGCGAATATTTTCTCACCTGCAACTGAGACCGAATCTGGATAAACCAGCAACTCTGCAATAACTCCATTTTTAGCAACTTGTTTCATTGTTTTTACCACTTCGCCTTCGTTATTAACGTACAAAAGATCGAAATTCACTCCAACCTTTTCCATGGTAATTGCATGCGTGGTTTTTCGCGGTGTTTTGCTGTAACGAACGAGAGGTTTAAAACCCAATACTGACAGAGTATTTGCTAGTATAACGAGTGGATCAAAATCTTTTTGTAGAAAAGATTAAATTTGGATGGCGTTTTGTTAAACTATACTATGTCCATGCTAGAATCTCTTTTCCTCGTGCAAAGCTTGTCAGAATAGAATTATGGAGATCTAGTTTAATAAAGAAGGGTTTCAAGGCCACCGATTGGTCAAAACATAGCTAATCAGTCACCTATTTTCTCCTACTAGCTTCATTCGATCAATGGCTGGCCATGCGATTTTTAATACTCTTAATAAATTCAAGGCTAGATATCGCTTTCGTGTGCAATCCATGCAATAAATTCAATACAAATTGCTCCTGGTTTGCTGATTTACAAAGCATCTTTGTATCGCGTCAGCTTAAACAAGTCATGTCGTATTCCCACATTTTAATTTTAATGCTTTCACCAACCTTAGGCCAGTTACTTTGCAAATAACATTGAGATGATGGGACGAATATGTCTCTTCAATCTAAAAACACAAATTGAAAATACATTGTAAATAAAAGACTTTTCATGTATTTACGTTAAGTTCTGTTTGATTTTATTCAATACAAAAAACGCTGTATAACAAACTATTTTCACCTAATTTCTTTTATTCAATAATAATATCGAATTTCTCGTGTTATTCTCTCGTGCGACTTTAAAAATTGACGAATTCCCCTATTCTTTCCCTACAGAGCGCTCTAGAAATCATTGACACTGCACGTTTTGTCAATAATGTACTGATATAATATCAAAAGCATAAGTCCCAAAATTGAGTCCTGTCGTATTTAGAAACATTGCTGCCCGCGTTTAGATCGATAAAAATTCCTGATTTAAGGACAACTAGACTCAACAGAAACTTCCCAAAGAACTGTTTTTTCAGTTATTCCCCTATCAAGAGTCTTCTTGTATGATAAAATAAATTTTAGGGCAAAATTGTGCAGTAAATACTGAAACAAGAAGGGCCTAAATATATATTTGTAGCTTCACGCTATTTGGTGCATAGCACAGAACGGTTCTATACACATAAAAGGTGTACAGCTTCGGCTAAACGGTATCTACAGAACATATTTTTATGATGCCGAAGCTAGCCGAAGCTTTGATTCCGTTGATCCACAGTTTAGAGGTTCAAATAACTCCGGTTGAAAAGATCGCTTGCCTGTTCAGTGCTCAAGGGCAAGGCTTTTCTTGTTCACACTGAGCTAATTTCATTCCAGCTAATTGTCGGAAAGCTAACTTACTTGTTCCTATTCATATCTATTTGGCGACATCCTAACCATGTTTGCGAACAGGTTGAACAATTTTTTGTAAGAAAAATTAGCCATTCGTTATTATGTAGAGGAACTTTCTACAATAAGCCAAGAATTGACCTTTTCGTTCCATCATTTACAAATTAGTAGAAGGGTCTCTCCATTTCCTATAACGACGATTGAATTTGTTGCGATTTTTATGGTACGAAATTAAACCAGAATTTTGATTTTCGTATTAAATATAAATGTTTGAGGAGTTTACAAGAAGAAGCAAATTTTCTCGGTCAACCGATGAAGAAAATCTCAGTCGGTGTCTGTCTTTTTCTTTATACTCGGTGTCTGTCTGTCCTTTTGACTTCATCGTTATCAATAGACTAAAGTTTCCTATGACGTATTCTTCTCCCAAAGTGCAGAAAACTATTTAATGTGTCATTAAATAACTAAAACCAGAACACGCAACTTTCTTTATTCCCGCATATAATCAATCTTGTCGCTTTTTCCAAAAATATCGTTGTAATATGATTGTAAGTGCAAATAAAATTCAAAATCTTCACAGTAATCCTCATTTTAATATTTAACGTACCAGATTGTAATTCCAGTATGTAGATTAATTTTTAAAAAACAATTCCCCAGAACGCTACCTAGATGTCAATCCATCATTTGCAAAATATTAAATTTTCGTCAACAAAGTTGGTTGAATTTCACTACGGCAGGAGATTCGCCTCGAGTAGAAATATGTAGCAACTAACCGAATGTTGAATATGTTCCTTCAGTACTTTGTATGGAAGGCTGTTTTCGTTGTCTAAGAGTGGGTGCCATGTTTGTTGAAGAGTCATTTTGCCATGCAAAGCATGTTCTACAGTGTAGAATGAAATAGATTAGGTAAACTGCTGCTCAGCAAAGGAGCGTGGATATTACCAGACAAATAAGCTTTTTTTCTACTAATAGGCATCAACAATTTTTATGATCTTTGCTTTATTATATGCATCAAATCCACGTAACCCTGTTTATAATCATAAAAATGTAAGCACCAGAACACCTTTTGAGCGGTGAAACATTTGATCAAATATGAACAACAATATTATTTGTTTTTTGCATTAGACAAACACTTAGTCACAATTTTGAACAGATTCATTTATTGAATCCTTTTAACCTAACTTACGTGAAGAGGCTGTTATGATTTGGTTTCCAGTTATAGCCTCTGGTTGGAGCTGCGGAGGAGCTTCTTTTACTTCTACGGGTAAAGCAACTGGTGGCCACTTGTAAAGCTGCACTTTCGGAGTATAAATATGGGGCTTTAGATGAACCCTGAACGTTTTATCACTTGAATTTTCATTAGATGAGTCTTTGCTGGTGACAATAAGAGGTGTTGGTTCGTAGTTGACTTGTTCACTTTGCTGAATATTGAGTTGAACAGATGGCTTGCTTAACGCGCTCTTGCTTGGAGTGGCGAGTGGCCAAGACGGTTCCGGGATGTTTTCTTGACTTGAATAGCTAGATGCTGTGTACAATGTTGCATTTTTTGGAGGTTTTTGTTCCTGTGCTGAGTTCTCAGAGGATGAGTAAGCATAATTTGGTGACGTTGCGTTGGTTGAAAAAGAAATAGCAGGGGATTTTTCTTGTTGGTAAGCATTCTGTTGTTGTGGTTGTTGGTAAGCATTCTGTTGCTGTGGTTGTTGGTAAGCATTCTGTTGCTGTGGTTGTTGGTAAGCATTCTGTTGTTGTGGTTGTTGGTAAGCATTCTGTTGCTGTGGTTGTTGGTAGGCATTCTGTTGCTGTGGTTGCTGGTAGGCATTCTGTTGCTGTGGTTGCTGGTAGGCATTCTGTTGCTGTGGTTGTTGGTAAGCATTCTGCTGTTGCTGCTGAAAATAACTCGTGTTCCCCTTCATGTTGTTAAGAATTTGAATTCGCTCTGAATTCGTTTGCTGAGTGCCTGGCGTCTTTGCGTTCCAATTTTCGGCAGCAGCACCGCCTTGTGGGCTCTGACTTTCAGAGAAGTTAGCCAAAGTTTTCCCAGGACTTGAAGTTTCAAGTCTGTTGTTTGGGACACTTGCAAACTGGTTAGGTTGGTTGTCGACACGAGCTTGAGAGATAACATCTCCTCCATAATGGTAGTCTGTGGACGGCCTAGTTGCTTGCTGAGGTTTGGTTTGATTGCGATTGGATTCACTGATGACGTTGTTGTTTCGCACACTGCTATTGGCATTGGGACTATATGTGACTTGCATCTGGCTGGCTTTAAAATGCTGAATCCGTTGACTGACAACACCAGCCACCATTGTCGCTACAGCTTTTTGTTCTTCGGCATTTTCTTTAGCTTCTGCTTCAGCTTGCGTCGAATGTGTGCCATTTTGATTGTCCTGTTTATCCGATAGAAAATTTTCGGCAGCTTGCAAAAATACCTCTTGAGATTGCGGTTTTTTCAGTGCGGCATTTTCCTCAGTGCTGTTAGCCTTGCTTGCGCCGTACCCTAAAAATGAAGTAATTTTTTTCCTTGTGATTTCATTCCTGAACATTAATCAATTTTTTAGAGCGACAGGATTTCCGTTGAGAGACCTAATAACAGTATTTCCAAACATTCATGGAAAAAGCTGCTGAGATTACAAATTTACAGTACCGAGCCTAGTGACAGAATCCTTGCAGCTACCAAATACTGATCTGGAGGAAATCACCATGGATACTAACAGAATATGTATTCTGTGTAAAAAAGGTCAATGCAAAAATTTTCACAAGTAAATTTTACCTAAAAATTGTGATGTTCGTCACAGCGAGTGATGTTTGTTACGATTAATCGACAAAAAGAAAATATGGCAAGTGAAAATGTTTAAGTATAAAAAGGAGATATTTCCATTTGCAACTTATAACTACAAGACAAAAAGCATACAGGGCTAAACAATATTATTTGTAGTTCACATTACCTTTTGAAGGTTCTCTAGGGGCTGAAAGTTGGGGGTAAAGGATTTTGCCAAGAGTGGGTGTATCAGAGCTATCTGTAAAGTTATCATCGGTTCCCTGTGAGCCGGTGTCTGCCGAGCTGTAAATGTTGGTAGCACTTTGCTGCTCCGCAATGTTTTTTTGCAATTTCTCAAGTTCCCCGTCAGTTGTCTGATTTGCGTTTGGAGGTTGCTGTGCTAGTTGCTTTTCATTCCCCTTTTCAATTTCCTTGCTCAAATTGGGCGAAACTGGCTTTTCTTGGTTCATAACTAGCTTTCCCTCTACCTGTTCGGGCAAATCATGCCACAGGTTCCCCTCGAGCGAATTTGTTTCTTTATTCGGTGAATTTTGCTGCGATCCTCCTGGAATTGGTGGTTGCTGTTGCTGCGATATTGGTTGATATGCTTGTTGCTGGGTTACCTGACCTTGCGATAACAGGTTTTGTTGCTGCGGCGATTGCAACGAAGTTAGTTGTTGTTGCTGACTCTGTTGTTGTTGCTGTTGATAAATTGACGGTATGACGCTATCAGAAATCTTGGTCTGCTTTGGGTAGATGGGTTCAGCTGTTTCTGCAATCACATTGTTGACTGATGATGTCATATGGTCCTTTGAACCTAACACGGGCTTTACTTGTTTAACTTCACTTACCAATGGTTTCTCAGTTGGCAATGGTTTATTAGTTGCCAATGGTTTCTCACTTGCCAATGGTTTCTCACTTGCCAATGGTTTCTCACTTGCCAATGGTTTCTCACTTGCCAATGGTTTCTCGCTTGCCAATGGTTTATCAGTTGCCAATGGTTTCTCACTTGCGAATGGATTAACTTGTTGATGCTCCATAACAACGTAGCCTATTTGCTTTGAAAACTTCAGTCGCTGTAGCTTTAGCGACATGGTGGCTTCATCAGATGGAACTGAACTAGCAGAAGAAGCCACTGGCGCTGATTGAGCTATTGCTGATTGGTTTTGCGCTAATTTGGCACTTTTTTCTTTATTTGGTTCGGCTAACGGGTAAATTGGCTCAGTTGTCTCTTGCAGTGGCGTTTCTTGCTTAACCTTGTTTTTCTCAGTCTCGGTGTCATTTAAGCTCTGGTTGACTTCAGCTTCAGAGTGAGGTTTTGGGAACTCATCACTTGGACTTGGCTCTTGAATCGGCTGGTCACTTGTCACATTGTTAATTTCTTTGAAAACAAAGTAATATCGACATAAACAACTCATACAAAGAGAAAACCAGTATTATAAAAAAATAATCTTATTTGCCTTGTTTACCCTTTTGGATTTTTTTAGAAAGGTTTGGTTATTGGTGAGTAGCAGAAAATCTGTTATAAGGTGAATGTCGGCCTTTAAAATTTGCTATTCTCAAAGAACAAAAATTAACAAACGGCCTGAATTACTTAATGAAAATAACTCACCATAAATTTCCAACGAATCGCTAATCACTGGAGTGTCTCCTACATTGCCTGATGAGATTAGGATTTTCAGCTTTTGTGCAGGGTAGACTTCGGCGTTAGCAAATCTGACGTACATATCCACTATGGTTTGGCCCTGAGAGCTCTCTCTATCAAGAATCAAAGAATCGAACTTAATATCACATCACCTAAGAGGTCGTCAACATACTCCATAAATGCGACATGCTATACAAACAAACGCATTTGCTTATGTTCTGTTTTAGACCTTATGTTGCTTATGTACAATAGACCCTTACTATTACGCCCCCTTTTCAATTGCCCTATTTCATTTACCCATACCATCCCACACATTTCCTCACACCATGGTCTTTGCTCACACCTAGTAGGCTTTCTGTACTTTCGTATTCTCTCAATCCTTCGCGGCTCTTTCCTAATCCAGATGTTTTGTTGCCACTAGCAACCCGCCCATTCCAACATGTTCTCTTGATTAATTTTTATCGATGACCCTTTCTATCAATAGAATATGAAATAGGCGTCACAGTTATATACGAACCTGAAACCAAGGACTTGTGAGTTCAGATAATTTGGTGACCCACCAAAAACATCATCAAGCTGTGAAAAAAATTATTGTCTCCATTAGATATCACTTCAACTTATTCAACACCTTAGACACGTGAATATAGTGCAGCAAGCACCTAAAAAATTTAGACGATTTTTGTTTAAAAAAGCTGGCAGACACATTGATTTCATTAAATTTTTCTACAAAGCTGAACCGTTGAGATCCTTTTTCCAAGTCTTATACACCCTAATTCATCTTGTAAATTCTGTTACTTTTAAAAAGAATGATTTCATTACAGGTGCTCGCTCGGATCAAAAGGTACTCGCTTTAAAAGCTGCTCGGATCAAAGGTGCTCGGTATCAAAGCTACTCCATATAATAGTTGCTGGGTTTCGAAGCAGCTAGGTTTCAAAGCTATTTGGTATCAAAGCGTCTCGGTAACAAATCTGCTCTGTACTTACCGACTGTTCGATATTGCCACTCAGCAAACGGTAAGGTGAAGAAAATGTTGCCAGAAACAGCGTGTTCCACCTCTGGTAAAGTTGGAAGGAAACCTTTATTTCTTTGTCTAGAATAAAGCCAGGTCAGCAATGAGCACAGTGTAGAAAAAAGTAGGTTATGTTACTGAAAGTTGCAAAGGGTGCGGCCCACTGTGCCCCCTTCCTTTTTGAGGAGGCCTCTTGGGTTTGATAAACATTATCTTATTTGAATGTCTAGTTTTCTGGGTAAAGCACAATCAAAAATTAAAAGAGACTGCATTCGTCGATGCCAAGTCCAACATGCTTAATCGTGACAGCATTCAGTTAGTCTCAAAACATAAAAGCCAAGATCGATACCATGCTTTAAAATGGTAGGTGTAAATGCGAACTTACAGTTTGCAGGCAATACAACTTTGTGCTTCACTTTTTTAACAGCGTTGACTTTCGTTAAGACTGCTGGGTGCAACCGCAGACGAAGTCCTTTAGGATAATTCCAAGCTGGGAAATTCACATTCCCATTTACGATTTCTGAAATCAATAAAAGATTTGAGCAATGAATGTGCTCAAGAAATACAAGGGATTTGATAATTTTATCAACCAGATACGTAGTTAGTGCTCCATTCTGACGTCATAAAATCATAAAAGCTCCTCCGGGTGTATTTGTTGGGTGTTTGGAAAGCATAAAAAATGCAGCTTATCAGACAAATCAGCGAGACACTCGAAGTGAGACAAAATAATCTCATTAATGGGCTGAAAATACATACTTATAACTTTGAAATAATTCTTGAAAACTTGCAGTCCAGAAATCCAACCAGATGCCACGATCCCTTCAATGTAGTGCAAAGGGTCCACCTCCGTCTTGAAAAATTTCATAGAAACATCTGCCAGAATGTTCCATTTGCTGGGCCTAAAATTCGACAAAATCTACTGTGAAAAGGAAAAATTAAGCAAAGCAATTCTGATTATGCCTGCTGCTGTAATTGCAATTATGTATTCGCTACGTAGCCTTAGCAATGTCAGTTCTTTTTTACATCAAATGCATGACTCCTTAAGGCAAAAAATATTTGTTCATTGGGCAAAATGTAAAATTTGGAAAGAAAAATGGTCGAAGATACTTAATATGTATACGCTGAGCCATATAAGCGTTTGATGACCTATTTTCAATTTTTTGATCGCTATTTCAACAAAGAAGAGAATTTATTAAGTTCAGAGGTACCACCTAATACCAACATGTACAGATATCAAATCTGTTGCACATATATATTTTTATAGCCATCTAATGACATTATCACTACTTTTGAGACGACAAAAAGGTACCTGAATCGTAGGACATTCGCCTCTAGAAAGTTCCTGTTGTCAATAAGGGCGTTCGATATCTACAAATTCAATAATAGCAATCATTTAACATAGAAATGTATTTGCAATATAGGCCAAAGGCTTTTATTAAACAAGGCATTTCACATTATGCCTGGCTGTACATACCTATATATGTAATGATGTAAAAGAGTTTTGATACGTTTTGAAAAGCATAAAATTTGAAACTGGATAAAAGTTTGTATGGAAATTAACTTAGGATTCGGAGCAGAGCGGCCAATAATCTTCAGGGGAATTTTTTAGCAATAAGAGAATTCATGATTGATTTTATATATCTTCAGTAGCTTTTGCTTGCTTTTGGGAGTATGATTAAATGAACATATATACCTCGTCAACGACATTTCCGGCAAGTAGGCGAAATTGTGGAGTGTATCTGTTTGCCAATTCGTCTTTCCAATATGCTTTCAACTTTATTTCAATCCGTACATCTTGCACTGCATAAAAGAAGAAACGTGGTTGTCAATTGAAGACATTAATTGCCAAAGGAGATGTTAAGAAGATAAAAATTAGCGTTTTTGAAACATGTTTGTTACACAGAATTAGATTCAAAACTCTTATTGGGACGTGAGGGGAAACAACCTTTCATTGTATGTCATAATCAATATGAAATTCTAAATTAACAGCGTTTCTAAATGTCCAAGTAATAAAGAGCAAGCTTGAGTGGGCGTGTCGTTCTTGGGATATGGTGCTTATAATTATTCACCTTGTCCAGCAACGTAGGGTCGGTATGAGGACCTTTTACTTCTTTTGCTATGCTGAATCGGCGAAACCTGAATTCTAGTGAATATCTTCTCTAATTCTGCATCCAGATGCCTTTTAGTTCTCTTCAGCTCTCGTTCATCATGGCGAAGAGCGCGGTGTTTGTGAAATCGATGACGTCGTGTTTCTATGGCTACAATTTACAAATAGGAACAGTCAACTTTAAATGAAAACAATAAAATTGGTAAGGCATGCATATAGATTACATTGTGAAGAATATGACCATTAATAGCTGTGAATAGCAAGTAAAGTAAAACGTTACGTCAAAAAAGGTTTATCTAGCCAATGAATATAAAAAACATAATTGATGCGAAAGTGATACATTAATCGTCGCCTGTGCTATTTAAGTCATAAATCCCTTCACCTAGGACCTGCAGAAGATTGGTCAAATATGCATACACAATCGTCCGACATATATGCACGGGAAAAAATAAAAGAGTTAAAGCATATTATCTTATGGCACTATCTTTAATTCTAACAAATTTTTAAAAGGTCAGGGCTCAGATTCGGAGAATTCTTGGGCTATAGGAAAGGAGTGTACATTAAAACAAACTAGAAAACTACTACCAGAAAACTTTAATTTTTTAGATGAATTGTAACGAACCTGTTTTGACCACAAGAAAATTCTACCCTGAGTACCAGCGAAAACCCATGCGCCCATACAAACGCTCCATCGACACGAATTAACAGGAATAGAGAACAGAAAACACACACAAAAATAGAGAGAGGGAGAGAACAAAAAAGGATGAAAAGGCACACACACACACTCATTGCAAAACTGCTCACGTTTGCTATAAAGATGCGCATATGGAGCAGCTTTTAAATTCACTTAATCTTTTGAGTAGATCAACCACGAAATTGTGAGTAGATCAATCAAATTTTAAGGTCACTAAAATGTGCTTAAGCACACCTTATCACAACGATAAATCCAGCACTGATTGTCGTGACTTCGATTGTGCAATTTATTTTCTAACGAAACAGCTAATTGAAATGGCACTTAGCAGCTGCAAGGTTAAGTAAGACCTCAATGATTCCAGCTCATCACTCCAATACATGACGCTCTTTGAAAAGCTATGTTTTAAATTCCTCCGTTTTGAGAGGGATGAGTTCTCAAAAGAACGTTTCATCTAATGATTTTTTTAAACTTTCATGAAAGACCCCACATGAACCCAGTAGTTGCTTTATCATCTATTCACAATCAAAGTGTGTGTTTCATCGCTTTTAAAGGTTGTTAATTTATTGGTAAGAAAATAATTCTGCGTGGAGGTTAATCTTCTGATGAAATAGTGAACCCTGCATATTACATTAAAACAGAAATATGACCTCGTGCACCATCGGCGTGAAACGTAGCGGATAGCTCGCTTGTTCACATTATACCGGAAAGGTAGGTTATTGCTTTTATATTTAAACAATGCACTTTTGCCAGAAAAAGTGTTTTTTCTATCTTTCTCCAGCATCTCTGTTCCTCTGCAACCCACCATGATGGTAACAACTTAAAATCAAGAGTTCACTTTCTTGTCTCCGAGCAAAATAATTTCAGGCTTCAAGACGCAAACACATTTTTTCTAAGAACATCATCTGACCTTCAATATTCATAAATCTTTTTTATTTTGAGGCTAATTTTATTCTTGAATTATTCTTAAACGAAACAACAAGGTATAACTGACTACGTCCATTTCAAAACATGTAACGTGAAACTTCAATTTATTTTGCTTTTCAAAAATAACTCAAATCAGCAAAAAGTTTAGTTTTTGATAGAGCTAGATCCTTAGAATATTCTCAAATTATTCTTAAATTCCAAGCCAAGATATTCTTATAAAAAGTGTGTACGAAAAGCCTTCTTGGAAAATTTCGATTTCCGTAAGATGCTAACCTTTCGACCTAAGCGCTTATCTGTAAAGAACACGTTTAGCCTTTATTCAGGCTACAGACAAATATACTATTTCACCTACACTCTTATTTTTAAAAGAACAATTTTGAAAGAACACTAGCCTCAAAAATGGTAAAAAGTTAAGAAAAAAATTAAGAACAAGCTGTGTAAAATGTAATTTTGCACAATTTTTCATCTAAAAAAACGAGGAGTTTCTTGCCATTTAGGGGTGCTTTTACGATGAACTTTCAAACTGGTCGGCAAATAGAGGATGCCTCACTCACTTTGTTGGCAAACGAGGCGCCTGAAAACCCCCTAGAGTGTTCAGCTAACAATAGCTAGCAATTGCACTTTTACACCCTAATAATTTAAGAACAGTCAGGAGCAATCTATCACCAGATTTTCGAAAAAATTAAGAACTGCCAGTCTGAGCTTCCATTTACTGGCTATTTAAAATATGCATACTTTGTGTATTGGTGTGGCTTTGATTAAAGATGCATCTTCGTGCCCTTTTCTATTTGCCTTATGCCTTTTACGCAGTTCAATAAGGCAGGGAAGACGAACTGGCGATTTCAGCAAATTTTAGGGTTTATAGTTATTACAACATAATGAAGATAAATGGAGAAGACTGATAGGAGAGAGGGAAGTGACTACATCGCACTTTGAAAGAAGGCGTGAACTTTGCCAAAAGCGTAAGCAGCCACCTTCTCTCATTCTAGAAATGACCTTTACTGGACTCACTGGATTTCCTCAAATTTTACGACTCCTTACAGCATTCCTAGGAAAGCACTCAAAACAAAGTCCCTTGTGCTTCCAGTTTTCAAACTCTTCTCAACATGGAAGCACTGATAAAAGTAATGGTGCTGTGACTTGAGGCATTAAAGCGTGCCTCTTTGTGATGAAGAAGATAAAGAAACTTACCGGAAAAGCAAATCAAACCAAGAAAAATAAAGAATATTTTTGATGCTGTCATCACATCTGCAAAACAAAAATAAGAATAAGAAAATATCAGCTGGCGTAAAAGCTTCCTGCAAGTTCTAATCGGGGTTTGATCCTAAAAGTCGATTTATCATTCGCTGTAAAATGAAAGAAGATTTGACGATATTGGTGGCCTAGGTAAGATTTCTGCAAACATCGTCTAGGTCAGCGTGACTTTATACACGGACATCAATGTATGCGATAGAAAAAAGCAAAACATGTCACTTTGCAAAACAAATTCATTTTCTGATGTAAACGTTAATCTTGTTAGGATGGATAACTAAATCTGATGGTAAATAAAGCACCTCGCATTGGCATTGACAAAGTCAGTTAAACGCACCGTCTGGCTTGATTTATTAAGGGCAAAGATATTTCAGTGTTCATTTTATATTATTTGCTGCTATGCCATAATTCAGAAGATTTTATTGAGTATGCTTATCTAGCAAACAACGTTAGCTCGAGCCTCGATCAAAGTAACTTCCGATATCTGATATTTCGATTTCATTTCACATTTGCCTCAGTTCATGCATGACGTCAATGGTATCTTTATTTCATTTCAAGAAGAAACCTTAATTGCCAATAACAAGATTCCTATGACTCTTTCAAATATTTATACAAGAACAGAATATTTTGTTTCAGTATCTTTTAAAACATTCTTCACCTATGAGAATAGGTATGAGCGACAAAATTGCGAAAAATGAATCAATCATAGATATTTCGATACAATAAGAATATATCGCTGAGCTCTTTGACTTGAGTTGCCTCTAGCACATATTGTAATACACAAGGCGAACTCTTTGCCAAAAGATGATCTTCCGCAGATTATCGGATATTCCATAAAAACATCTTACCTGCTGGTACTTTCAATAATTATTACAACATTTGCTGCTCCACTTTAGGCCTAACTTTCACCTGCACCCAACGTCATCAAAGCTGCTTTTAAAGTCAAAACTACTTTTCCACCATAAGAAATTCTGTTGAAAATACTTTATAATTAGGGCAAAACAAATTGTAAGAGCGCAAGCGGCCTACAGAGCACGGGTTTGGTGTTGACTAGAATGACCACCAGCTGATCGCAGCAGCGATCAAGGCAGCTCCAGTCAAAAAGTCAAAGCATCACGAAGACCAGCTATTAAAGCGAAGAACGAACCTGCAAACTATTTGAAGCTGCAGGAATGGAATCTAGCCGTATTCCTTTAAATGAATAACTAAAAAAGTACATCAAGGCACATTGCTTCCAAATGACTAGTATGAATTCTGCAAATAATGTTAAATTCCTCCTCGTCATCATCGTCATCATCATCATCATCATCATCATCATCATCTTCATCATCCTAATCATAATCATCATCACCATCATCATTATCATCATTATTATCATCATCATCATAATCATCATCATAATCATCATCACCATCATCATCATCATCATCATCATCATAATCATAATCATCATCACCACCATCATCATCAACATCATCATAATCATCATCATCATAATCATCATCATAATCATCATCATCACCATCATCATCATCATCATCATAATCATCATCATCACTATCATAAGAATGACAATTACTATCATCGCAAATTCTATTGTACGTCAGGGCATCAACATCACAGGCTCCCAGTACGAATTAGAATCTAGATAGGCACCTCATATCAAAGTTTGTTGAGTTTGTTTTAGATATTTGGTAGTTAGATGTTGTTTCTTGCAAAATCCTGTAGAAAGTTAAAAACCATCCGCGGAGAAACCTTCTGCACTCCGGAACCTAAATGGACGCTCGGAAGAGACGGTTAAAGGCAAGCTTTGTACATACACAGAAATTTGGACGGAGACGAGGCTACATTGGTGGCCGCGAGACTTCACATTCTCTTCTTGATAACGAGGCTTTTAATTAGCTAATTTTAATCTTTCAAGACAGCTGCGAAACATGTCGTTCGAGAAGCTGATGTATAGGAGATATTTCACATCAACAAACACAGAATCTTTGAAGATCTTTCATTTAGTTTTCCTACTTTACTGGTCTTTTCATCAGTCTTATTAAGTGTCTATTACATCTTGTTCACGAATATAAAATTTTTGTAAATTAATTGTCAATCTTGAGAATAAAAATCACGGCAAACATTAATTTGAGAGTGACTTAGCAGGGACAGTGATAAACCAGCGTCTCGTAACTTTGCTTCAAACGTTTTGATGCAACATTTCAATAGAACGTTTCGAAAAACTTTCCGACGCAAGCTTGCCTAATTCTTAGGTAGAGTAGTTCTCACTATTATGTTCTGGCCAAAACCACCTAAAAACCCAGATATAAAATTATGCCCACTGTGGTCCTTACCCTGAATCAAAATGTTGACATTCAATCAAATGTTTACAAAATCAAATCTTACAGAAATCAGTCTAATTCAATCTTTTTTTATTCGTCACTTTTCAGTTTCTTTAAAGCAACAGAGTTTTCCTGTTTCATTTCCTTGAGGTCCTTTGTAATTTGTTCTAAATTTTCCTTTATTTCTTTTTCGTTCAGGTTATCCAGTTGATCTTCAAGTTCTCTTATTTCTCGCATTATTGAACCCGTTTCCTCAACACTCTTCACCAAATCAGCAAAGTTCTAAAAAGTAAGTCGCAGCTTTAGGAACAGCCTTTTGTTAAAAAATCTCTTTGGATGCGTTCAAAACATCTGGTACACTTTGCAGGCTCTAAAGAATTCTTCAAGTTGACAAACACAATTCTAATTCAACAACATTCATCTTGTCAAATAACATCCTCCTAGCTGCCAAATTTTTGAAAACATCCTTCTTTTCAAAACCATTGAAAAAGTCAAAGTTGCAAATTTTTTCTTTTCAAGAATGTGATCTTACAGACATATGACCTTTTACTCCCCCTGTTTTCTAAGGCGATCTGAAATCAAAACGGGGGTTACTAACCTCGTGAAGGTTGGCCAGCAACTTGTACGCTTTCCTGCTAAACTCGTTCTTCTTTGCATCCTAAAATGATTATCACGTGTTACAATTCCTCTGTACCAACTAAAACATCAACAATTACTTCACTTAATGATTTGCTGTCAGTAACTTTGCCAAAATCGACATTAAGTATTTCATTCTTCAAACTGAGTGCTCACTGCGGATTTCATCAGCGGTTTTTTGTTTTTTAAAAACTTATTTGTCATCACAGCAAAATGGCTACTGCAGCTAATATTAGGATGAAGCTGTTTTCTAGTAAGGGAGAAACTTCGCTCATCGCCTTAAAGAGCACGTGTCGTTTTAGATTTCCACTGATTGGTAGGTGCGAAAACACCTGAAGGACTCGTGTAGCTGAGTTCAGACCACAACACAATTGTTGCTTTTATAGTCAGGAAAAAGGCGCAATTTGATCCAAGAAGAGCATCTTTGGCTTTTGGTTGAATCCCACGTCTGACCAACATTATTTTGACTAAACTGTTGTAAAGGATTCCCAGTTGTAGAGTCATAATTACTGGTGATAGCTATAAAAGGGGAGGGGGTAAAAACGAAATTAATTGTAAAACATATCTAAAAAATCTACCTTAAAGATAAGTTCGTCTGTTTCTGTAAATGTCCTCTCGAGCTTTCCAGAGAGAAAATTGATGTCCTTCTGAAGAGCACGAGTATCCTTCAACACCTTAAACATAATTGCCAAATTACTAACAAATTTAAACTAACAACGGTTTTAAAGAATGGAGCTATTTGACATGGCGAGCAAAATAGCATGGATATGTCAGTTTCAATGTAAAGAAGATAGCTTTTCTTGAAAAGAAAATATGACATTACTTATATTCATTTTCATTTGCTTACAATATAACTTGGACCTTAAAATAACAATAGGCCATTGTGATAATAGCAACTAATAGACTTTATCATGAACAAATGAATTGAAACTTTAAGAAAAGGTAAAAAAGAAACTAATTGAATGAAGCTTTGCTTGATGAGACAGTCTGAGAGGGCAAGGACCGGCGACCTGAATGTAGGCGACCATCGAAGATAAAATAGAACAATTTGATTCATTCTTTTGAAAAGTAAAGGACAATGCCACTTTTGGCGTGTTCGATCAATTTTGGTAGGTTACAGGAAACCCACTCCTCGCCAAGCACGTAAAATCATTTTAGGCAAAATAACAACATTCAGCGGAAAAAGGGATGGTTGTACTTTGGATAATACTGTGATAACATTTGTTCTTTTTAACCTTATATTAAGATGGTTTCCACTTTTGGTTTTCTATTAAGCTCACCTATTTTTACTTTTAAACAGCAAGGTTTATCAAAAAATCTCAACCTGTTCCAAAACATAATGCGCTGTTTCGTGACAAATGTTGGTCGTTTAAATCCAAACTCAGAATGGGATCATCCTACAACATCTTTGGAATTGCTACCTGCCAAACATTCACTTGAATGCCAAACGGTAGAGTAAGAAAAGTAGAAAGGTTATAACCTTTGATTTTAGCTTTTATAGCACAACGTAAGATAACACAAAACTTACATTATTGATGTCATTCTTTTGTCTGTTGATATTTGCAACAATCTCAAGGATTCTTTTAGTGTACGCCGATCTGTTCACATCTTTTGCCATGCGCTCGTATTCTGCCACCTTCAATACAATGACACAAAATGGTCACATATGTAATTTTCAGAAGAATGAAACTCAACCATTTTTATTTGCAAAGGGTTTACGAGATCGATGAACGGTCAACTAAGTGAGGATGATATTAAATAACTCTTAACTCTACGTCATGTAAACAAATGTGCTGGCCGTAAAACTTGGCAGCATGCATTGAGATTATGATTAACAATTCAAACTGTACACCCTATCGATTTTGTGATGTGATCGCATTTAATGGTGTGATTGCAAGTGATTAATGATTGGGAAAACAAACTAGGAGTCCCGCAGGTTGTTTAACAAATTGAGATACTAACACGTAGGTTCTGAAATATGCAACAAAGAAATAGGAATCCGGGTTAATCTCACACAGAGAAAACAAATTTAAACTGACAATGCATTCATTCTGGTTTTGTAATTGAATATATTCCAACTTTCTTTGAATTTCCCCCAACTTCTCTGGAAAATCGTAGACACTTCTCTTATTTTGGGAATCAAGTATATTCTTCATGACGATTTCATGGCACTTCGTAACTAGACTTAACCGTCGGAGGATGGTTCAGTTGTTAGATGCACTGACAACAGACCCAAGGGTCCGTGGTTAGAGTCCCTGGCATGACTAAACTTCCACCCAGAGTGAGGAGAGTCGCCAGCTCTCTGTAATTCCAGGCATAGGAATCACGAGGTGTGGTCACATCGAGAGGAAGGACCAGGACACTGCTCGATAAGCATAAGCTTCTCAGTGTTCTAAAAACTACCTTCGAATGCTAGGTAGAAACAAATACAATTACAATACAAATACAAGTTGAATTTCTGAGTTTATGTCTGGTTTCTTTCGATTTTCAGCTGTCAACCAGAGGCAATATTCTCGTGATTGCTGTTGCAGCCGCCAAAATGCATGTTTCTCGAAGACAATGTCAAAGCAAATGGGAACTGCTATCGGGAAGTATTATCGCATGTTTTAAGGTATTAACCAATGTTTTAAGGTATTATCGCATGTTTTATAGCATTATCGCATGATTTAAAGTATTATTGCATGTGAGACAACTCTGCATTTAGGATACAACTGTTGTTGTTATTTATATAAACAAAAAACGAATGGATAGGATCTAAAGAACAAGTTAGTCACGATTAAGAGAGCAATTGCATCGGATTTCTTCTCGAGAAGCAGTTTCATAGTGTTTCAAACGTTTTTCATATAGGCTATGGAATAATAAATTTTCGCTGAAGATGCTCCTTTATGTTCTACATCATACCCTACCCACAGGAGACATTCTGAGGCCAACTTCAATGATTCAAACACAGATGCCAACAGTCTCACCTTCTTTGCAACTACTGCTGCTGCCTAAGTTGTTGTCACTAACGTGGATGCTGCTGTTGTTGCTTACGACCTCAATGAAAGTTTCATTGATTCTCTTTCCCTTGGATTTCAAGCTCCTCCATTAGCTTTCCAGTCGTACTCAAAATATCACGATTACACAATGACTCATTTATATGTAGGAAAACGAGTCTACGTGAAATAGGTCGTCAGGGTCGAAGGCAACAAGAAATCAAGATACCCTGTACTCGTAGCCTGTGCTTGTAGCATAAACTTTTAGCATAAACTTCTCGTTACCGACAATGTGACAGGATCTCAACCAGTCCAGTCTGATTATAAACTATGCTAGAAGCTGTGATGTCATCAAGCCGAGGTAAAATGAAAAGGATTGGCTAATCGCGTATCTTACGACCATTCTGAATACCGTTAACTGGCTAGCTCTATTCGTGAGGTTTTCATTTTACTCACTCGCTAGTGCTCACAACAACGGTAAACAAAGAGATTTCATTGGATCACACCATGACAGATGGTATCTCCATTCGTTTTCTTATTAGCCAAGACTAAATTACTTTAGGCACCTCGTTCCATCATATACACTACCTTTAATAACGAGTAGTTGAGTGAAAAAAGAAAATTGTTAAAAAAATTCGGTATTCATTTCATGCAGAGCAGAGAAAAATGTCGAATATCAAATGAGTAAAAATCGTTAGCTTATTTCAATGATTGTAAAAGCCCAGAAACACGGATCAGAAAAAAAAGAGAAGAAGCAAGAAGCCCTTTGCATTTCTCAGGATCTGCCAATGCATTCATGAACGTTGCTTCTTCATAGTGGCAAAACAATGCAAAAGGATGGATATAATTGATTATAAAGATCCATAAAGATGTAAAAGATTTGCCCCAAAACTGAAAACATTTCCTTAAGTATCTTTCAAAGTATCTTCATTTTTCTCTGATCTTGAAAATAAACAAAGATTGTTAACTGTAAAGTCATTCCCTTTCCTTGCACAAAAAACAAAACACAGTTTCATTGCAACTAAAATAAAGATTTGAGACCATCGTTTCCATGCATTTTTTGTTAACTGTAAATAATTCAACAAGTTTGGATGTTTTCTGAGTTCTTCTACTTCCATAAATTTGAATTTTACCTGCTAGTCGATAGCAAACCACATATACTAAAAATATAACAGTGACTTGCGCTACTTACCAGTTGCTTGTGTAAATCTTCCTTGGTTTTCGCTTCATCGGCAGCTGATTTCATCTTTTCACGAAGATTCTTTATTTCGTTAATTTTGAGCTCGATCTCCGACTAAAGAAAGACAAAATAGAAAACATTAACACCTCCCCATTTATTTCAGCCTGTAGATTCATTCTTTTTTCGATCACTAAGTCGACAACATGTGATACTTGTCATTTTCCATGTCTTGTTTCAAATAAAGAAAGCAAAAAACCCATCTGTTCCAGGATTAGTGCCAAACCCGTGTTATTCTATAAAAGTTCTAGAAAAAAGATAGGCAGGGATAGAATTTTGACAAATAGTCATATTAATATCTTTCGTTAATAATTATTTCGCTGACAAAAAGGAAATCTCACACATTTCTTTAATGCTCAAATTCCACACTGTAATTCCACTACTCAAGCTTCAAGAACAAAACAGTGCTTAAAATTGACTGGATTTCCGGCGCTCAAAGCTCTGGAAAACTACGCCAGTACTTTCTTAAAGTGCCTGTGACATGATTTTCGTACTTTTGGGTTTTTTATATCTATTCTTATGTAAAAAGGCCTGTTATTTTCATTTCTGAGGTTAGTTTTTACGTTTTGTGAGAAATGAAGGAGTTATTGGCGATCTTCTACGCCAAAATTCGCCATCTTGGTTTTCAGAATGAGTAGACAGTAGACATTGCATATCAAATTGAACATATCTTCATTTCTAGGATAAGAAATCAACAGAACCTTACGATTTGAAAACGTATCCAAATAGACGTTATTACGAGAATTATAAAACAAGATTTTCATCAAAATCATTCTTTTTGGAGATATATTGAAATAGATAATGAGTACTTAGCAGGAATCTTCAATCACAACAAAACAAGATTGCAAATCACATGTGAAAGAGAAAATGCAAGCCAACTTACAACTTTAGATTCATTCGCAGCTTTGAGCTCCCTGTACTGCACAATTAAAGGTGCTCTGTGGGTTTCCCACTGTGATGCCAAGTTTAATAAACGTTGTGTACTGTTTTCCACTAGTTGCTGCAGTGGGAATAAAAAAGTGCGTGGTTATAGGTAACCTGTAGAATGTTGGCCAAAACAAAAACTTTTCCAAATGATTGAAAGGCAATCCTGGTAAGAAAATGAAGGAAATGAAGATGGGAAGAAATGAGGATGAGTACTAATAGAAATGGAAGATGGTGATGATTGAAGGAAATGAAGATGGGAGGTAAAATAAATGGAAGATGGTGATGATTGAAGGAAATGAAGATGAGAGGTAAAATAAATGGAAGATGATGATGATTGAAGGAAATGAAGATGAGAGGTAAAATAAATGGAAGATGATGGGAAGTGAGGGAAATGAAGATGGGAGGTAATATAAATGGAAGATGATGGGAAGTGAAGGAAATGAAGATGAGAGGTAATATAAATGGAAGATGATGGGAAGTGAAGGAAATGAAGAAGAGAGGTAACATAAATGGAAGATGATGCGGAGTGAAGGAAATGAAGATGGGAGGTAATATAAATGGAAGATGATGGGAAGTGAGGGAAATGAAGATGGGAGGTAAAATAAATGGAAGATGGTGATGAAGATTGGAGGTGGTGAAGATTGGAGGTGATGGGGCTGGGAGATAACGACGTTGAGAGGTGATGGGGACGGGAGGTGACAAGGATGGGAGGAAATGAAGAATGGAGGTAATGAAAATTGGAGGAAATAAAGATGGGTAGGTAAGAAAAAAATGGTTTCCTTTGACAATAATGTGCAAGAAAGGAAGATTCATAAAGGCTCTTGCGCAACCGGCATTACTGCCCCAGAAAACTGCACAAATTTCGCAAGCAGCCAGTCCTGGTTTCCATGCAGGTGAGGAATAGTGCTGGAACAAAAGAATTTTTATGCTATTTTTAAGCTTTAAGAGTTCATAATTCAGAAAGGATTTATTTTCAACGTAAGTATGCACGAGAACCCTGCAGCTGCGAATACGCGAGAATGCAAAGATGGTTGTTGGAAAAGCAGCAGTTTTCGCCGGGCGCGATATTGAACTGGTAAGAGTTTCGCCTTGCGTCAAACTTAGCGACTGGGTAGCCGAAGTGACAAGATATGCGTTTCGCATGTAGTGACATCGACAAATAGATACTGATAAAGGCGTTAAATCTCTACTTAAGCTAGCGTGGGTTCGTCACCCTGCAACAAATCAACGTTATGAAACATAGCAACAAACAACATGTGAATAATAATCAAAGTTATCTTGATGGTAACATTTACATAGATGATGTTTAGTTGTTTAACTGATAGAAACTGAGTTGATCTGAATACACATTTGATTTATGCCATCTGCCAGAAAACTTGTCTCTAGAATTTAATTTATTCTTGCTAGCCGAGAAAGAGAGAGTGCACGCACAGCCGACCCTAAGATCTTAACGCATATTTCTTCGTCTCTTCATTATAGGCAACTTTCGTCAAAAACATTGGATTTGATAAGAGTACGACAGACAATAAACCTTTAAAGCTTGAAAAGGTTCATTGAACCTTTCTAATTCAAAATATTTCACTTATTACAACATCTGTCTTATTACAACAGCGGCTTGCTGAACGAACGCCACCACAGACATCTCAAGTAGTCAGAATCCGAGATAAGAAAAAACGAAGAACATACATTCTTGGTAGAATTTATTTATTTTCCAAATCACACAAGCTAAAATACCAAAAATTATGCAAATACAAAATAAGCAATTTTTATGGACTCCCGGTAAAGATTTTAACTATATGTTTAAGTTTATCGTAACATTATCATACGAGCGCACTGAAACTTTCATTACGAACTAACTGTTATGAATAGGTATTTTGCAGAACCATGATCACCACATATCGGCGAATGCCTTTCCTTACTGTTTGAAATTTTCTGTTTAATATTCATAAGTCAGTAATTGTTCTGGTATCAGCGAAATCAGACAACAAAAACGAATTTTCTGAGGTCGATCGCGCTCACCGAGCAAATAATGATATGAAAATCACTGTTGACAGTTCCAGTAAAAAAAATTCCGGGCAGGTGTCAAAATATCAAGACACAAAAAATTATTAATCACTGGACCAGTCATTTAAGGAATTACTGAATACCAAGCAAATAAGACAACATTTTGGAGAATAACACTTTTCACACGATCATTTCAAAGTCATTGTGACTTACAAAAATGACTCTCGTTACAGCGAAAATCTGCTGGATAGGATCGTTTTGAATAATCAACTTTTTGTCTTTGCCAGTGCAATTTTGACGGCTCTATATACATTTGTTATGACAATAAGAATCCCGAGAGTACAAAACAGTGTACTGTCTTAATAACTGACCATTCAACAAATGAAGCATATAGAAGGGCTGTCATTCGACTGGTGTGCTTGTACAAAATATGTGTGCATGGGTGCATAACCTGGCTGTATGTGATTAAGCAGTTAATAGAAGCAGACTTCATAATTCTTATAAGAGTGCTTCACTATCTTGAAAGAATCTATCGTAGAGTTTTGGCGATGCACGTTCCAAAAAGGCAGGAAACTCTTCATACCTCCTACCCTTTTGCAGTTGTGCCAACCTCCACGATGTGTACATTGACAATATTCTCAAGACTTCATAACTGTCTCTCTTTATAACACTGACACCATTCCTTCTAACCTTGAGCATTTCCATGTTGCATTCACTCCTGTTGCGACCTTTCTGAATTGGCTCAATATAAACATTTAAGTCCATATTAAAGCTAACTTCCTTTATACATTTTTGTTCATTGCACTTTCCCAATGTTGATATATTTTGTCGATTATTTTCTGCTGCTGTGGTAGACATTGACCGTTTTCCCTTCTGGCTAGCTACTTCTGACAAAGAATTGGTTCGCGATCTTCTCCCCTTCTGATTGATCGCCTCTGATGAAGAGTTCCTCCTTGATCGCTTTCCTTTGCAAGACTCTAAGTCTGGATGGAATCCTTTCTTCGTACAATTCTCATCAATCATTTTGCAAGTATCTGGCATCTCTTAAAGAGATTGCGCTTCTTGATAGTCAATCACTTTACAGTTTATAGAGCACCTTTAACAGGTAATTGCAAAGTATCAGAGATTCTATTCTTCTTTAACCAAACGTTAACAACTTTCCAAGTTTAGAACAAATTTCAAAATTTGGAAAGAAGTTAAATTTCTGCCTCCAAATCCGAGTTATTGCTTCAATGGCTTTGTATGTATTTTCAAAGTCTTTCGTTACAAAGCTTTTCTCCTTGCTGTAAAACTAGTCAGCCAGAGCGCAGTGATCAGTTCTAATGACCTTCATGGGATGTAAACCAAGCAGGTCTATTTATCTTCATTGTCTCTTCTCATTACTAATGCATGCAGTCGAGGCCGAGATCCGCATTAGGAAATCCTGCGCAAAGCATGGCCATGCACTCTAATCCCAAACCACGTGACGTAAATTTAAGAATAAATAACAAACGCGCTGACTTTCATCAAAAAACTGCTTTTTTCTAAAGCTTTTCAGCAGTAAGATTAGCCCTTCTTAAGAAGTCATTTCACACGAAAAAAAACAAAAAGTTAGCATCGCTTGGTTGTTGTCGATTTCAAATGCTCAACGACTGATGATTATGTTGTTAATGGGCAAAGAAGCATGATGATGATGATGACGCCGATGGCGATGACATACACACCTATCGCCATATTTGGTCTGATATATAATCCTTACCTAATATACAACACAGAGCCATCGCATGCTAGGTCTACCTCTTTTAGGACAACCTTCCACGTTCTATCACCGCAAAAATTACACTTTAAGCCCATAACTGCTATTCCGTCTGAAAAATTGAATAGATTAAAGCACTGTCAGTTGATTTCTTTGCCTAACGAAAGTATTTGTTAACGAAAGTGTTTGTCGTTAGTTGGCTAGCGGAACTTCGTTGTCTGTTTTCCTTGCGATACATACGTTGAATCGAATCTTATCACGTCAATCTTCAGCATTATCATCAACGTTGCTGATCACTACATGATAACAAATGGTCACTGCTGAAAGAAAGCAGCAAATACAATCGAAATCTGAGGAAGTTCTAAGGCAGATTCACAAATCGCCACTGCAAGATAGTCTGCACTTTCGCGAGATAACGTTCACATAGAATGGCGAAAGAGATGATAGTACATTCAAAATCTTTTTCCATTTGCTGGGCAAGTCCACAATGATGACCGGTTTAATAATTATGTTTGGAAGGTTTCTCTTAAATAAACAAACAAGTCTCGAACCGATAGCACAGCCAGTGGTATAGCCAGGGTGGAAAGTATAGGGGGCAAATGAAGGGCCGCATGGGGTCCCGGGGCCATCTCCACAGAAAAATCAGCTTTGTCATTTGTATGGGTCAATGGCTGGTTGATAAAACACAATAAAAGTAACATGTCGACTGGCCCTTCTTCTCACGTTTAACATTCTGAATCATGCCGCGCAAGAAAATGAAAGATCGCATTCCAAGATTTCAGACTAAGCCCATTCTCCTAAAGTAAAATTTGAATTTTTGAAAAGTATTTGAAAAGTTTACAAGATTGGACTGGCGTTTATAATACCATCATCTTTGGGGATGCCTTCTAATACCTTGTCAACCCGCAGTTCGTATTAATTTTTCAGTTTGCAAATATGCTCAAAATCAATTATTTAGATGCATTTGCTGTTTTATTGACAATATTAAATCATCATCTGAGACTTATAAACAACATTATGGCCTATGTACTCATCCAGTTCAGAAGGAGATTCGAGATATCGGACGATTTTCATCCAAGATAAACAGAAGAAAATTATTCGAGATAGCCAATGTTCGAGGAAAGGGCAAGCGAGTTAGGGAATGTCAAGAGTATGCCTGGGAATATGTCTTGATTTTATTACTTTCGGTTGTTTTAGCCCTTGCTGGTTTTAATTTGCCTGCGAGATATCAGTTTGCAGTCACTCGACTGGCAGTCACTCTAATTGCAGTCACTTCGCTAAAGATCCCACTGCCTGTTACAGCAACATTATATTTTGACCCAAATACGCAAGACTGCTTACATTCATACTCCGCTTACATTCACAACTTTTCAAGATATATTTTGGGTGGCTGTAACTGGATAGGGTCTACTGTAGTTGGAAATCAATCCCTGGAAATCCATCCGTGTGATACAGATTGTCTGGCTTTGACAATCCGCTAAGCGGCTCGTTTTCGGTAGGAATGCAATGGATTTTGCATGCAAAAGGAATAACATGACTATTCTAGAAGCAATAGGAAAAGGAAAAGGAAAAGGAAGGTACAGTAGACTACGGCTATAATCATACCACATGCAAGTTGAAAAATCGCGACTGTAAAACAAATGAGACTGCAAACTGTGCTTAACTGAGTAGCTTTGCATATTTGGGTTCAAGCGGAGTAGCTGGAAGCGGGTTCATTTGTTAATGTTTAATCGATTGTTGTGGAGGATTCACATCACAGAGCCGCACTAACATTTAAGGGCCCCGTGCCAATGCATAGACGGTGTCTCTCTACTAGCAAGTGTGAAAGTCTGAACATTTTATTTGCAGAAACTGAGATAAAAGAAATTTCAATAGTCCTGAAAAAATCAATTGAAAGCTAAAAACTTTGTCCCTGTAGCTACAAAAAATTCAATCAACGAGTCGTACAAATACATTCATTATTGGAAAATTATAATCTTTTTCCTAATTTTTATATTTAAAAGTATATGTCCTTAATCATAGTAATACTTTTCGATTTACTTACTACCCGAGGTGGCAACATGCTTACAGTTCGCTGGGAATTGCACTCTTCGAAGCAATCTTCCCTGCACAACATAATGGATGGGTATTCTACAGAACGGGACAAAGTCTAAAACATCTGTGGTTGGGACAAATACTTGATATCGGAACTAATTGGGACGGCTGGGTGTCGTAAATAGAAAAGGAGAGCAATAACTGATATTTTTATCACGCCTTGGTCCAACATTACTAAGAAAAGACACTAATCCTGAAATTGTTTCTAGGACAAATGACCTTGGGTCATGACCTTGGTGCAGTAGCTTTTTGTACTTCAGCCTTATGTGCTCCTTGCATGAACATTCAAAAATCATTTTCAATGGTTTCACCGACCATATTATCGTTATCGTCCAAATTTTTTCACTTTATCTGTTAGCAGATTAGGTAATATCATCGTCTCTAAATGCTCCAAAAATGTTTCCTTTGTCTTGGCCCTATCCTATAAAATCTTGGGTATTTCCCAAATATAATCAAAAAGGTCTCGAGCGAAGTCCACGTTTCCGATGTTCTCTCAAAGTAAGGTGATATAATTCAGTACTTGAAGCCTTGAATAAACGACTTTCATTTCATATAAAGCCGATGGGACCGAAGGGCCTCATGGGAAGTGCGGCTCTGAGGATTCACCCAATCCCTGTTGAACAACACGACAATATTGTCCCGCACGATAACACGTCAGAGAAAACGCAACAAAAAGGAAACAAACCTCTAGTTTGACGATATTGTTCTCGGCATCCGGAAGGAGATCGATGGTTCGCTTTTTGACACGATAAGAGTCTTCAAGGTCTTTGCTTTTTGTGTCTGATGCTTGCTCGAGTTCTTTCACCTGACAGACGAAGAGCACCTTTATTAAAAACGGAGAACGGCCAAGTAGGAGAAATGACAACTTAAGAACCATTTTCGTGAACAAAGATCTCTAATACTTTAAGAATATCATCTTTGAGCTCTTGTTTAAGCTGATAATAAATAATCAAAGTCTCGTGAGCGATCTGTAAGTGGAAGATGTGTCTGTGATTGAGGACAATATTCCAAGGCCAGCATGTTGAAGTAATACATCTAGTTTGTAACTCGCTAATTTCAGTCTTTTCATTGGCGCAATAGGGGTATGAATATGCTACTGCCTGGATACTAAGCGAGTCTGGACTCCTGCGACCCTTCAGTCGCGTGAACCAGCAATTTGGCTACTTTGCTAAAGAGATGCGAGCACCGAAAAGACTTGCACTGCAGTTGTGTGCCTAGTTATTGGGGAAGCGATGACTACAAATTACTGGGTTTCTCTTAAGAGAAGCAAAATACAAAGGAACATGTACGGTCTCACGGCAAAATTCTATCAGAGCAAACTTTCACTATCTAACACACGGGACAAGTCCTCTTTAAAAAATATGGACGGCATTTTGCTGAATGATTTGCAAAAAAGCTTGAGTTGAAAGTCTAGACGGTGAAGACAGTGTGAAGTTACTGGAAGGTATGGTGGGATGAACCTGGCTAAATTGACGATTGCCCTGTAGACTATAAGAGAGGGAATGGGTACTTAAAGTAACTAGAAAAGAAAATATTTTGGAACTAACACAAATACTAGGGAAATAGAGCAACCAACCAGCATATTGAAGCTCAAGTCACCCAAAAAAATTCAAAATTAAAAACAAGGTTATACAGCAGATACAAGTAATAATACAAAGGTGTTGACAATTATTTGAATAATGAATGCAACAAAAAAGGCCGCATTTCATATTGGCTGGTAGCTTTATTCGATTAGCCGGGTTACAAAAATCAAAACAAATGCACAGAAATAGCAAAAGGGCCATAATAAGCTCTAACCCAGTCTAATTTCAGTGATAGAAAAAATTTCAGTCTCTAATAAGAGACTGGTTTTCCAGACAAGAGGCGTAATTCATATAATTGCAACTTGAAACCCACAACAAAATGGACATATTAAGGAGTTTCAGACAAATATCTTTGTAACGTTTTAGAAAGGAATTAGAAGCTTCGTACATGATTTGAATTCGCCTGAGTCTGTTTAATCTCAAGGTGAAGTTTTTCGATTTGGGACGTCATTTCTTGGAACTGACTTTTCAATGAAGAGATCTCTTCTTCCCTTTTCTGCTGCTTTTCCTACAAAGAATATGAACATGGAGTAGTGGGAATGTAGAAAATAAAACTGACTCTATCTAAATAAAACTCTATCTTTTCGATTAAAATATTCAAAAAAACTTGACTTGACGACCTAGAATAGACAATTTCATCATGAATAGCAAAACCATTGCAGTATTTAGAACATTTTCCACGATTGACGCACCGATTCGATGCGATTTTCAAGAACGACTGACATTGACATCTTAAAAATGGGAACAACTTTGTAGAGTACAAAAATGAACATACTTATGGTTGAGAATGATGCAAATATTTTTCAAAGCTTTTCACTATGAAGACCCACTTGCATTTTTTCAGTACTCGCACCTTCCTCAGTCCTTCAACCCCATTATAAGTAATTGAGATGGAGTTTAGGTTAGGTGCACGGTTTAAATGTTCTTGACAGTTCCACGACATATGCTACATTTAATCTATCATTTTCTTAAGGGAGGAAGACTTGAATGCAATGTCAAAAGTCTGCATAATTTACATTGGGCATTTTTAAAATCCTTACTTTCATTGCTCATTTAGTTTGGAACCTTTTTTGAATAAAAATTGCACGACAATGAATAACAGAAATTAAGACAAATTTAAGAACGTAATTTAGTTTCTATGCAAAAGACTTTTGGCATAATGTGACCAGATCAAAATGAATGCAGCAACAATCCCAAAATCATGCAAAACTTCACCGCATTTGCAAGCTAACCTGTATGCTATTTGCCATATATATTGATATGCTTGATGCATAAATATCTTTAGTGGCTTGGAGACTAATCGTTAGACAGATTCTGATGACGTCCATCACAGTTGAGAGAACCACGTTCTTTTCAGATGCAAATTTCGATTCACAAATACTTCAAGACCACTGACGATGTTGGATTACCAATGCAATCATACAACGAGGGCTTATCGCAGCGAATTATATTGCATAAGAGCAAAGAAAATTTATTGAAGACAGCCGAGCAGCGTTGTCTTGGTTATGTTCGAGATAAGAATAAATCTTAAGGGCTTGAGGTGAAATGCTTTCTGTACGCTGAAGTTTTCCTAGCAAAAGCGACCAAGAAGCTTGAGAGATAGATGGGTCTTGCGAAAATCAATCCGATTCTTGATAAGAACTTTGTATCACATTGATATTCAATCTAGAGGACTAGAGCGATCCAAAGGACAACGAGTAGGGGACTCATGATTTTCAACGTTGACTATTTTCACCAACCTCTTCGGTTTCTTCTTCATCTTTAACCTTTTGCTGTGACGCATCGGTAACTATCTTTTCATCATCCTAAACATAAGATTTTTGCATGATTCACTCAAAAAATTAGGCAAACAATATACCTACAGCGATACGTATGAAATATTGAAAAGAGAATCAGTATCTAGGAGAAATGGCAAATGTGAGAGGTGGCATTCAGAGGAAGCAAGTTCTTAATCTGAAAAAGATTTAACATAAAAAACCTAATTGTTCCTTGCACTTATTTGTAACGAAAACAGGTACATACTTGGGCAAACTGCAACTTCTCTGCGTGTGTAAACCGTGAACCTTTTACTTGTGATTTTGAATCACTACCTTTAATAGCAACAGAAAGCATATTGTGAGTTTAAAATAAGTCTGATAAAAGTCTACTTAGATCGTATCCTTAAACAGTAATCTGCTCCAACAATATGACAAAACTTCATACCATAATCAACAAAATCAACAAAATACAATTTTCTTGTTCCAAGAACAAGTTGTAATTGTGATAATTGCTGTTTTTGATGTTAATGCAGTTGCTGCTGTCGTTTTTAGACGGTATTCCTTTGAAATTCTAATGCTATCACAATAAAAAAAGTCAGAAAAGTTAGGATTGAAAACGTAGGAAGGGTTCTATCAGGTGAAAAGGAAATTGCAAATAGAAAACCAAAATTTAAAAAGGTGATTTATGAGTTTTTGTTTCTAAATCTGCATGAAAAGATTTGTCTCATTTTCCAAACATACTTATGCACCCATCGCTTTTCCTGGACCCATCGCCGATTTGACATTTTGCATGAATCGGCAAACGTAATTGTTTGTCACTTGCCAGAGCATTTTTTGACATACTCACTGGTGGGGGAATCGCCCCACTGGGCCCTACGAATTCTCCCACCACTGAGGAGCAAAATGCCACTATCGGCCCTTTTCAGAAGAAAATAATGTAAATGATGGCAAATAGGAGCAGAATCTTATCTTTTCAAACATCATGATGTTTTGGTAAAATGGCCTCACTCCTGCAAGTGCAAACTGTAGAACAAGCTATGCCCTCAGTCTGGAAGACATCCAGATTCTTTACTGCAAATTTTTTAATATTCATATATTTGCTTGAATGGTTTCTGATCTAAAAAATTTCATAAAAAGCTTCCAATTTTGTTCACAAAAACATTCTAGATTGTCAAATCTTGAAGCCTGCCTAAAGACTCAATCCTAAGAAAAGTAGTAGGAAACAGCATGTCATAGAAATTTTGCTAAATGTAATAAATTGCAAATAAGGCAAAGATTTGAATTCCGCATCCATACCAAATTCCAAATTAAAAATTCCGCATTCCATGCTAAATTGCTAACTTATCTTAGCAAATGTCTTCATAATCGTCTTATGATACATACAACTCATCAAGCCCTTGCAACAAACCCGAATCCTTAAGCATAAGAAGAAGCATAATGCAATCTAAAGCACCTCTTCATAAACCCCATACAATTTCATGAGGTGAACATCGGCCCTTTTGAAAATTTCCCCACCACTCAAAAATCCTTAAAAATGCCCAGTTGCTTAATTTGAACTGCTGATTCTTATGATCTGTAAACCCTTTTTTCTTGTTTACCATAAGGCAGCAATCAACGGGTGCTGACGCCTTAAACTCACCTGCCATTGATGCCAGTAGCTCACTCAGATCCTGAGAGGAAGGTGTTGGAGTTCCGTCTGATTTCTGCACTACCTTTTGCATTTCTTCCTTCATTTTCTTCATTAGCTTTTCCTTCTTCTGTTTTTTGTATTCCTTTTAAATAAAAGTATAAAATCTTGTAAAGTATAAAATTATATCAGGCATTTAATAACAAAACAGTCTTCAAAAGCATTTTAACACACTTTTAATCTGAAATGCTTTAAAAACGGTAGTGATAAAGCAAACACTTTGAAATACGCTAGACACTCTTCAAAGTATTAACGCCCGAATAATCAAACATTTCTACGCTAGGAAATAAATATACCCAGTTGTGGTTGAAAATAGGCCAATCAGAAAAAGCGAGCAAATAACTGATCGGGTTGATCAATCAGTGCCGCTTACCTATCTGAAATATAACCTATGGAGTCAAAGGGTAAAATTGAACTCCTTCGGTTTACACAATAGCATCCTTTTCATTTTTGTACATCAATTCTAAAACTGCTAGGTGGAACAACTACCGAGCTCTGCCTATTTAAAAAAATGTTGTGGTTTGTGTCTGTCTACTGTGTGCAGAATTTGACAGGAGGCTAGTTTTCCTGCAAATTGTAGGATCTGTAAGCCTAAAAAGGTTTGCTGTGAAGGCAAAAAAGGTGCAAAAAGTAACATATCATCTGTGTGGTCCTGCTCATGAAACTGCAATCAAAAGAAAAAGAAAAACATTCCTTGGGAGCAAAAAAGATTATAGACATCCATGGATGCAAGTTATAAAATCTAGCAACGCAACTGTTTTGCAAACATTGACATTTATATTGACTGCGAACATTTAGCACTTGCTGCGTAGTCAAGGCCTTGAAGATCGTTAGCTGCCCTGCATGCTGAGCAACAGCTGAAGTGTGAAGGCTCACGAGAGTGCTTTCCAAGCTTCCACCTGTTGAGGTCTACAGGGGGCCAATATACTATACAGAAAAGGTGGATCTGTTAGGAAAAACAAGAACCAACACCGGAAGATCTTGCAAGAATGGAATAAAGTGTTATGTAAAATTGATTTTTACAGTTAACTAGGTTCTGTAAGTAGGTTGGTAGATTGAAAGTTGAGAAATTTTTAAAAGAATACTTCATAAAAAAATATCGTTTTGTTTTGGGTTTCCTGAGGCTAAAGAGCATCAAACTGGATCCCCCAGATGTACGATAGTTTATGCCGGGTAGGAAGTAAAACGCTTTTTGAAGATTATGTGATTGGAGGTATTTCTTGTGGCCAAAGTGAGGTCCCCTTTTTGAAATTCATCTTCTTTGTTCTGATTCTCTAAAAGACGCCCTGCCATCAAGACTGACAGGGGCACAAATCATAGAATGAGCACTGCTAGCCAACGTTGATCCAAATAAAGCTCTCTTTACCTGTTCTGACAGCCTGCTGCTAAGGCCTGCCTGGTTCCACTCACTCTCCCACTCAGCGGCTGCCACATTCATCGCAGTATTCATACTCAGCAATGAAAACGCGACATCTCTTTCTTGTGGTACTTGGTCAATCACAAGTGGCAAATGCTTATCATAATATAACTTCAGGTCTAAATTGATGAAACAGAAGAAAGCACAAATTTGTAAAATTTCAAACAAATTAGCGAATTTGTTCATAAAAAATGTGCTTAAAATATTTACTTTCTATTCATTGAACCCTAAACCCATCAAACAATAATTTCTACATAATATCTTTGTAAATGAAGAGTTCGTGACGAACTAGAATTCGTTGCAACGCAAGTTCTTTTGAGTTACTTTTATTCATTACCAGATGCTTATTGACGCGAATGAACAATCTTACCTTTAGGCAGCTTTTTCTCAATATCACCAAGTCCTTTAGGTGCATTCAAAATGGCAGAGTTCGGTGCGAAATGCGAAGATGTTCCCTTGGAGAGATGGAAATAATCAAGAAGGCAGTTGCCAAAAAAGAAACGTTTTGCCTGCTAGCATAGGCTGCCTAAAGATGATTCACGCATCTTATCAATAATCAGTAACTTCCCCTACGGGGTACGCTATACGCAAACATTACCAAGGTGGCAAACTGCATTTAACAACTGCATTTAGCAACTGCATTTTAGCAACTGTATTTTAACAACTGCATTTTAGCAACTGCATTTTAGCAACTGCATTTTAGCACCATTTTGATGATTCCCAAGCAGGAGAACTTATATTTGTCTTTTAGATAAGCAGTTGAGAGAAGCATTGATGAAATCATATCAAAAAAATGTGTTTCCTTTTTCCACAAAATGTTGACTCACTAACAGATATTCTGCAATTTAAACAATAAAGCAATAGTTTGATTTGCAAACAGAACAGGACCAGGCTTTCGTTTCCACCTTTTTATCAGTCAAGAGAACATACTGATGTTATGAAGCCACATTCCTCGTACTTTTGTTCCTTTTGGGAAAACTATCGTTCTCTTGAAAGAGCAACTTACAAAATATTCAAAACAAATTGCAAGGGTCCTTGCAAATAGTAACTAAAATTGCAAAATGCAGCAGTTATGCCACAACAAGACGTTCTAAGCAAGAAATCTGTCATACTGATTGCCTGATGAGTTTGGCCTAGGCTGGGTGTCTTTTGCATTTCGACAAAAATCCTGTTGCAGACATAAATAAAATAGACATGGTTGTAAATTTAACTGAACAGGCAGCATTGCACTACCCTGTTAAAAAGTCACATATTTATACTGCTAAAGCTCTTGGTGGAATGATGTGGTTTTGGATATTCTGGAGACTAAAGCATGATTGGGGACATTTTGTTGGTCATCATGAAGAAGTATTTGCTGGCATAGAAGAGTGCAAAAGAAAAATCTTAGCAAGTCAAAAGAAACTACAGAATGAATGAAGACATAGCCTCATTAAAAATTGGGCAAGACATTTAATTTTGTTTTCTGTTTGTATGCAAGAGTGTTTAATATTGCCGGTGTACGCCAGCCAATTGATATTGAAATAAACACTGGTGCACTTATCTGTGTGAATACAATACCTTCCAGCATCCATTTACATTACCCATTTATTGCAATGGCTACATACACATAACCTTTTTCCAATTTCAGAGCTGACTTGAAAATTATATTTAAAAAGGCCTTACCAGTGAATGCCATAGTCTTGGTTTACTGCCCTGCCAAACTATATTTCTGTCCGTGCAATATGCTGGCATCCAAGTGATGCTCATTTGCCTTTTAATCTCTGCAGCTATTCTTTGGTTCAGAAGCACAGAAGCCCCTATAACAGGACACATGATAGCAGCATAATATCAAAAAGGGGATGTTCAGTTACAACTCTTCCTAAAGACGAAAGCTTGATAACAGAATATTTCAACCATTTCATTTGACCTTGGCATTCAAAAGATTACTTTTTCAACCCTTTTGAAGCTTTTCTATCACACACATAAAAAGGAGTATATCAAAAAAGGCAAAAGATTATGTTTAAAACACTCAGAACTTTGTAGCATCTAATTAATAAAAAATAACTACAATTTTCTTTGCTCTTTGCTACAAAATTCAAAGTTTGAGATAATAAACCCTTTCAAATTAAACAAAATACATTGCTTGTAAATCTATCTACCTAATGGCTCATCTTCAACTTCAGATGTGTCTTTTGGAAGTTTTTCAATAAGAAACATGATGACTTTCCTGAGTTCATGTTCATTTGAATATAGAAATGTTTGATAACCAATTTCTCCTGGGTACCCAAGGTCCTACAAAATAATTTGAGCAAATATTATACAAAAACATTTGGGAACACAATAGCAGTGGCAGTTTAGGGGGCCCACAGGGTCACGGCCCAAGGATCTACACTTATGGAAGCCAGAAGAGGCCCTACACGTAAAAAATTGTCAAGAAAAAAGGCACTGCAGATTTTTTACCCCAGACCCTGAAGCCCCAAAACTACCAGAAGTACATGTTTCCTCCTTACAGACAACCTATTTTAGTTTGTTTTGCCTTGCATAACCCTAATGGTATATAACGTCTCAAGTTGTCAACAAAATGATAGTGAGAAGCATCTGGCACTATAAAAGGAAAAAAGTGAAGTTCAGGTTTGGTAAGATGCAATACCTGACATGCTGCAGCCAAACCTGCTCCAATCCTGAATCTTGCTGACATACTCCCTGGCAAAGATGTTGGAAGATTTGCACCTTCATTGATCAAATTCAAGCATCTTGAGGCTGCTTCAATTACAAGATTAGCAGTGAATTCTCTTATGGTCTGAAGCTCCTGTGGTATTTCACTATAGACAAAAAATGATTTTCTTCATAATATCTAGTAGCTGGGAAAAATTAACTAATGCATAAAATATAGCTGCTTCCTTTTTGGTAATCCTTTTTTACAGGCCTTTTTGCAAAGGGATTTCCAGGAGAATGACAAACTGCCCACATGGATCAGCTTTCATGCAGGCACACCATGACTTTTATGCACAGACAATTAGAAAATATGTTAAATTTGACTAGCTAAGTAAAAACACAAGAGAGGCTCCTCTGTAACAGTCTTACGACATTTCTCCAAATAGATCAATAGGTCTTTCTATTATATCATTCTTTCCATCAGAAGCTTTTGGTATTCTTGCTTATTATCAATGTTTGTTGTTCTTGCTTATGAGTAACCAATGATTTTGTTCAGCAAAAAGGACTTGAGCAAAATCTTTGAAAATGTGTTTTTATATGCCAAAATCTCAGAAAAGTGTTCATTGCTTTTGAATATATGTGAATTTAATGATAGCAATAGCAACAATAGTGCCATTTGTCACTAACTTTCTCTAAGTGTTGCTCCTTGTTTCCCACATGGGTAAGAAATGTTTTTGCAAGAGCGGCCATTGCATCAGAAGCCTCCTTAGCTGATGCATAGGGTTTTATCTTATTTGTAAATTTCGCTGCCTTGCTATCAAAATCTTAGAATGACTGGCAAGAGATCATCATTTCCATACACGTTGAGAAAAAAAATTAAGTTGAAAAATAAGAAAGTATAAAATAGAAAGATTTTATGCTGTTGTAAAAAGGTGATGTTTGAACCATTTTTCACTATTCTTGTGAATAGGGGGCAAAGAAACATTAGAGCAGCTTAAACAGAGGAAAAGAGGGGGATATTAAGAAGATAGCGAGGTGAATAAAGACAGGTTACAACAGCCTGCTGAAGAAAGGAGATATGTTCTAGAAAGAGTGGGGAAATATAGTGTGAAAGAATCCGATCATAATACAATGGTGCTTGACTTTAACTTCAGGAAAAAGGATGTCTATAGCCAAAATCCTCAAAAGGAACAAGGGCACTGGGTCTTATCAAGTGACTCACTTAAGGAATTTGATAGACAAGTGAAAATTAACAAAATAGAAAATGTTTGGGATCAAAACAAACCAGTAAATGTCCTATATAAAGAGTGGAAAAGGAAAATATATGAAATTATGGCAAAATGCTTTAAGAAAAGGTACAACAGAAATAAGCACCATGTTGCAATGTAGGGAACTGATAAAGAAGAAAAGAGAGTTAAAACAGAAACTAAGTGAAGCTATCAAAAAAGAAGACAATTTGAGGGAAAGTGTTTTGAAGATAAGAATCAAACACTTGAACAACCAACTAGTGAGGACAGAGAATGAGAGTAAAGATATTAGGATGAAAGCAAACATTGAAAAGTTAAGTAGGGCTGCTGTGCAAAGCTCAGAATTTTATAAGATAAGGGCCAAAATCTTAGGAAGAAAAGCAGACTGCCCAACTGCTGTAATCAATGAGCAAGGAAAGGAATTAGTTGAACAAAATGAAATACTTGAGGAGCATGAAACCTACTTTGAGAAATTACTCACCAATAGAGAGCCAGATGAAAAATATAAAAATCATGTAAGATCAGTTGATAAGCTATTTGCCAAAGTAATACAATCCCAGAAGGGACAAAAGAAGAGATATGATGCCCCTTTTGAAATATGGGAACTGGAAAAAGTACTTAAAAGCCTGAAAATAAAGAAATCCCCAGGGGTTGACTCCATAAGTAATGAAATTTATACAAGTTCAGGCTATGAGTTTAAAAACTCTGTGTTGAAAGCAATTAACAAGGTTTTCACCACTGGTCAGCCCCCAAAGGATTGGAAGAAAATAATTGTTAGAACAATTTATAAGAAAAAAGGGAATAGAAAGGCAATAAAAAACTGGAGAGGTATATTTCTAACAGTAAGCATAAGTAAGATCTACGAAAAATTAATGCTTAATAGACAGATCAATGTTATTGAGAAAGGGTTTTCAGAGGCAGCCGCAGGAGGAAGAAAGGGTAGGTCAACATTAGATCATTTGTTTATTTGGCAAGCAATAAACGATTATTACAAATATCTAAAATGCTCAGTGAAGTTTGTGTACCTGGACCTAGAGAAGGCTTTTGATAAGCTGTGGCTAAAGTCTTGCATCATAGATATGTATAGAAGTGGGGTGAAAGGAAACTTTCTTAAAAATGTCTACGAATTAAACAATGTCCATGATTGCCTAGCGTCCTAGGATACATTCAAATCCACACACCTAGTGGAATTACAAGACAGGTTAGAATTAAAGAAAATTTAAAACAAGGAACTATCTTGGCAGCCCCCATCTGTGCCAATCATATTGATAAAGGTATGCAAATAGTAAAAAGAGAAAACCTAGGAATTAACTTTGGGAACATTTTGATACCTCCACTACTTTACCAGGATGATATATTAATTGCTTCCATATCTCACAAGAAAATGCAGGAAATGATTACTATTGCTGAAGAGTTTCAAAAGAAAAACCTTTTGAATTTCAACTTGGATAAAAGTGAACAAATGATCATGCAATATAGCAAAAGTAAAAAATTCCAAAAAGAAACTTTAATTTTAAATGGCCAAGTTATTAAAGAAGTAGAATCATATAAATATCTAGGAGACTTGAAAAATAACAAAGGAACCTTGGATTTGTGCATCAGTAAACGAATCAACACTGCCTTGGGAGTTATTAAAGAAATAAAATTCCTTATTAAACAGGAGGCACTCAAGAAACAAAGTTTTGCAATCAGTATCAAACTGATTGAAGCAATTTTGATGCCAAAAGTTCTGTACGCATGTGAAACATGGACTAACGCAACTAATAAGCAATTTAAAAACTTAGAAAAATTGCAAAAAGATGCAGTAACAATAATTAACTCTCTACCCCAATCAATGTCATATGATGGAATAGTCCTTGAATGTGGCCTGATGCCTATGGAATTTAGAATAAAAGAGAAAAGATTAATATACTTCCATAAGGTATTAAACATGAACGAAAGTAGATTGACCAAGATAGTTTATGAAGAGCAAAAACGTTTAAATTTCCCAAACTGTTGGTATAAAGAAGTGATTAGTGACATAAAACTGATTGATATTAACCTCAAAGAAAATCAGATCAAAAATTTAACCAAAGAACAGTGGAAAAAAGTTGTTAGAGAAAAAATGATCATAATCATAGAGAATAACATTAGAAATAATAGTAAGACTAAACTTAGATTTATCAAGGGTAGTAAATTTGAAATGAAAGAGTATCTGGGGTGTGAAGACGCGTCATCCCTGCTGAAATTAAAACTAAACATGGTTGACTTAAGAGCGAACTACAAAGGAAAGTACTCTGATTCTCTTTGCAGAAGATGTGGGGCCCATGAGGAATATATTGAACACTTATGGGATTGCCCAAGTTTTTATCAAAAACCCAAGATGGAAAAAACATGTTTAGCTACAAATAATTCAAAAATTCTTAAAAGTATCAACAACACCCTTCAAAAATTTCTTACCAATGGATGAAATAGAAATAAAAAGATTGGCTAAAATTATAGCACCAGCTTGTGATACCCAGTAGTTGGGTAACTGCTCCGAAATGGAGATTTAGCTTCAATTATTATTATTATTATAGGGTGCATTCAATGTAATGAATCCCAAAGATTTTCAGAGTGAAGTTACGTTTTTGGTGTGGCATTATCATGAGATAAGCATCCTCTGGCTTTTCCTGTGATTTCATATGAATTCAATACTAATTTTTACATAGTGGGTTTCAAACCAGCGTGAAAAGTTATTTCTAAGGCACAACAATCCATCATTACTTGCCTGAGAAATATGGGGGGAGGGTGGTTTGGTTGGCATAATGTTCTTTGTTCAATTTGTATGGCAATTGACCTTGGCGTACACCTGGCCTATCCTTGGTGTACCTTCGGTGTGTAGTTTAGATGGAATGCAGCCTGGAGAGTCTGGGTGGACCAGGTCCAGTCTGCAGAGTAAGGCACTTTTCGACGAGATCTCCGGTGTGCACGAGCAAAAAGCCTGGTGTGACGGTGTGCACCACCAAAAATGTCTGGTGTGCTGGTGTGCACCGACTATTTTTCCCTGTTGTGGTTAAAATTTGTGAATTTGCATTTCACCGTAAAAAGGCGTGTGAAGTACACTGTTGAAAATAGCCCAAGTTTTTACTTTTATATTTGTCAAGTAAGATTCATGATATCTTAAATTGTTCATACACAACTGTGCTTGTTTTTATCAGCTGACATTTTCTATGGGACCACACCAAGCCACACCCATCTTAGTTGCCACACCCAAAAATATGGGTGTGCAACAGGTTTTGCACAAAAATATCTCCGGTGTGCATATGCCATACTCTGCAGACTGGGACCAGGTTGCATCTTGTATGATTTTGACGACTTGTCACTTCGACAAACGGCACTTTCAGCTGCGATTAATACCAATTTTAAACTCCCTGCTATGCAATACAGATAAACCGACCCTGTCAGCCTTGATCGAGTCTGACCCATTGAAACTTGCTTTTATGTTACATGTAGATAGACCTAGAACTATGTAGGGCCTACACACAACATTTATGTGTGCTTTGAATGTGTATCACTTATGAAAACTCACCATCCAACCTGTCTCAATGAATGAATAATTATTTTGTCTACTTCTTCCATCCTTTTTGTTTTTGGTTTTATTCAAGACGCACTTTATTTTTCTGCAATCGGCTTCCGACAATCTAGTATAGTGCTTGGGTCACTTCCCCCTTAATTTTCACGGTTGACGAAAAATAACATGCCTCAGTTTGAGGTAGTAAATAAAGTATAATTTATGTCAAAATAAATTACGTAAACTTCTATGCTGCCATCTTTAAACATTCGGTAGTAGCTCTTTTAAGATACGATTAACGAAGATGGAGAATTCTGACGCTGGTCCAGTTCATGAGCATGACTTGTTAAAGTAGGCTTCTTTAATGAAAATTTTTTAACCTTCTCCCAAATCCACTAAATACTTCTTTTATAAAAGTTTAGCTGCAATTCAAAAGCACAATTTATGAAAAGTAATGAGAATGATCAAAACTGATATGGTCTTAACCTTTAACTTGGACTCCTTTTGGCAGCAGACACTTATTTTTGCATTGTCAGCAACCAATTGATAAAATTTCTATCTGTTGGGGCATACACTACAAGGTATTTAGCACTTGATTTCAAATCATATATTCAGCTTAAACAATGATATTGTAAGGTTAGCAACTGTTACATTACTTGTAAAGGAAAACCATCTTGCTTTCTGTAAAACTTATGTAGAAGAAAATGTTTTATTATATTACTATTTTTGTCATCATTAGATAACAGTTTGCCTCATAGCTTGGTATCTCTATTCTTGAGTACTGTGTGCTTTATATGTGGAACCCTGTCTGACAGAAAGATACACAAGGTGTTACTCCAGTTTTAACATCCAGTATCTCTTCTCACTAATGTTTGTGGCAGCAGAAACATTTTCTCATAGCAAAACCAATTACGGTGGTTGTTAGGAGGGTGGGCATATTTTATCTGTCCCCAATTCCCGAAGACTTTAATACTTATTTTCCCAAGGAGCAATGATTTCCAAGGATATCCAAAGATTTTCAGAAAAAACAATGGGATTTCCACGAAAGGTGTACGAGATTTTCATGGAGTGATTTGTACCCCTCGATTTTTCCAATTGGTACTTTCATGTCAAGTGTATTGATGCGGAATAGCTGATAAGAACTAGAAATAAATGAAGAAAATTTCACTGTGACAATAGTCTCTTGCCTCTCCACCGAGGTTATCAGGCTAAGCGGAGGAGAAATCATATGCCTGTTATATGCGGAGGAGAACTATCATGAATTATCTCTCACCTCAAACTGAGGCATGTTATTTTTCATCTACCAATTTTCACAGATCAAAATATTGAAGTGGATAGCTTCATGACGAGGCTCCTGAACATTTCTAATCCGAGTCACATCCAGGAAAGTTGGTTGTTTGGTTGGGGGTCCGTTTCCTTGTCCCCGCTACTTTTCAGATTGTTGTTAATCGTTGTCAAAATTGTTAGTCCATGTAATGACGTGTTTTTTCACTTCTTGTTTTCATATTTGTTACAACAGATGATAGTGTTTCCATGCAAGCAGAGGAAATAGTTCGTTTACCAAAAAATGAAAATATTACTTTATGGTCCTGCATCCTGGAATTCTTATTCAAGTAATCTTTAGGTCACTTTGAAACTAACTGCATTTTGAAAATGAAGTGCATCAGGTTGTATGGAAACACCACGATCAAACTGCAATGAATGATCACTCTTAATGGTAAGACGTATGATATTAGAGAAAATATTGAAATACTGAAAATACAAAAATTGCTTAAAGTGAGATTATTTGTCAGCAATATTCTTCAAATGATTGACACTAACGATTCTTTACAATTATTGGAATATTACTGTCTAGATCCTAGCAGCCAGGAGATCCTAACATTCGGGCAAGAGTGTTTTTTATACACAGTCTAAAAAAGTACATTTTACAAGAATAAGATTACAAAGACGATGCCAATGGGAGCATGATAGGCATGGCTACCCATTGTCCTTAACAAAAAACAATACAGTAGCACAAAAGGCTATACCAAAATCCTGTTTAGACCGTGCGGATAGCTGGTTCGACAAAAAGACAAAGAAGCTACAACTTGAAAAGAATGACAAAAACTGGACAAGATTTTGTGTGGTCTTTAGTGCTGTTTCTACATTACTACACATTTAATGCTAAAAGATAAATAAAGAAGGATGAAATTCTAGATAAGTTAAACTATTGTGGTATTATCTGGTGCTACAAGAAACGTTCTGATGTATGAATGAATTTTAGCGTTGATTCCAAAATTTTTTTTATTTTCACTATGTGAAAATCTTTTGTCACCATACAACATAATATGCACAAGGGTTTGATTTGACAGGTTTGAAATGCTATTTAATTGTAATATTTTGTTTATCGCTCCAAGGAGATCACACCTTCGAACATCAAATGCATGGCAGTGCAGCAAGAAGTGTTCAGTATCCTCACTTAAAGAAGAGAATTAGACGCCTACTCCACCTTCTATCATTTAAAGATTCCCAGCCAAGCTCCTCGTATATTTTATTTCTCGCAGTACCTTTCCATGCATCTGTTATAGCTAAGCCAGCAGAATACTGGAATGATTCAATTCTCTCCATTGGCGGTGTAAGAGGATTTCATGGCTGAAGTCACGCACTTTCTGCGGGATATGATAAATAACGCTATTCTGCGGGATATGAAAAGTCACCATAGTCAAGGTGGGGCCTAACATAGAGTTTATAAAGAGAGTTTAAAGTCTTTCTTGGCAGGTAATCAGATAGGAACCGTAGCATACCAACCCCACTTCTCGCTGTATTGATTGCAGATTGAATATGACTGGAGAACGTAAGTCGTTTGTCAAACACTACACCTAGATGTTTGTGTTCGTCAGCCTTCATGACAGTTTCATCGTTAAAGAATATAGACGGGTGATCAACGGGAATCTTTATTCTAGAAAAAGTCACTTCAACTGCTTGCTTCGCCGGGTCAGGATTGAACGACATCCTTCAGTTATGTGCGCAACGTTTGATACGATCTAAGTCATGATTCAGATCTGCAGCGCATTTATTTGGGTTGTTAGCAACTGAAAAAATCGATGTGTCATCGGCAAATAACCTAACATTGCATTTGAGATCTGTTGTCAGATCATTGATGTAAACAAGGAAGAAAAGGGGACCTAAAATCGATCCCTGTGGAACTCCAGTACCAATTTTGCCCCATTGTGATGTTTTGCCATTCAAGACAGTACGCTGCATGCGGTCTTTTAAAAAACTGCGAATCAGTGATAAAAACTGCCCAGAGACACCATTTTACTGTAGATCAATCCATCATGCCATACTCTATCGAAAGCTTTTGAAATGTCTAAAAAAACTGACCGTACATCTAGAGGAGGGTTGCAGTCAAATGCAAGAGAAGTTAGAGTGAACAATTGAGATCAACTGGTTGACAGTAGAGTCTCCAGGGCGAAACCAAGATACTTTCCCAAGAATAGGAAGGAGGGAAATGGGACGATAGTTTTGCTTGAGGTTCTTGTTGTTCTTTTTGTGAACTGGAACGACATTGGCTCTTTTCCATACTTCGGGAAAACGCCTTCTTTCAAGCATGCTTCGAATATTAACTTTAGAGGAAAGACTAGGCTGTCGTCACAAATTCTAATCATACGAACAGATATGTCATCCCATCCATGTGCCTTATTTGGGTTTAAGGAACATATAATATTGAGTATTTTCTTCTCTGAGACGCAGAAATCGGTCAATGAAGGTGCTTTGGATAAAATCTGACGTCGTACTTAGCTTCCAGTATCTTGTACATTGGAGTACAAATTAGTCATTGAAAATGTATGCTTTCGATTCAAAATCAAGTACAAAACGTCGTTGTTGTACAAAAAGAGGGAGAATAACTGGTATTTTGGCCTTGTTCAGTAATTTGTTTATCAGGGACCAGTACGTTTCTTGTTTCAGGATTTGAGAGTGTTTTGCCAACTTTTGCAAAATACTGTCTTTTACTGGCAAGAGTGTCTACGCACACGCGCTCTCGGCGGCCCTGCTAGCAGCAACCCAGGTATGATACCAATTCGGCAAGACCTGGAGTCGGCAAAATTCTAAATCAGGGTTTCATTTATCACGCAACTCTAAATTATTATCAATATATTGTTCTAAATTTTCTACTTGAGTTTGGATTTTTCCGTTTCCATTTGATGACAAATTTGCATGTTTAGATGGGCAAAATTAGCGAAGATGAACAAATACAATTTGAGGGCGTGCACAATTTTTTGGAAAACACGTTTATGTTTAAGAATATTAGCAAATAATTATGCTTCTTTCAATTTATCATGTTGCTAGTCACCTCTATCACTTCAACATAGAAAGGCTATCTGACTCTGACAATGGTTACAGAGTTTTGCAACTTCTTCCTGAATAGTTTTTCTTTGTGGTATTACAAGCGATCTCGCATTCAGTTTATCAACTTTTTCTACCAATGTGTGAATAAAGAAAAGGTCACTAAGGAATTCTTGGGGCGAAAATTCGATAAAAATGTAGCAAATAAGAAACACGCAATGCGACTAAATTGCGGACATAGAAGTCGCTGTTCTACAAAGTTCATGTCTTGGCCCACTTCTTTTCCTCGTATACATCAATGATCTCCAACAAACAGCTCAAGATTGCAACGTGTCCTGGTATGCTGACGAGTCCAGTTTGTGCTACCAGTCTCACGATTTGACTCAGCTGAATGAGGCTATTAATTTCGATCTTAGGAAACTGGGCACACGGCTTCAACGCCACAACATTCTCAAAAGACAAGACGGAGGTTTGCAACTGAAAGTACGCGATAACAAGCTGGAGGTGGTCACCCGACTTGAGGGGGAAAGACTTGAGGATGTCGGAAAAGAATCCAGAGGTAGCCAGCAATTTTTTCTTTTTGGGATGGGAAGTTATGGAATAGCCTCTCAGCTAGGTCAAAGCAGGCAACCTTTCTGTATAGTTTCAAAAAAGCTATTTAGCAACAAATGCTTTCTCTTTTGTTTGAAATGTAGGTTTGGGATATTGTTAAACAAAGTTTGAAACATTGTAAATAAGGTGATATATTTTGATTAAATGGCTTTTTAATTTTTGATTGGCTGGTTTAGTCTTTCTTGGGTCATCGATGCTCGAAGATATGTTTTGACGCTTCTTAGAAGATGAACAGGAATTT